TTTGAGCCCTTTGTGAACCCTTTACCCGCAAGTCATTGCAATGCAGCATAAAAACGTGATAACCAGTGAGAGCGCGGAGACATCGTATTAAAATGTGATACATTTAAAACGTTGAGGATTAAAGATGGAGAACGAAATCAGGCAATGCATGAAATATTTTGTCATCTGAGCAAAAAACAGTAAAACGTTAATCAAAATTAGCTCTTGTTGTGTTCAAAAATGAAGAAACGCCGGACGGACAAAGGGCATCGCAGATCTAAAGGGTAAAATCAAATGTATTTAATAAACTAGATGGTGTTGTGGTAAAAAAAACATCTCAGCTGAGGAGCCGCTGGTCTTTGCAACCAACAGGCCCCAGGGCCCATTGACCATCCCTAGTGCCCGTCTGCTGCCTCCACCAGCGAACCCGAGAACAATGGCTGCCTACAGGTATTTATACCGATCCGTAAAGGTGTGAAACTTAGTGTCCACACCTCTGGGAGTGGTCTTCTGGCGAGTTCCATGTAACTCGGATTTTGAATGAGCCTTAGTCAATATCAGTTGTTGTGCAAGTATTACATGCATGCATTCCAGTTTATTACATCACATTAAATACAATCATAACTGTAAATTGGTATTATTCTATTACAGTTGCAGAATTACAGTGGTTTTACAATATTGTCCTTTATTGATAACACAGTTTCAGAATCACGGCTGTATTCTGGTGTACACTATATGCATTTTATTAATTTTATAAACCGGGTCGTCGGTTTATTTCCAATATCCTACACTCTCATATTATGTGGGAAGAGCTGGAAAGTTGTTTGAATGAGAAAGTAAGAAGTAGGCAAAGAGGATGTTAATGAGGGAGGCAACAGAGAGACCAAAGGCTACCCGAGGAGACTCAAGTCACAGAGCGTCAGGGTTATCTTTGGTTTCTTTACTGCCTCTCTGATCGATGTCCTCCTAACCTGCACCCAGAGAATTGGTCGGGTTCATTGTGGTGCAATAACCCTTTTCCTTGATAATGGATTGAAACGGTGCTCCGTCAGATCAAGTGACAAACCATGAGACACTCAGTGGTGGACTGTGTTTAAATGTTTGAGACTTTTTAAAGTTAGCTTCTTTCTACGGGCTGCACATGCACACATGTACGTTTCAGTTGTTTTTATTTTTCTATCTTTTAATGAAATCCAAATGAATTCAAGTGCAACCAAACAGGAGAAAGGAGAGTTGAATGTAAAACGTTGCTTCTCTCTCAGTATCAGTTGGTCGCTCGCGAGCCAAAGTTTCACACTGAGCTGCTGATACCAACACAGCAGGATATTATATATATATATATATGTATATATAGTGAAGAAATATTTCACTGCTTTGCCAAGCAGAGTCATGCCAAAGTGCAGCTGGGGCATTGTTATTTTGGAAGCGGTATGCTGTAGAGAAAGGAACCTGTCAAAGACATCCGAGCTCTCGTTGAGTCCAGTTCGACAACATTTTGTGCCGCCACCCGAGTAACACGTACCAACATTCCTGGTTTGAGCCCCGGTGTTTTTCCATTCTGGAAGTTTTAAGGTCGTAGGTCAAACTTAAGGGGTCTCCAGGAGATCAACATGACAGTAGAGCCGCAAAAGTTACTCCAATCTTCTTATTTCAGGCCTTTAAGAAATTATTCAAATGCGATTATAGTAAATGTGTAGGACTTGTAATATCTGGTCTCTGGTTGTTAAAAGCAGACCAGCTGCAATGATTGCAAACCACTGGTTTAGTATCGACACAAACGCTTCATCAATGCTTTTTGATTTTCTCTTTTGCACGTCCAGTGTTGGGCTATCCGATCTTTGACATTCCAGAACTGTGTTTTCAATTCATTATTCAATGTAAGAAAAGATCAACAGTCCCATGTCGGAGTCGTGGCATTTCCCTTTCATCAATGCGTTCCCTCCCCATCGGGGTATTAATGCTGTTCCGGTTTCCCCTTTTGACTCGCTGCTAAAACCCAAATGACCCAGCGTTAATTGATGTTTTTTGATGATGCCCTGCACAACACAAATCACATTACTGATCAGACCAAAGGTCTAAGCCTCGAGATGCATTGTACACAAGTGTAGTAGAAAAGAGAATGAATCCATCCTGGTGGATTTGTGGAAAGGGCACCGCTCACGACACCATTCTACTTCCATCAGTGAGCGTGTGATTCAGAAGAATCCATCGATTCTGTTCTTTGATGGGAGCGTATAAATATGTTGTCGAGAGTTATCCCCTTGATTTCAATTTGGTGGCTTTTATGGGAGGGATGTGTTTACCTCTTCCCAGCATCTTTGGAAGTGTATTTTTATCTTCACATTCTGTAAACTTGGCAGCTCGTCTGTTTGCCGGCATCAGTTTTTTCCTTCTTGTCTGTTTGTGACCCATCGGTCACAACCGATCACAGACGTTTTTCTTTGAGAGTAAAGTGGAGACAACATTGAGATGAAACATTGATTTTAAAACAGGAAAAGATGGACCCTTCTAAACATTTCTGCTGAAAAATCGAGTTTTTTCCTCCACTTTTCTAGAGCAGATCCAGAGTCACTGTCCCCGCCAACCCCTGTACACCGAATTAGATCGAAGCTGCTGCTCAGTCTTTGCGACTCAAAGAGGCCGATGAGGTGAGAGACGTGCAAAGTATGATGTGTGCATGCTTGAAGAGCAAGAGGAAAGGGAAAGCATCTCTGCAATCAAGACCGAGCGATTATGAACTGATGAACCACGTCTACAGCAGGTCAATGGGTTCCATTGAAAGCCGACGTGGTCTCTGGGGTTTGCAAGCGACGGCTTCCTAATCTCCCAGCCAGGTGGCAGACTGCGGTTACAGCGGTTACAGGAGAGTACAGTCAAACAACGGCCTAAATTAAAATCAACCAAAGGAGGAAATTACCGCGAGGATGTTGTTGCTCACAAAAAGGTGTCCGTGATCATAACCGACGGAAAACAGCGGATGATAAGACTGTGTACACAAAGAGCAGCGCATACAATATGAGGGAAAGGCCGACGTCAATAAGGCTTCAAAATAGATCAGTAAAGAAGATTATCTCTGCTTTGGTGCAACGAATCCACACGGGCTTTACATGTCACTCTCGCGAATGCAATTTAAATTAAGCCGGCCGTTATATTAAAGCCTGTCAGTATCTGAAAGTTTAGCTTGCTTACTTTATATGTGAGAGGTTTGACTTGGAGTACATTTTAGAAATCTTGCTGTATAGCAGCTCTGCTCATTATGACCCCAGCGTATTGCTAAAAACCACATTAAAACCACATTTAGTTAGCACGGGATTTATATTCAACCGTGACTTTAAAGTCAGTTAAATGAACCTATAGTGTGCAACATGTTACGTATCATTTAAGATGCAAAAAGGGAATAACACTTTGGTTGAACTGCAAACAACCCGATAGAGATAATTCAAGGAGACGATGAAGGGAGAAAAAATCCAAATTCAGGAAAATCAAGAAGAATTAAAAATGAACTTTTCCTTGAGATTATGATGATATTATCTGAATGAAGCTTACTTCAAAATTATGATGATTGATCATTACATATACTATTTATTTTTTAAACTTGGAATAAGCATTGAGGACCACATTTTTCATATCTCATCTGATCTGATATCTTATATCTTTATATCTGACATCAGATAAAAGGGAAAGAAGATTCCCCGAATCGAATATTGCATAAAAACAGATTCAAAAAGCATCAGCACAAACTGATCATCGTTTATCTAATTGTATGAAAGCAGGGAACGTGTCGGCGCTATGGAAAAAGCCGGGCGCTTTAAACAGGTTTTGCTTTCATTTTTAAACGCCACAGAGTTCACAGTTCAACTGCATTAGGATTGGCTCTTTGCCACATAAGTAAGCATACGCCGTCTATGTAGGAGTCAAGACCTCAAGGCGAAAAGGTTGTTGAAAAAAAAAAAAAAAAAAGAAACACTTGAGTAAGTTCAGTATTATGAAATCGACCAATTTAGTTTGACTTTCTCGCGCCACAGGTGAGCTGGTAGGTTTTCTAACTCAAGGATGTCGCTCTGCCACAATGTCAGCTGGAGGGACATTTTTGGGTGTGCACACTAAGTATATTAATGAAGTAATTAGTTCAGTTCAGTTCAAACATCTACTGGTGTGTCACCTCACTTATCCCATGAACGCGTTGCAGCAGGTGTCGACACCCGACGCATTCCTTTCACAGCCGGCGTTCCATCCGCCGGAGCTCTACCTGCGTGCTGACAAGTCAAATGTCTGACGTGAGAATCAGGAGATCTGTTTGTTTACAAGACACATGGGAGACCAAAGCAAGGTGGGCCTGTTGGGGAATGACAGGCACAAGATTAAACGGCGCTTTGGTTTTGTTTGATTTGTAATCACTGTACGAACTGGTGTGCGGTCGGCGTCTGGGGTTCACCTGAGGGCGAAACTGGGGCACGTCTGCTCGTTAATGCTGTAATTGCTGCAGCTCATGTACACTGATTCATCGCCGTTTCATTTAAATGAATGAGTTGGTCTCATGACATCATTCATTTGTTATACTATGAGGCGACAACAGGTTCTACGTAGACGGCATTCGACACCGTAAACACCACAGGTGTGTTCCTGAATCCAAAATAGGCAGGACGGTGATACTTACGCCTCCTCACGTCTCAATGTAAAAGACGGCTCTTCCTGTGCAAACGCTCGACGGCAGTTAAAACAACGACTGATTGTGATGAATTACGTTAGTGAAAATGTAGCATTGCCGTCAGTTCAGATAAACTATTTTATTATGAAATAGCACGGCGAACTTTGCAGCGAACTCGAGGAGTGCGGCCCCCCTGATCGAGCGCGGGGTAAAGTGTCCCCACTAACCGCCCTGTGTGGACAAACATGTTTTTTCACCATCAGTCTTTTGCAGTTGAAGGTTCTTCTTCATTTACTTCCAACTCTACCAACCAGAAATAACCAGAAAAACGAGAGAGACAAGGAAGGAGAGAGAGAGAGAGAGAGAGAGAATGCATGTGGGCGGAATCTGTAGTAAGGAAACAAAACGGGAACAAGGTGATAACGTGCCAAAGTGCACCTGCACACCTGAGCGAAGCCACTCCTTTCCCACGACGCGTTAGAGATGGTTGTAAAGCAAAGGGCCGGAACAACTCACCGTAAAACCTCTACAGCTTTTACATGTTTTAAGTTTCCACTCTGGTCTGAGGACTTTGGCCAATAACAGGGTCCAGTTTAGATCTTCTGCGGGTTTTTAATACATGTCGCTGTCGTTAAAATTGACTTCTTAGCAGCTTCGGAGTCTCTGACGTTCCTTCGGTTTTTGTGATCTCCACACGGAATGACGACGTGGTCATCATGAAGGTCATCGCCCTGCTCCTGTTCTGCTACGGTGAGTCCAGAGGAGCGGATTTATGTTTTCGCTTTACAGACGTTGATAACAGGCAGCGAAACACTTAATGGGTCATTTTTATTAGGAGAAAGAAACAACACCAATGTAATGAAGCCTGTAATGTTTGTGAGCGAGAGGGATTCCGTCTCTCTCTCTCAATGAGCACTTTGGTTTTGAATGATAGTAATCGATGGAAAATGCAATTATATTTTAGAGTCTAGCTGATGTGACATTGGACAGGCCCCAAAACGTGCTGATTTCAGATTGTGAGTCAATTTTCACATCGCCGATACACAGCATGTAGAGATAATATGTGCCGATTTGGTGACTCACTAGCTCAGAGTTGGTGGCTCTGCATCATGAATATGGGATCTACATGGAGAATATCAAAGATGGGCACAACAAGGGGGGACATTTATTTACAAAACACAGTTGCTTGCTGCAACGTGCAGGTTGCGGTGTTACGCGGGTAACGGCGAAATGCAAAAGACCTCACACAGCTCTTGTTACAGTACAGATCACTTTCCCTACTTGTAATTTGGGGTATTAAAAATAAAACTGTACCCCACTATGAATTTGGATTTCATGAATTGTATAGATATTATGAAAATCCGACCAAGGCTCTTGTGGACACGGATTCTACGTTAGCATTCGCCGCGCGATGACTCACAGACTTCTCACCCGTTCTCTTCTCACAGCGTGTCTTTCGACTGTTAACGGCAAAGTGTATTTCGTCTCAAAGAACTTTCACAACGTGCTCCACTGGGACGTGGCGGCGCCGGCCCACCCCGGGGAGGAGGTCCTCTGCAGCGTCCAGTACCACAGGTAAGAGTTACCATGACGGATGGGTGGCGAGAACAACTTTTCTCCCAACTTTTCTCCCATCGCCAGCCTCAGATCCCCCTGCAGAGCAAGAGGTTTAACTGCACGCCCTGAACGTGGGGGTCCTAGTTACGGCAAAATACTGTAATTTGTGTCCCCTCAAAAAGTAACTGTGTGCTCCGGCGGATGATGTGACACGTTGAGTTGTTGCTTCTGCTGAATTTCACTGCGCTGCGTTTTCCCGTTTTAGTGACGCAGCCGACCAGCGGTTCCTGATGAAAGAGGGGTGTCAGAACATCACTGCTCTGGTCTGCGACCTGACGGCAGAAACGCCGTCAGTTCACGACGTCAACTACCGCGCTCGGGTGTGCTGTAACGGCGACTCGTGTGGCACAACCACGAGGTTCAAACCCATAGCGCAAAGTAAGACTCCCCGCACGCGTGCATTCCTCCACTTCCTGCCGAGGCCAGATGTATTCTGCTGCGACGCGAACCATTCAACTCTCTTTCTCCATCCCCCCGTAGCCGCCCTCGGTGCGCCCGCCTTGTCCACGCACGCCACTGCGTCGTCCCTCCATGTCGATGTGACCGTTCCCCTGGGGCCAGACGGAGTCTCCGTCGCTGATATCATCACCACGAGCAAAAAACTGCCTTACGAAACTGGGTTAGTTTATACCTTAAACATCACCCGGCCACCGTGGGCCGCGCAGGTGAGTCCCAATTTAAACCGCCGAACATTGTGCAATCATGCAAACCATCACATGTGTGAAATAATACAAATAACGTTACCATCCAGGTGTTGCTTTCTTTCTTCAGGTAAACGAGAGAACAACTGGCCAGTTTGTCATCGACTTGAAGAAGGGCCGGACTGAGTACTGCGGCTACGTGGTGTACAAACCCGAGACGGAATCAGGCCGCCCGGAGAGCGAGCGAGCCCCCTTCTGCGTCACACTGCCAGGTGAGCAAATGTACTAATGATGGTCAACTTAATGGGAAAATCTTCATAATATACTTTCTTTACATCACTTAAACTTAACTGATGGCAGCCACTTGGAAACAAGCGAGAAATATCGAGACGGTTTGTTATGAATTTGTCCACTTTTTAAATGCCTGCATCCGGACAAATTACCATATCGGTCAAGGACAGGAACACTGTGATTTATTCATTTTGGCCACAATGACGACGGTTATTCATTCTGAGTAAAATAAAATGAACTCGTCAACTTGAAACTTGAAAGTTTTCCTTGAAAAGGATCTCTTGGCACTGAGCTCTCCCTCTTCTGTTTCTGCCGTACTGATGAGGAGATTAGATTACTCTGTTTGTAAAGGTGACGTTTGTCATGTCTTAGGTTTCCTCCACTGCAAACACCGACTATTAGTAACTATTCTAAACACATACGGGTAACATTAACATGACACAGGTGCAAATGCATTTTCCACAAACCAACACTCCCGAAGACGGAAACTCCCCATCTCGCTTGCTATTTCTAAGAAGCGCTTATAGATTCTGGTACACCCACAGCCTGTCACAAAGAATGTCCTGAAACTGTCACAAAGGGAATTTTTACCCGCGGTTTCAAAGCGCTTCAGGGCGTCTGCTATCACAGATGTGTTGTGTACTTGGTGTATGACGTCAACTCCTTTGTGCCTCAGGTGATCCTCTGGAGCTCCTGCCGTGGCTTCTCGTGGGCGCTGCTCTTCTCGCCGCCACCACCGCAACGTCGGTCGCGTGCATATGCAAATATGTGAACGGCGGAAAGGGAAAAAGCATGCCACAGATATTGGTAAGATACCTTTCCGTGATTGCCTTTGGAAACCAGGAAATGTTGCCTTAGGGTTGTGCCACAACAAGCTAGACGTTATTGAAGGTACTAAAACACTAAGTTGTTGGCGTTTCAGTGACTCATGCTGCTTTCGGTAATAATATAATGACATGCATTGTGCTGATGAAGCAAAACATTCTCTGTCGTGTGCATGGTTAGCGTTGCCCCGTTTAGTCATAGTGTACATTTAATTATCTTCAAAACAGGTAATCAGCTCCAGCACCACGCCCAGGCATATGCAGTCCCTAGACGGGTATCTCAGCATTTCCAAGCCGGAGGTCTACATCAAAAGTGAAGAAAGAGAAAACCCAATGATCCAGGGGAATCCTGAAATTACCCCGTTAAGTTCAGGAGCTTACTCCCCCCAGGACAACCTCGGCCTAAACTGGCCAGATGGCACCGGCTCCTCCGTCGGCACGGAGGGACGCCGCGACCTGACCCCAGATACAGAGGACACGAGTGCTCAGTCCTCCGAGACCTACGGCGTGGTAGCTGTCCAAGAACATAACAGAGACGTTCCGCCGGCGACCGGCAACCGCAGAATGCTAGCGCTGCCTCACGAGGAACCTGGCGAGGACGTCGGCGTCGGGCGACGGGACGCCAACGGACAACTCGTGCTGCAGATACAGAGCAGCGGCGACGGCAGAGGGACACCCCTCGGCCCGGAGAGGACACTTCGTTTATCGGACCTCATAGACTCCGGGACGGACGGGACGGACGGGCCGTCGTTGGCGTCCCTCAAGAGCTTCGACGGCTCGGAGTTTTGGGACTCGGGGTGCGACGACAGCGGCGTAACCACGCCAACGCACACCTACTGCAACGGCCACTATCCCCTGTCGCAACCGGACTCGTCTTATTTACAGCAGGGGTGGACGAAGGCGTCGCCGGGGGGCGCCGCGCGAGGGTCAGGCTACAAACAAAACAGTTTTACCGCGATGCTTCACGGGACTCCATCCAAAGACGTTTGTGGATACAGAACGACGGGCTACGACGGACGTCCCACAAATGAGGAGGGGGGCCGGAAAGAAGGAGACAGCGAAGTAGAGGAGACAAGGCAAATCCTGCTGGGAGGTTGGGTAACATAACGCAGACTAATGTGCACTGGAGGAGGTTGATGGACGTCGTGATGGATGAAGGTTGATCTGCAAAGAGACATTTAACAACCACATGCGGACCTTTTAACTACAAATCAGAGTGATGCATTATGCTGTTAATCCGTTTTCTATTTATTTATTAATTTACGTTTGTATTACCAAAAAGTATGGATAATTCTGAATTGTGTGTTTACATTTCAAGACGGAGAATATAAATTTGTTATTGCAACAAACAATCATTTTCATGTTTAAGCAGTTCACAGATTATTTTCTTTTTAGAAATGTTCTTAGCTGTTTTTAGATCTCCTTGCTTTATGTTTGGATGTTTTAATGGTTTTATGTGAAGCACTTTGAATTGCCTTGTTTTTTTGAATGGGGTCGTTAAATGTCTGTTTCATATTGTTTGACTCAATATGAAACAGAAGAGCAGGTAATCTCCACATTCGAAAGGCTGAAAACCGCATATCTAAATTACCAAAATAGTTTCCAATTATTTTTCAGTCGCCCAGTCGTACTTTAAACGATGTTGAATTGTTGAAAGCGGAACATGGAATTCATTCACATCGTTATTGTGATATTAAGACGTGTTACAGCTAAAGTCTGCGCTATTATTATTTTAAGGGGTTTGAAATGCGACTTAAATCACACAAAAAAACTATTGTTCAACAGTTTGTAAATGTTTACAATTGTGTAGCATCACTTAGCGACACATTATTGCAACTTATCGCAACGTAGTGTAGTCGGCCTTAAAGATTTGATGTGAAATCAAACGTCTTTTTGGCTGAACAAAGCATGAGACGTTCTCACCTTCTGAGATGACTGAATCACTGCTGCAATCTTCCTGTTTACGGGGCCTCTGTGGCCCACACAAACACAATAAATACTTTGTATATTTCCACATCACAAAGGTCATTTTGTAATCGTGACTGTTTGCTGTGGCCGGCTGTGCGTTAGAACATATTAGAAGGTGCATTCATGAAGCCGCGCTGATAACAGCCTCGCACACATTTGCACACAGCTTCATTCTGTCGAGATTAGATCAGATTGTCGAGATGTCCAGATTTCTAGTAAATGTATTTTGGTTTCTTCAAAGGTCTCGAATCAAAACTGTCCATTTTTTTGATTAGCTAGTTCGTTTGGGTGAAGTTTTTAAAGTTGTGTTTTGCGTTGCGTAACGTTTGCAGATCCCAAGGAAAGAAATAGAATATATTTAAAGAAATAGAATATAAGGAAATGTGGCTTAAAACTACCTGAAAGCAGCTTCGAGCGTGATTCACCTACAAAGAGGAAGTGATCTTCCCGTTTACAGAATCTGCACCCATCGGACTTCTTCTGAGGAATAACATGAGCTGGTTTGAGAGCCGTTGTGTGCTCAGTCATGCAACAAAACAAACACACACACAGTAAAGGTAAGATACATTGTATACAAACATGTATATACACTATATATGTAGTTTTAGAGGATCTACAACAAGGATTTACTATTCTATGTTCTATGTTAAATTATATATGTAAGGATATATTCCACAGTCACAAGAAAAACCCACCCGGCAGCTCTGACACTTTGTTTCTCTTTCAGTCTCTCTCCGATTCCGCAGCAGATCGGAGGGGAGATCTCAACAGGCATGATAATAAAACTTTATTCATTCATTGAGATCACAGCCGAGGCATATTTACATTTTCTGATAATGTCCCGCACGGAGTAAACTGGCTGCAGTGGAAATGTATTCCGTGCTGCTTATGATTTCGTACTCTGATCTCTAACCCCAAACTAGCAAGGCTGGAAACAAATACCGCACGACTCTTCACTTACAACAGGGTGTGAACACAAAGTGGACGGTTGCTTGGTTACAAAAAAACACAGACTATTTCTGTGATCCTTAACAGTGAGTTGCTGGCACTTAAGATCTTCGTCTTTATTCTTCCTCTATAATCTCAATCAGGCAAATGTTGTGGAAAGTTTTACATTTACATTTGTCAAACTAAGCAGCAACACTGCAGCTCTCGCACATACGCATCGCTTGCATCCTAATGAGCTCTTATTGGAAAAAAGGCAACGAAAAACAGCTGGCCGGCAACTGACGGATCATCCAGGAGCCTTTGGTGTCCGTTCAGGTCTATTCTGAGCAGGACCAGGGGGGGGGGGAAGAAGATCCCAGATTTGAAACTAACAGATGGCTGCTGCCTCTGGCTCACGTCGCGCCACATTTACTTTTAACATGAGCTCAGACCAAAGCTCGTCCCGAAAACACCCAGTTCTGTCGGCAAACACTACATTCAAGTTCAACTTTATTCATTAGAGCTGGTCAACATGATGCACATTTAACATGGAGGTAATGTCAAATACTGCCCACATGTCAGTCTGTTCCCTCCACAGTGAGCCATGCATTTTATGAATTATTATTATTATGTGCGTTATGTGCAAGAACAGCCATCATGGGAATAAATGTTGGCTAGACAGACACTGTGACTTTTTACGCGCATTAATAATGAACAAAATACAGAGCGCTCATGAATTGTGAAGAAGAATAAATGATTGATAAAACACTACAAGGCGTTCTCGGTGCACGGGAAATATTTATTCCCTGTTGGCTTGCTATAGGTTTCACCTTGTACGTGTATGAATTCATATTCAATTTCGTAGACATGCTTTTGTCCTTCTGGGGCTGTAGGAAAGTGCAACTAAATGTACTTGCCTAAGTGGTCTAAATAAATCAGGCACAAAGCAGACAGAGGCTGCTCGGGTCGAGGCCGCTGACATTAAAGGCTCGTACGTTCAGATTTCCCAGGCTGCAGAGACGAAACAACCAGGAGCAAAACAGCAAACCGACGCGCCGTGTGACCGTGGTAATGAGGCTTTGGCAAAGTGTGCGGTGCGTTTCGTGGGGAGAAAAGCCCCGCGTTGGACTCTAAAAATAGCCCTTTAAAAAGGCCACATGGCCAATTACCACGTCGCCGATCGGTCACATTTGTACTTCTCAGATTTATTGGGCGTGCAGTTAACGCAGCAGTCGTTGTAATGAAAGATAAACTCTGGGGATTTACTACTGTGTGGAACAAAGTACCATCACTGTGTGCAGCTTGTTTATTCAAAAACAAGAATGCTGTTTCTGTGTGTGTGTGTGTGTGTGTGTGTGTGTGTGTGTGTGTGTGTGTGTGTAGTGACACTAGTATTGAACCCCAGTATAGTTTCCCTGTAGTTATTCTTACTCCAACAGTCACTGCTGATGTATGATGCGAGGAGGAGGCCTGGCAACCGTTGCCTGTATCCTGTGCTGTGACGGCAGCTGTAGATGCTAAAGGCTTATTATAAGCCCCCATCGTCCCGCACAACGCTGTTGCCCTTTGTGCCTTTGGTGTCCGTCAGTCTGGACATGCAAGTACACACACACACACACACACACACGCTAAACTGTACAAGCATGACAGCGAATCGTCGTCGTTGGAATGTTGGTTACTGGATTCGCAGGATCTGATCTTTCAGAATAACACGACATGATCGGAGCACGCTGGTATCGTGAACAATGTCACGCGCTTCCTGCGTTTGAGAGAGGAAGTCAGGACCAATTCCGCCAGCGGTGACACTTCAACACTTAAATAGGTTCCCAACTTAAGACAAGATAACTTTCACAAAAGAGTAAATAAAAAGCGTGTGAGGTGATGCACCGGATTTCATCCAAACCAACACACAGCGCTAACGAACCCTTAATGAACGGCGGCAGACGGAGGAGCCGGTTTAATGAGACAGAACAGGGGACCAGGTGTACTTTATATAGTATTTAGTCCTGCGTGCTTGCATTTGTTAATCACAACTAAAATGTTTTTCATGTGGTTGGAAAATATTGGACAAATTCAAGTTTTGACCCTGTGATTGGGAAGCATGTGGAGTTTGGGGTTCAGTCAGATTGATTTATTCTCTGGGAATATCTGTGTAGGACTTTTTGCTTATAGGCGTTTTATTATAGTTATAGTAAAGGAAAATTCTGATATGTTTTGTTCAGAGTATACTTTTACAGTATTTTGTAATACTGCATTATGTGACGTGTAGTAGCAACACAGTATGAAATATTATTAAAGAAGAGGAATGGAAGCAGCGTAACGGGATGCACTGTGGAAGATGGAGTCACCTGATCAGCCCAACGAGGTGGGAAGTCTCCACCATTGTTAACCTTAAGTTTAAGGTCACATTTTTAATAAGTTCCTCTCTCACTAATCTTCTACTTAACAGCTGTCTGCTGTTTCCAGCAGCCCCTCCCTCTCTCCCTCCCGTCCCCTTTTGTCTCTCTCACCCCCCTTTTCACAGCCTTCCATTCTACATTCTTTGTAGGCAGGTAAGAAGGTGCTGAGGGGGCTGAAATGTACACGTATTTCTCTTTAGTGCCACTTGTGAAAGTGCCATTCGGAGCTTTTCACCGCGGCCAGTTGTTCCCTCGGGGCCTTTCCAGCTGTTACTTTCGGCTGCCCGGGTCATTTTGGTCCAGCCTCTCTAATTGCACGGGGAGCTATTGTGTCATCTCTTAGCCACTTGTCCTCAGAGCTGTCTGTAAATCGATCCGTGTTTGTGCGTCAAGTGTGAGTGAGTGTGTGAGGTCTATATTTACCAACTTAACAATGAGAGAGCATTGTGCTGTCCACATTCTTGGCGCCGGAGGACACTTTGTGTTCGGGGGTCACCCTCATCGCCTCATCAAGAGCGGCAGAGAGGCAGGAGGCCGCGGGGTGGACACGGACAGACAGGCGGCGAGGACGGCGACAGCAAGACTACAGAGGTCCCATCAAGGAGAGAGACAGACAGGGACACACGCGTCCTGCAGATCCGGGACACTCAGAGGACTTCAGCTGTTTCTTTAGAGAAAGCGTGAGTGGGATTTCTGATTTCTTTTGCCTTACGTCAGTCAAGACACTGACGCGTTATTCCTTTACAAACGATACAACGCTCAGAATTCTTCTGTCTCTGTGTTGTCAGAAAGGATTCTTGACTCTGCAGCTAGTTGACCTTCTGATTTCTCTCGTCTCTCCTTGATGGCTTCCGTGGAAGTAACTGGTCTTTACTCCCCCCGAGGACGGCAAACAGCGAGCTCCTGTAGTGTTCAAACAACGCCTTCCCCTTCATTTGTCTCATGTTCCGCTATTGATGTGTTTGTGTGTGTGTATATATATATATATATATTATTTTCATCATCAGAGACCTAGAAACCGAGCTTTCGATTCACTCCAGAGACGTGAAACTGCACCGCGCGTGGAGAAAAAAAACAGGCACTGCTCCGCTGTTTCTGCTTTAGCTCCCGCCAGGGGCCCCGGACTCCGGCCCGCCCATGGAGGCCCGATCAATTTTAATGTGCCAGAGGTCGACCTTCCATTAACACTGCTCAAACAAACCCCTCTTCGTGCGCCACGGTGATGCACAAAAAAGGGCAACATGGGAGTCAGCCGGCCCGCTAGTTCATTAGCCTGTTAGCTCGCCGCTGTTTTCCATGATGTAATTGAGGGGGAGAGATAACACATCACGCAGTGGAGCCAAGCTGACGCTTTCTGTTGAGTGTGTTCTGCATTCATTCGCATGATTGACGACAGGCAGGGTGATTTATGAAACATGGGACCCAAAACACACCTTTTCTGCATCTTTTTCTTTTTTTGAGTTTTCGATGAAACCAAACATCATTTTTGGCTTTAAAAAGTGCATTTTTATCATTTTCTAACATTCAAAATTCAACCTATATTCAAATAATCAAGAAGATAAATTGCAGAACAGGTCATTTTTGAATTTCGAGCATTAGCTGCGGTGATGCTGGACTCAAAATGGAAGTCGGTAGGGAGGGTAGATGGGGTGGGAGGGGGGGCGTGAGTTTGATGTATGATCCAGAGAGTAATGCAGCAGATGTGAATTCAGACACAAAATGATACTAGTAGGCCCGTGTTACGCCTGGTCTTTGCATTTGTAGTCATTTCAAGACTTGTGCTTCTTCTGATAGTGCTTGTCTACTGAGGAGATAAATGGTGCACTGAATATCTTTTCATACACTTATCCCGACCTTTGGGCTCAATTGTAATTCGTACGCAACTGCAGCCAAATTTGCCATCCTGCACCAGCACAATATGGAAAAGCTATTACTCCACCATCTCGACTGAGCAAATGACCAGAAGTGTGCCTGCAAGGCCCCGTGTGCATACAAAGCACAATAAGGACGGTTGTCTCTCGGCAAAAGCTAAAGTGGCCGATAAAGTGGCGTCTCGTCTGCACTCGGGAAACTTACAGCTTTGATTTGGCTGCAGCGTCTCGTCCGACTCTCATTGACTCTCCTCCCACGGCCTCCTCGCTTTCATCCTCCCCTCTCTCCACAGGTGCCAGACGGGTTACCATGGAAACCAGGACGGCGATGCAGCGAGAGCGGGAGGAGCAGTCGTCCCAGATGTCTCACAGCGTGCAGCTGTCGTCCCAGATCAAGAAGAGGACCTTCACTTCCAGGTGCGAACACGCTCCCCTGACTTCGGCGGTGGCCGAGGTTCAGATCATTTACTCGAGTGAAAGCATCACAAACACTGCATCACAAGTCCTGTGTTTAAACAGAGAACCTTCCTGAGGTTCAGACCAGAAGTATTATCATCCCGAAACTAACCCTTAAAAGAATCATAGTAAAATAAAAAGAAACATTCCTTTATTAAAGCGGATGCATTAATGTGCCAGTAAACATGTATACGTATATTCACCATGTAAAGGTGTTTCCCAATATGTTTAATCGAATATTGAATCTGACACTTTATTATCAAGTATGTTGAAGGAGAGACACACACACACAGAGCCAAGTGGAGCATTCCATTGAATACACAAAGACAGCTGTGTGTGCGGTGGCAGCGCAACCGCACTGTGGATATTAGGCATTAGTTAAATGTCCGTCCCAGGTGTTCCAGGTGTTCCAGTCAACCAGCGCGGCTTGATAGGAAAATATGAACGGCAGCAAATGCGAGAGTGGAAACATTAGAAAGGCGACAGGTGTCAAAATAAGTGCTGGAGAACGGCTTTACGCATTAAAGCCAACGGACATGAACTGGCTCCACTTTGTCCCGGAGAGACATAATTCTCAATGTTGATCCACGACCTCAACTGTTCTGCAAGTAAAGATATTCTGAGGGTGTTTGAGAAGAAGTGAATAAGTCAAACTTCTTCTTTTCAATGGAAATTGGGCGTCAGGACAACGGCGACTAAATCAACCTTGAGACGAGTTTCAAACACGTCGGTAAGTCCTCACATTTTCTTGCCGTTCAAGCCACTGACTTCACCGGCCGTGATATGATTTAGGATTATTACCGAGGTGAGATCAGTAATGCAAAAGCCTTTTTTTTCCCCATTTCACTGGGTTATCTCTCTTTCTACACGTGTGCACACACACACACACACACACCTGAACTCTACACTACGGTCAGTTTGCACTGTGACATGAAAGGGAGAAATGAAGAAAGAAATCCACTCAGCAAATACGCCCCGTGCTGCCAGACGATGCGACTGAGCTGAAATAGAAATCTCTTCCTACCCAATAAACTAGTCAAATGTGCATTGATTTTCACCCCCCCCGCCCCTCCCCTCCTTTCAGCGGCCTGCAATCTCCATCGCAGAATAAAAGGAACTGGACCCACGTTATCTCAGACCGACCGGTGCCTCTCAGAGCTTTTCCTCTTTTTCTAATTCCTCGTCCCACCGAGTTAATTATTTGCGGAAGCAAAAAGACAGATATGTAGAACCTCCACTCTCCTGCACGGAGCAACGCTATCAACTCAGCCATAAAGGTTTGTTTGCACGGGGGTTCGCGCGTGTGCGCATGTTGCTGTGTGAGTGTCTGTGTCCCTGTGTACACATCTGCAGGCTGTACTCCAGCGACGCTGCACCGCCGTGGGCTCTGCGCTGCATTATTCAGCAGCCCGGGCCCTCTCACAAACACAACAAGAAGCAGAAGTTCTCCTTACAAAAAAAAAAAGAGAAGTCACGTCAATTTGCATGAGCATTTGTAAGGTGGCTGGTTGGAGGTAAAGCCTGAGGCTCAAAGTTGACAGCAGGAGTAGTGTGGTACACACCTGGGTAAATAAAAAGCTCTGGCCCACAAACTTCATCCCTTTCCATGGCGCTTTAAGCAGGCCGTCAATAAAGATCTATTAATAAGACGCGGAGGGACAGCAGGGAGTTAACAGTCATCCGTGGATCCAGCGGGAGCAGAAATTAAAGCCCCCTCCTGATACAAAAATGCCTTTCATTGCCTCCAATGACCTTGTCGCGAACAACAGATTGTGGTGTCAGTGCAGTTTATTTATTACTTATTTATTAAGTACTACAACCCGGTGGTCCAGATAGAGAGCTCCTGCTTTTCGCGTATCTTAAACACACGGGGGGGGGGGGGGGACCTGCTGTCTGCGGGACCCATCGAAAACGCCCCTACGACCAGGCGCTCCGCGTGTTCGTCTTTGTTTTTTTGTGTTCCAGTTCATCGACCGGAACACACCCGGATCCACCGCCGGGTCGACACATTGACGCATTGTGCGTTAAAAAAAAACAAAAACAAAAAAAAAAGCGGAACGTTGCAGATAATTGCGCGCTGCAGCACAGATACGGTTACGATCACCGTTGTGAGCCATGAGCGATCGGCTCTGATCCAACAACCCTTTGTCTCGGTAACAGTCGGCCTCTTGTCTGTGCACATGGACAGCTTGTGTTCCTCCTGATTGTATAAGCTCCCTGTGGACAATAGCACCAGTGAGCAAAAGAGGAACAATAAGCAGAGCAGAAGCAGCCGAGGGTGATCACGTCTCGCTCGAAAGAGATAAGAGGTCATGCACGATCACCCTTTGCACGCCAAGCAACCGGGCGATCGAGCAGATGGCGACACTTGGCAGTTACCAATGCTGATTGACATTGACCAATCTGCACCCAGCGCTGCCCCTGTGACCCAAGAGAAGGGGTGCGCCTCTTCTGCTCAGGAGAAGACGACACGTCGGGGTCTGAATCTTCGCATCGTGGCGCGTCGAGCTGCACAGACGGACGAGGGTACCGGCGAGACGCGCCGTGTTGACGCTGTCTTTCAAAGCGGGTCATGTCGTCCCGCTGTGTTCTCACTTCTTTGCTGTTTATTTGGCTCTGTTTGATTTTGGCGTGTCAATGTTTACCTTTTTTTCAGAAAGAGAGCAGACAGCAAACAGTCTACGATAAGAGTTTCCAGTTTTAAGCAGAATCCCCGGAGTGGCTGATTAAACGAGGCCTTGTGTCCGTAACGCGTGCACGCGTTGCCCGGAGCTCCCTCTCATGTTCGGAAGGAGAAACACTGCTGCTTTCTAGTGGCAGAGGAGAATATTTGCCTAATGAGCTTGAGATTGGATTTTAGGACGTAAACCGTGACAGAATTAATAGGCGCGCTAACGTGAACACCCAATCCTCCCATCAACGGAATGAATAACCGCGAAATTAAAGCTGCAAGCAGCATCAAAAAAAGTCATGGAAAAAAAGGTCTGAATGTATCAGGTCGAAAGGTTTGACTGGAAAAAAGCCCAAATATATTTTGCATTTCTGTGACCATCGGAAACCGAAGAGGCGACGATTGATTTGATTTAAGAGGCACATTCAATTACTTTACATTACAGCCCGACTCTAAAACCAGCACAAATAATTCATTGTGCCATTAATGAAAACTCCATTCATGAGCATAATTTGAAAATGGTCGTTATCCAATTTTTGCCCTTCAAAGATCTTTCATTGAAATTATTTAAATCAGAGAAGTCATTTTCTGCTGCTGTGCCCGCAAACCAAAAGTTTCTGGATCGCAGTATTAATAGAATCCTGATTACAGACACAGTCGGTGGCGTTATGACGCCATTATATCAGCTGACATGAACACACAATTAATATAATTGCACATGTGTCATTTGATGATATTCAAGATACATCAATTGTGTTGATCAGCTTTATTTTCTTCTCTGGATGGAACAGGGACGAGGAAGCCTCCTACTCTGATTTCCATCCCATCATCACCGCCGACGTGATGTCCGTCAAGGAGATCCTGAACACGGGGGACTTTCCCCGACACAGGACATGGTGAGATGAGACATCCGGCTAAATACAAGTTTGTTGATTATCACTAAGACTTGATGGATTGTTGATGTGGATAAAAGCCTCTCGATCAGTCTGTTTTCGTCGGTGCACGAACCATGAAAATGTTCAGACCTGCCTCACAGTGTGTGTCACCCGAAGGTGAAAGGTCAGGTACTATCGAATAGATACAATTTATATCTGCACATTCCCACTAGAAATTCGTAATAACACAGTGAAAAGTCATTTCCTCTCATACTGATCCAAAAGGACTGTGAGCGAGCCATCAGACCTCCTTCCTGCAATGTGAGGTTCTGGTGGTAAAACCTCTCCATCAGTATTCACCACCACGTCCTCTCTCTCCACCTGATTGGAGGAAGTGGAGCGGGTGAAGTTGCCCTGGTGCTTTGGCCTGCACGCCATTCACCGCCCGTGAGCTCTCACACTCCGAGCGTCTTGATGAATATTGGATATCCGGGCTGTTTTCCCCACTTGAATCCGTCAGTAGAAGACCAGCTGGGGACTCTTCCCGCCATTTGCTCTTTCACAGAAGTCATTCGACGTGCAGGCGGACGTTTGTTTGTCTGATTTGATGGGGAAGAGGAAGGAGCCTCACATCCTTTCGAAGGAAATTTGATCAGCAAAATGCATGAAGTGATAATCACCCTGTAAAAAGAGTCATTCTTGGAGCAAAAATGCTTTTTTCTGCTTCTGGTTTCTCAAATGTGAGAATTTGCTATTTGCAAACAGCTGGCGGGAGTTGTGTTTTTGTTTCGTTTTCATTTCATTTCTAATATTTTACAGACCAATTGCATAGATCCTAATGAATAAATAATGAAATAGCCACTTGATGTCTAGTCGTAGCTGGGTCACTCAACAGAACCGTCACGTTTGGAGGCTCAGTTGTAGCCTCTTTACTCCTCTCTAATCCGTCCAGAAATTAAACTGGAATCGCTGTGTCAAAATGACTTTGACATCCCTAATATATAATTGGTCCTCTATATTCATGTAAAAACAGAAATAATGAACAATAATCTAGCCATTAAAGGAGGCTAGATGACTGAATACTAGAACACAGAGTTGTCAAGGAGGGGGAAGGAAAAGGTGGGTGTGGTGGGGGGGGGCTGTTTCTTCTTGAAAGACAGAACACATCCGACCGTGATGAGCCTCAGCTGCGGCGGGGCGGCCCTGCCAACTCGCCATCTCGACCCGACACCACCGCAACCCTCCATCTCCTCGTTCTTTTACCCCTCAGAAGGAGGATGAATATTTCAGGGGGGAGGCCCGGAAATCTGGTAACGCTTGATAATGATTGACTCCTTCCAGGATGAGAGAGGAAGGACGGAAGGACGGAGTTGAAAGCTTCGGGGGGTCGGCGCAGCGTTCCTGGAAGGGGCCCGAGCGTCGGAAGACGCCGGAGCATGAAGTTTGTTTTGGTTCCTGTGGGAATGAATCCGCCGCGTCTTTGTATGTTTGGCGAGTGCGGCTCAAGCTGCACATTTCCATGTGAGTCATCCGAACGGTTTCTCCACTGTCCCTGTGGGACGGGGGTAACGTGTAAATGATGCAGCTGACTCATGCGTGCCCCGTTTGTCTTGGCAAGGGGGGGGCGGTTGGCTGTTGTTCGCACCAATGAGCAATATTAAAATTCTCATTTTGAGCAATAATTAAGCCGTACAATCATATTCTCATACTCACTGAGTTTGTGTGCTGCAGTGGTTCATTCCCCTCAGGGTTGAACATCTCTGAGCCAACAGAGATTGGAAATGCAGTCAGGCACACACACACACACACACACACACACACACACACACTCAAACGCCAAAACCTTCTTTCCAAACGCCTCGGAGTGCGAGTGTGTTCTGCATACGCATCTGTGCATTCACATATTTAAATATTTCTTGATGTTGTTTGTGCATTTCATTGAATCATTGCAGGCAAACGACAGGCAATTTGTGCTGAGACAAGAGTCCGTAAACACTTAAGATTCTGCGTCCGTTTGTTGTGTCTGTGAAGTACATCTTGGAATAATTAAGCCCCGTCAATCAAAAGACGGCTCGGGATTGCCCCTTTGGTTAAAACGCAGCGTTTAAAGAGCAGGCAAGACTCATAATTGTGTGTTTTGTAGTGCGTGTGATCTCCGATGCATGCAGATGAACTGCTGCATGTACACAAGAGAATGCCACGTAAGCTATATGGCATTCACAGCTGCATGTGACCACCAGAAGGCCTCCTGGGGTTGTTTGGTGCAGGTTCAACAGCCATGAAGAGCATCATCATCATCATCTTTAGAGAACCAGTAAAGGCCGACTGGTGAAAACCTTCAGTCTGGTGGGAGAGTGGTGCCCTGTGTGAAATGACACGTATAGGTTTTTTAAACGCCGCGGCGACCTCACCACTCGAGCCTTTTATGCGGCGCGCTGCGAGACATCGCGAAAACTAACATCTGCGTGCAAATGGACTGGGACAAAAAGAGACGTTTGCAACGCCAAAAGGAATCAATGTGAAAATGCCGTTTTCTTTCTCTCAGAGGTCGATCCGCGTCGCTTCAAACCGCATTCAAGCCTTTGTGTGAAACGCCGTCTCTACTTTTGTCCTCTCTTCCAATGTGTTCTTCTGAATTGCTGTGACAACCCGCTCAAAATGTTCAGATGAGCCAAATTACTTCCATTCTAGCCACGGTTGAAAATATTTTGTGCTGCTGAAAATCCAATGTGCACCTTAACATACTTACTTAACATTTGTTTCATGGGTGTGTGGATTGGTCATTAGAAGGCTGCTGGGTTGTACACTTCACAAAAAAAGTCGGCTACCGTCTATGTTTTTTTTTGCATCTGCATTTGTGTGTATTCACCACCCGTATTTGCCAGTTAGTCCTGAAATGTGCTCCACCAGGGACGTTCTGCGGGAGACTCTGGCTGAGGAGCACCACAGAGACAAGTGGACCATGTTTGGCAACGAGGCGGAGAAGGTTGAGCTGGACGTGATGAGGAACCAGCGTGCGCTACGCAGACGCGGCGACGCGGCGGCCTTTCGCAAGCAGGTGAAAGATCCGAGGAACGACTGCCTCGTGCTCAGCTGAACAAACAAAATCATGTTCTTAACATCAAAGTCTAATAGTCAACAGGTTTCACAGCCACAGAAGACGTGTTTTATTGGAAAGACAAATACCCGAGTCTTCGGTCTCAGTGGTGATTAGTAGTGATTTACACTTTGTGTCACTTTTCTGTTTTATTTATTTCTATTTATAATTTTGCCCGGATGTGCCGCAGGCCGAAGCGAAGGCATCTGCCCACTTGAAGCACCTGGAGCGTCTGAGTCAGAAGGCCCCGGACTTTCCGATCCCGCTGAGGTCTCACGCCGTCTGGGAGGGAATGACGGTCACATTCTCCTGCACCGTCCAGGGCTGTCCTCCCCCAGAGGTCACATGGTGAGAACTTCTGCCCCTGCAGCGCTCAGGTGATATGAAGGTGATATTCCTTCCAGCAGTTTCTATTAAAGTCATTCGGGTCGGGCAGGGAATTGGTGTCTTTTCACTTTGGTTCCTCACTTGGCCTGAAGTCATCAGGAATCAGGAATCAGGAAACATTTATTTGCCAAAATATGCCAAACATACAAGGAATTTGTCTTGGCGGTTAGTGCGCGACAGTAGAATAGCTTCCAGTGGACCACTGGATACCATTTATAATGACGTGCACTCCGGATACATCTTACTTTAACACCAAATAGTCAATCAATCGATCGGTCAATCTAGAAACATCTAATTGTCAACGAATTTGATTAACGGCTATTTAAGTCAGTTATAACCTTTTGATTGTGGGATGTTGCAAACGAACAGAACTGGCAAGACAAACTAAACAAAACAACATTTTCGGGCAGTTTATAGAAAAAAGAAAAAAAATGAGTCCTGATTTGCATAATTAATTCATGCCTCATGCATGATGTGACACAAATAAATACTTCAGAATCAGTCACGGGATCATACGAGAAACATTGCTTGACGTATGCAGGTAGTTCAGGCTGGACACCCGTACGTGCAAATGATTGAATACAAAAAAAGACAAAAAAACGTCACGACATCACATTCCCGATCCCTCTGTATGAATATGAAATATCCTGTGTTATTTCAGGCACCGTTCCAAACTGTCGACCTTGATACTCGAGCTGCTGTGAGACTAGCGGATGAATGGACTGTGTGTGTGCTCAGCATGCATGAACCCAGGCAGAGATCCAGAGGACTGGAAGCCTCCGGGTTTCACCGTCCCGCCCAACGGGCTGCCCTTAACAAGACGAACGCGAGATCGAGGGGCCCCTCTGGTTGTCATGGATTCGGCCAAACTAACACTTGACCAGTTGGAAACGTGCACGAGTAATCATGGGGCCCAATCGTGAACCCCTTTCCAAATGAAGCCCATTGTTTCATCTTTCTGTCAAAAACACACGTTGATTTCTAACGTCCTCCCTCAGGTTTAAGGACGGTCTGCCCCTGAGAATGTCTGACCAGCCCTGGAATTACAGTCTTCAACAAAAATATGGCCTCAGCTCACTGGAGATCAGAAGGTAGGTCACTGGCTCCAATCCCTCATTGAGGATGCAAAGCTCCGTGCAGGATGAGAGAGATCGGACAACCTTACTATTGATTCATTTTGAATATTATAAATGATTATAAAGGTGACGAGATCCGCGTTCGGAAGCGAGCTGACGGCTCACAGTTTGATGCTGACGCGTCATTCTCTGCTCATGTGGACGTTGAACACGTTCAGGGAAGCTTAGTCTTACAAGATGTAATGCGACTGTCAAACTAAGAAATTCATGATTGTGTTACATTTTTAATCGGCTTCATTACCAACTTTTGAGGGTTGAAAAGTGCCAATTAAGTTCGGGAGCAGTCAAACCGCAATAACTACTACAGCTAAAAGATGTGCAACGAAAGCGCAGGCGGGTGACAGGACAGAAGCAGAAGCAGAAGCAGAAGCGGCTCCGTTTCAGCGCTTCTGTATCCTCAGGTGCTCCCCGGATGATGCCGGCGAGTATAAAGCGATCGCCACGAGTCCCCTGGGTGAAGCGCTGACATTCGGAACCCTCCTGGTGAACTGTGAGCATTTTTCTATTTCATATCAGCCGCACCCTTCTGGAAATCCATTACATGGAATACAAAGACGGGGTTTTAGGAACAAGGACTGAAATACAGGAGTTCTGTTGCGTGTTCCAAACTGGTTACGGGTCAGTGAGACACCCGGAGTGAATGGCAGTGGAGTGAGTTTTTTGCATAAACTGCAATATGTCGCAAGTGAGGCCATCGAGAATATGTAAAATTATCAATGGTTGATTAAAAGGAAAAAAAGACTAAGCTCCGCCCCTAGCTTGACAGGTAACATTGATTATATCTGGCCATTACTTATGATGGAGCCCGAAGTAATTAAGTGGCCAAATATCTTTGATATTATGAATGCTAGCCAATAAATGAGCAGAAATGGTTGTAAAGAAGTGTCAAAAAATGGAGGTAATTTAGAAACACTGTAGTTTTCCCATCGAAAGGCACTGACTTAAAAATATTAGGTCACAGTTGACAGTTGTTAAATCTCATAATCAAGTTGAACAATCAGGAAAGTTTCAGATCTCAGCTCAAATTGTAATTTAGTTTGTCTTTAAACTATCAATATTTAACGAACCTCAAATATCCAATATTGCTGGATCCGTTTGTTTAGCATTTTTATTTTGCACAGATATTCATTAATGCCTCCAGGGTGCTGATACATTTGACCGTATATCTCTGTCCTCCTAATGTTGGTTAAATTCTCTTTTTTTTTTCCATGTAAGCCCAAGCAGATTATTTCCATTTTGTATGCTGTATCCCCCCCACACCCCCCCCAGCCCCTGGGCACACTGTCGTTTTATATCCCCATTATTACACTTTCTGTATAAATGAAAATGAAAATCCACAGCAGGCTAAAATGATGAGTGGACCACAGCTCATTGCAAAAGTCATTGTAGAAGTTGGAGGAAGGTGGAAGTTGTGGTGACTGATAATCCGACACGTACATCGAGCATTGTGGCCTTGCAGCGTTGTGGCAGAAACAGTAATGATTCCTCTTTACAACTTTTAAATGGCCGCCTCGATGCCTGGCAGTAAAGCTCCCCTAATGCTCCAGATATCAGTCAGACGGCGCCCGCGCTTTAATGATGCACTTCAAGGCTTCTCCTCGTCATCCATATTTCACCCGCTTTCTTGGGGTTGTTAAAAGTCGGTTAGAGGGAATATTAGATGTGACTTGCGTGACTGTGGCGTTGCCAGGTTTGATGAATCTGCTGTGTCTCCTTTCCCATCTGTTTCCGTCTCCACCTCTTGACTCCTCGGCGGCGTCCTCCATCCCGTCCCGCCTCAGCGCGCCACGGAGCCGCCGCCGGTTCAGAGCGCTCGCCGAACCCCGGTAAGTTTCACGCCAAGGGGCCTAATAAAAAGTGGGCCCCTTGCATTTCTTCCTCCGGCCTTTGGAATTCTTCCCGCTGCACGCATGAACGAGGTGGGGTGAGAGGGGGGGTGAGGAGGGTGAGAGGGGTGAGTGGGTGGGGGTAATGGGGGGGGACAACGCTCTGCTCTGCTGCACCTGCACATTTGCTCAGTACCTGATCGGGCCAGCTGGTCGTGGGAGCAAGATATTTAACTCAGTGTGTTCTTACTACCAGTTCAGACAGCGTCTCAATATATCTTTTAAGATGCTTGCACGGCCTTTGTCCTTTGTCTCCCATGGAGACATGGAGACACAGGACACTGGGGCCAGGCGTCAAACAACAGACGGCGGCGAAAGCTGAAGATTCCTTCAAAAATTCCTGTCAGGTTTTTCCTTCAGCTGCCATTGTCTCACTCGTCAAAGCACTGAGGCGATGCAAACTGGAAGTGAGAGATACCACGAGGTCCCGTCGAATCCTTTTCTTTCGAGATGCGGCCGAGAGTCTGTGACATGTTTCTTGTAATGATCTGGTTCTGCTCAGTGGTCCCGAATATCACAGGAATGTGCGCTGCTTCATTTCCCCTTTCATTCAAACCTTCCCTCAGCGCCATGATGATTATGATAAATTCACCACAGTTCATGTTGTAAAATGTGATCTGCTTAATAGGAGATAATTAAGTATCGGTTACATATAAACGGCTCCGTGCAATTCTTTAGCACATTCACGTGGCACTAAAGGCCCACGGCCATTACAAGCTGATGAAGCTTCATTCAAAATGATTGCCACTTAATTTCTGAATGTGTGGGGAATTATTGCGCCATACATATTACTTCTGCAGAGGCAACGGTGGATTTGAAGCAAAGCCAGTAATGAAAAAAAAAAGGACGGATGGAGTTGACTTTATTTTGGAGGTTTCCAACCCCCTAATTTCAGAGTTAAGTGCCTCACTGTCACGGTTTGGGTTAATGTCTGGTTTTATTTTGTAGTTTCTTGCCTCTGTTCTCCCAGGGTCACTTCCTGCCTTGTCCTGTCCTCCTCTGTGATTGTCTGTCATGTCATGATTGTTTCCACCTGTGTCCAATCACCTGCACCTCCCTAGTGTATTTAAGCCACGTGTGTCTTTTGTCACGGATGTTCCTCGTTGCTGGCTGCCTTTTTGCCCCATGTTCCTGTGTGTGTGTTTTTGCCCGTTGGCCTTTTGCGTTTTTGCATTTTGGCTATTAAAGTCCCTTTTGGTTCCCGCAAACCTTGCGCTTGAGTCCTGTCTTTTTCCCCGCGCAACATCCCTGACACTCACAAATAGTTGATTGTCTTATCTACTGATCATTAACTGTATACTGTGGACGTGGTTCCTGAGGTCACCCGTCGGTTTGTGAGCATTGTTTTGGAACCTCGTGTTTGACATTAATGCCTTTTCCATCTTGGATTTGGAAAAAAAAAACATTTAGAAACTGAATTAAACAGTCGACTTTTGCACATCTTCTGCCTCCTGATTCCTCTCCTCAATACTTGTTTTTTCGCTTTGTGTTTAGGCCCAACGGAGTTTTTTTCTCACTTTTAATACATGTGTTTTTTCAGAAGTAAGGCTGGATCTGCAGTTGACCTACATTTCAATATTCACCTGCGAGGACGCAAATGCATATTGCTGAAAAAGTTCTTCCCTCCGCTTCCTTTTTCTACGACAAACTTGGCGTCTTAAGGATTTGTCTTCCGCTCCCTCACATTCGCTCCTTTCAACTTTCCTTTTATCTCCATCCGTGTCACCCGTAGCCATCAAGCCTGAGCGGGAGGCCCAGTTTGGCGACACCTTCCCCCCGACATGGGTGACGGAGGGCGACAGCCTCACCCTGCGCTGCACCATCGGCTCAGCTCTGCGGCCCTGCCAGCGGGACGTCACCTGGTTCAGAGACGGTGATCACCAGTGAAGATGGACTCCGATGTTTGACCACTTCCAGGTTCGACATCTGTTTTTATTTGCGCTCCGTAGGCGCCCGGCTTCATCCGTCTACAAATGTGGACATCGTCACGGTGGACGGCGAGGCCTCCGTCACTTTGCGGGCCGCGCACAAGGAGCACGAAGCGCTGTGTACGCGGCCCGGCTGAGGACCCGGGACGGCGTGCAGGAGCACAGCGCTTTCGTCTATGTCGAAGGTGAGGACCACGCTGCGTCGCTTCTCAGACGACGGGTTGTTCGAGATCGTTTCGTCAATATTAAAGGAAATGTTTAAGTGAATATTTTCATCCTATCAATCTCTATAAATCGTCATCGTCACCCACGACGACAGCTATAAGAATAGTAAAACAAATAGCTGTTGAATGCAACAATAGATGAAGGCAACAAACAAATGAGCATCGATCAAAGCAGGAGCTTTCGTGACACCCACACTTAAACTGATCACAGATACCCGTTTAATGGCAACACCTCACACGATTTATTCTATCCATTTGGTGCCAGAACGCTAAATGCTAATTTCCCAAGCTCAGCATTGATCGGAGGATGAATACCGGGGGCCGCAGGCGGCCGGCAGTGTAACGAGGCTTAGTCCTTCCTGCGGGGATTTCAACGCGACGTCCTCTTCTTCTCCGCCTTTCCGTTCTAAAACCCCCGACACAGAGCTGCTGACATTTAGGTTAGAGTAGCACGAACGCTGGGAATGAGGGAAATACTAACCTGGACCGATCCAAAGGGAACATGAGTGGCCTACCAGGACCTATAATACAAACAGTGAGTCTCAATTATATCTCACCTGGGACAGTAAAACAAACGAGTTGTTGCTGGTATATTGGGGGGGGTTTGGAGTCCTGTCAACATCTTGAAATGTCAAATAACTCCTTTCAAGAGATGCTCTTTAAAGATGGTCTTTATGAAGATAACATCTGGGCTTTAAATAGCTGTCCCACCATATCACACCAGGAACCCCTCCAAGGCTAAATGCAATCCAAAAGCATGCTTCATTCTGAAGTGATCTATTTTCTGTTCCACAAACCCGACGGATGCCTTGCAGGCACCTCGAGACATTTGCATGCCAAACTGCCGCTGTGTTCCAGAGACCGGAGTCATCATTTGTTGCCCCAATCTGGATAAATGGTGTTTTGATTGTAACCTTCACTCAAAACACGATTTGCATTTTTCAGATTTTGGGTCTACTTCCACTTCCTGTCACTGAACTAGCCCGACTCGTACTGGGGGGGGAATTGCACCATCAATCAAGCTGTTCTGTTGTAAGGGGGCTTGTTAAAACTATTTTCTTTTCCAGGCTGCTATTTTCTCTCTCGTACGCTGTTTTTGCTGCATGCAAATAAACCGGAGCACCACCCATACTTGAATCATCAGACATTTGAAATGTATCGGTGCAGCTCTGCAGCATAATACCGCCGCTTACGTATTGCACCTCAACGGCCACAATGTGCACTGAATCATTCATGGGTTGGTGTGCACATACACACCGATCGCACGAGTGCAAACACACACTCGTGTATGCAAACTGTGCAAAATGAATGTTCAGGTCTCTCTTTTATTGAGGAGCTTCTTTAGCAGAGCTCGGGGTACTAATTGGTGAATCCGCTAACTTTCCTGCTCCTGGGTTCGCGCCTTCATTCATCCGTCATATTTGCATTACAAATAGGCCGAACAGGCGAGCAACAACAAATGAGAGAGAAGTGAGGGCGAGGATGCAAATTAAAAAGCGGTTAGCGATGAGCTTGATGTCGGTTTTGAGTCTTTTGTTGAGGGAAGCGTCCGTTCCGAGCCTCCAGAAAAGGTTTGGGAAGACATCCAGTCCCTTTTAATCCGCTTTGCATAATTTTCTCATTTATTTTCTCTGCCGGCTGTCTGTGTGGCTTCACTTCCACTGGTTGTGTATAGAAGATGTTAAACAACACATGTTAACACGTTGCTTCCTCCGGCCTCCGCATCACTTTTCAAACAAGCTCCGTCACACCAAATTGCTTTTTCCTCTTTTCAATCCATTTCTTTTTTCCACTCAAGTTTTTCACTTTTCACCTTTCGGATTTCCTTTTCATGTATTTCCTTCAAATGACTTCTTGTATTGCTCCAGTCTGTCCATCTCCTCCTTTGGTTTCCTCCTGTAAATGACTCTCTCGTGCTGCAGATGCATCAGCTGTAGTGGTGGGAGGCCCCGCATCTCCTCTGGCGCTCCAGGTATCCGACGTCAACAAGGACTACGTCTTCCTCGCCTGGCAGCCCCCCAGTGCTGATGGAGGCTCACCTGTGGAGGGTTATTATGTGGAAAGGCGAGTCAACATGAATCTCGGAATTGTCTTCGCTTCTCCGGCAATTCAGTTTGATCGTAAAGAGCTTTTAAGCGGATTAATTGATTCAGCAGATTAATTGGATCAAAATAAGTGTCAACTAATCTATAGATGGAAGTATTTGAATAACTCCAGTTAAATTGCTTATTTTCTGCTTTTAACTTAATTAATTAATCTACTTGGTATACCTTAAAATATTAGATTTTAGGATTTCTTTTATGAAGCTGTTTAATATTGTTGTTTGATTTGTCAATTCACTGTCATGTTACTTTGCATTTCTGCTTCAGTAGAAACACATTTGGTATTTGTTTTTCCATTGCCACCAATATTCAGCACAAATAATGAATCCCTCACAGCAACCTCCCACTGATTTAATCTACATATTAAGTTTTATTTTAGATCATTTTTTTACCTCCATTTCCTGTATTGCAAGTCCACAACGGCCCAGTAGCAACATGCTGCTGAACCCCAGCTCGCTCCGCATCCCGCTTTGGAGGAAATTAGATCATGGGGGGGGGGGGGGGGGATGGCGGTGGCCTGCAGCGGCGTTGTATCCGTTCGGCACAGTTCACGGCAGATGGATGGCACACATGGTGATCTCAAGACCATGTGAACTGCCGAGTCAAAGACTCCCGCGGGGGGAGCAGGCGCTTCCCTTTATCGACGGCCCCCCCATCAATCAATAACGGTGGTCCTGTGGCTGTGTACGTGCACGCGAGTCGTCGCAGAACATAAATCAAGTATGTATATTTGCACACGCGTCGCTTGGGTTCCTTCTCTCTTGGAGGTCGAGGATGAGTGTGTTGGCATTCGGGGTTAGCGGAGGGCAAAGTGGGATGCTTAGTTCCCTAGCAACCTCTTCATGGTGTTGGTTACGTCTGAGCTGCAGTTCTACTTGGAAGGCAGTTTTCACTGTGTTTGGAGGCCCATTATTTTTCTGTGTCTGGTCACAATTACGAGTGTGGGAGGGCAATTCACCGACTTCAATGTGTCCTTGCTGCTGTTGTTGTTGCTGCGTGAAACGACACACCGAGAATACTGAATGGTGTTTTTTGTTCTGTGTTTACCTCTCATTTAAATGTCTCTCTCAGGCGTGACCTCCGTCGGGGCGAGTGGGTGCGCTGCAACGAGCGCATCCGGGGCGCCTGCCAGTGCCCGATGTTTGGGCTCCAGGAAGGAACCGTGTACCAGTTCAGAGTGTGTGCCGTTAACCGGGCCGGAGCGGGGCGCCCCTCCAAGGCCACCGAGCCCGTCCTCGCCGCAGACCCGCTGCGACACACCAGGACCACGGGTACGACGGCGGCCACCACTCCACCGGAGGACACAGCGTGTTTGGTTCTAAGTGCATCGGCGGTGTGAACGCTGTAACGGATTCGGGATTTAGTGATCATAGCGATTCATTATTAAATCGGTACGCTGGTCACGATATTCTTTTTCAATCAGACGAGCTATCAAAAACTGAGGCGTGCCGAGCTCATCGGTCACACATGTTCCTCCCAGATCCCTCAAACAAAGTGGGCTACCCCACCCCCCACCAACCCCCTTGTTATGTTATGAGATGCAGTTTATATTATTAATGCTTTTACTCAATTATTTATTCGTGAGCTCAATTGCGAGAATAAATAAACACACGTTGCGGTATAAGTGCATTCAACGCAGCACGGCGTCCATTTGATAAATGATGGTCCCGCGGGGAAATGGACGTGGCTGCGTCACTCTATTTAGCTTCTTCCCTTCAATCTGTCCCCCCCGCGGGACTACAAAGAGCAACGTGTCGACCACTCAATCGCCTCGTCTGCTCCCAGCCGTCGAGCCATCCGCACCGGGAGGACGGATGGGCTCTGGTCCAAAGCTGTGGATCATTAACCGCGGACGAAGGACGGGCAAGAAGGTCGACTGGCCTGCAGCCTGCAGCGGCTCCTCCAACGCTAACACTATAATATCACGGGCGCTCGTGTAACTTCATTAAGGCGACGTGAGTTCCCTCTGGCCTCAACCCGTCTCCTTCTCTGTTTCGCAGTGGTCAAAGTAGACAGAGGGAGGACTGTCACCGTCACTAAAGATCAACTCGAGGGTGAGAGTGCCGTATTCCTGTTTCACTGTGCGTGATTTAGTCGTGAATAGAACGTGAACGTCGAACGTTTTCCGCCCATGATTTGAAATGGCACCCATGTTTTACCGGCACGCAGCGCCTTCAGCCCGCCTCGGGCTCAGTGGCTTAATGCATCTTCGTATTATATTAAACAACGAGCTGCGGTAATTGCACGGCTGAGGCGACGAGCGTTTCTCCCATTTGCAGAAGTGAAAGGAACGAACACTCCCTGGTGGTTTCCTGGTAAATGCACATAATGGCCCGAGCCAGTGTGAATGCCTGTGAAGAGGCCCGCTAACGCTGGAGACGTACCTCGAAGACAAAGGAGGGTGGAGGAGGAAGATGGATTTTTCATCCAGGCAACCAGAAAACAGATGTAGCGGAGACAGTGCTTTCCTACTTTCTTTATCCTGCTCTTTAGTGGAGCAGAAAGTGTGCATGCAAATTTGAAAGGGGAGAGAGAAAGCACTCATGTGTGTTTGTGTGCAGCTTTTGTCCAAGATGGTGGAGAGAAAGTTACATTCAAGCAAATACACATTGGAAATGCTTTTTACAGCGAGTTATTTGCTAGAAATGTATTCATGCAAAGCTAAGCTTTCTTCATACTTAACATGGTATTGATCTTTTCCTCTTACTCTCTTAGAGAACTCCCTTCTATAAGGGTCATGAAGGAAACGCTATTCCAATTACTTTTTGCATGTTTGTGCTATTTTGTACTAATTTGACGTGAACGTCCTCCTCGCATTTAAGGTGAAACATCAGAACTTTAACCTCATAGTCATGGATTCATTTAAACGTCACGGGTTTGAGTGCAGAGCTACAATACAGGACAATATTAACTACTGCAGTCTCACCCACACACACACACAGACACGGTTTATGCTTCAGATCAGCTTCTTTTATTTCTCTTTGCTCTGGAGTTCCTTTCTGATCCTCACTGCAGCTCCGCAGCTCTTCAGGGGATGCAAAACAAAGTCTTACACAAACGCAAACGCAAGACCCGTGACTAAATCCGGACGCTTTCATTGTCCTTGAATCCCTTGGAGAGTCACTGGGAGTGTGCTGACTCAAGCCATTTGCCTCTGTGTTATCCAATATTCGTGTATATTGGGAATGGAGGTGGAGTTTGGGCCTGCAGGGTAAAGCCCCACCATTGTGTGCACGCTCGACTCAGCGCCACCAAAGAAAGAAAGAATGCGTGCACAACATACGCCAGCTGGACTCCACATTCTCGCTGACTTTGTTCTAACTTTTTGTTCTTTGTCTACCTCCTCCTCCTCCTCCTCCCTTTGGCTCTGCAGGTCAAATCAGAGCTCCTTTCCCTCCCACCAACGTCCTTGCCTGCGAGGTGAGCGACACCTACGTGGTGCTGAGCTGGACCGAGCCTGAACCCAGAGGCAGGGAGCCGCTCACCTTCTACGTGGAGCGGGTCAGTGTGCGCTCACACACACACACACACACACACACACACCAATGCTCGGTAACTCTGGGGGTCTCGGTTGATGAGTATTGTCCTCTCACCCTTCACCTAATCACAACCCCGGACGTCCTACAAGACAGCTTGCATCCAAGGAAGTCTGATATTGGAGAGATGGCTTCTATCTTTGAGCTGTGTTGTCAAAGTGTGACTTCCAAAGCTCAGATCCTGAACAGGGAAATAAGATTTTCAGCAATATATGCAGCAAAACCTTTCAAGAGGCTTCATCTCAGGCATTGTAGTGCAGTGGCTGAGAAAGAGATGGGGAAAAAAGCACTTGTCCAAAGTGTTGCTTGAGGATGTTTGAATGTTCATCATAAAAACTTCTTCAGTTTTCTCTTTAAGTCTGAAAAAGCGTCACACCATCACGCTGAGTGATTGAGATGGACCTTCACACACGGTTCCTGCTCATCACTGCTTTACTACGAAGTTCTAAATTACGAGGCTGCTTGGTAATCCCTATTTAGAAGAAAAGGCACAGGCACAAAGAAGTGTTCTTCAAAGGAGACACACACACGCTATCGCTCACACACGAGATCACGTGTGAACACAACCGCCATCGTAATCAGTGACTTACATCCACTGGGCGCAAGGATCGATTTCTCTAGCGTCATTAGTTCCTGTATTCGCTCGCTGGGTTTTTTGAGGTCCGTTGCTGGAGTGTGAGCCAAATTAACAGCAAGCTCCTGACCACTAATTAAGGAGACAGCAGAAAGAGACGCTGTGTCTGTTTAAGGGGGAATTTGTGGAGCCATTAAAAGTGAGCAGACCTTGATGTTGCTCTTTTGCGACGTGCGCGTTGCTTTTCTCGCTCGCGCACTTTTGTAGCTTGTGATTTTAAACTACGTGGAACTTTATAATTATTTATTTTGTGTGAGGGGCGACCTGTTCATCACGACAATAAATGGCTCCGGCCCTCCACCAGGAGCCCGTACTCCCGACAGCTTCTGTAGCTCCAATAATCAGAAAACTGCCACAGGACAGATTTATATTGGACTTTTGTAAGATGCCGTGGTAATAAAATCTGTCTAATCTGTCAAAGGCAGCTGAAACTATTACAGTGTGCTGCTTCACCTCTGCTTCTGCAATGAGGTGAACATTCAAATACCCCCTTTGTCCTTGAGCAAAGCACTAACCCTGAAAAGGTGGTTACGTTTTCTTCTTCAAACAGGGTGTTAGAGAAGGAAACATGGCAAACTCTGAGGAAGATGACAAATAGGTAAAGACTATGAAATAGAGAAGGTTAGTGTAGTAAAGCCCACAGCTTCTACAAAAAAGTCCTGAGTTATGCAACAGAGACTGGTTTTACAATATTGAAGTAGATAATGTGAAGTATTTGGTAGTCCAAGCAGGTTGAATCCTCCAACATGTCTGAAGGGGACTGAATAATGAGCATGTCCTTGAGAAAGATGCAGATAGAGCTTTGGAATCATCTTTTTTTTTTTGTTTTTTTTTTATCAGTCTCAGGCAGGAAAGAGCAGCTGGGAGCTGGCCAATCTGGACACGGAGGTAAACTCTCCGAGGTTCCCAGTGTTTGACCTGGCCAAGGGCAAGCAGTACCGCTTCAGAGTGCGCTCCGTCAACAAGTACGGAGTCAGCGACCCCTCCGAGCCGTCTGCACCCGTCTCCTTGGGAAAGCCACAAGGTGAGAAATGAGCCTCGTCCGACACTGTGACCATCAACTGCTCTGCCCGTGAAGGTCAATTAGACTTCTTCGTCTTTGTGAGCTAAACAGCGTGGTTACATGGATTCGATCAACTGGCCTAGTCGGGCTGAAATCCAATGATCCGTTTCATGTAAACACCTTTGTCCGACTACGTGCGGTCCGACTACGATCCGACTGACACCCCTGAATAACTCCATCCGATCCAGTTGATTGTTCGACTATTGCGGCATGTAACGGTGAATCTGATGAGGAACTGGACTTTGCGTCTTTGCGCGTGCTTGAGATCCCGACGGCGTCTTCTCTCCGTTATCAAATCAGCCGATAGCGCCATTCGCATTCGCTGTGCTCCTATTAGCATCATGCACACATAGTAGATGGATGTAGCTTCACCTCGCTCTCCGCTCGCCATCTTTCTCCTAATGTTGTTGTTGTTGTTGTTGGTAGTGGTGAAGCGGTCAAGCGGAAATGGCTGCATCACAACTAGTTGTAATGAAAACAGCGCCACCTATCGTATCGGATATGACGATATGCTTTCGCCCAATGCTTCGATTTATTCACTGCCATGTATATTGGGATAATAGCACCTCCCCCCGAAAGAGAGCATAGTCCGACTAAGCAAAGATTCAAATTATACCATCATGTAAACACACTGACTGTCTTTGAACAAACACTGATCTTCATAGCAGGTCAATTATATATATATATATACATATACATACATATATATGTATATATATATGTATATGTATGTATATATATATGTATATGTATATATGTATGTGTATGTATATGTATGTATATATATATGTATATGTATATATATATGTATATATGTGTATATATATGTATATATGTGTATGTATATATATATATATGTATATGTGTATGTATATATATATATGTATATATGTATATGTATATGTATATATGTGTATGTATATGTATATATATGTGTATGTATATGTATATGTATATATATGTGTATGTATATGTATATATATGTGTATGTATATGTATATATATGTGTATGTATATGTATATATGTGTATGTATATATATATATGTATATATGTGTATATGTATTAACATCCCGTAAGTAGGGTGGCTGCACACTGCATCGGGATCACGATTCGTCTGCAGCTTAATCAAAGCTGAAGGAAAGATATATTAAGTTGACATTTTTAAGGGAAAGAAGCAATTTTGACTGAACATTTGCTTAAATTAGACCCTGATGCAGCGTGGCCCCTTTTAGTGTTTTTGTATAGTATAAAAACCTCACAGATTGGAGGCAACTTAAGTGCAGAACTTGAGTAAGTACCTTTCCACACTAGTAAGATTTCTGCACCCTTTATCTGTGTGAATTTTTTCCAAAATCAAAGGAGGAGTTTTTGTTTCTGTGTTTCCGATCAGCGGCGCCGGCTCCGCCTCACTCCGTCGTGGCCGTCAGAGACACGCACACCTCGGTGTTGCTCCAGTGGCAGGAGCCCAAAGAAAAGGACGACATCCTGGGTTACTACCTGTACTACAGCGAAAGTGGCCACCAGGACTGGAAGACTGTCAACAACAAGCCTATCAATAAAAGCAGGTAGGAAGTGAAAGCATTGCCTGAAGGCGAGTTGCCGCTGTGGGAGAGGAGAATCTGTGCAGCCGGGTAACTACGCGCAGCTAAAGACAACTTTGTCTCAGATTTACAGTTCACGGCCTCAAGAACCGGAAGGAGTATGTGTTCAGGTTGAAGTCGGTGAGCCGAGCAGGAAACAGCAACTACTCGGATGAGTCTCAACCCGTCCTCGTCAAATCAGCCATTTGTAAGCGCACCCTCCAGGCCCCAAAATAATGGGCATGAAATGTATTACAGGGCGACAACTCGAGGACATTCAAAGCGTTTTACTCACCAAGCAACTCTTGCACCATTTCTAAAGTCTTGTGCAGATTGTTGGAGATGCACAATTCCGACACCGGGAGTCTTGCACGCACATGTTGTCTCCAGAATTCAGAAATGTGTTCGCGTTATCGACTTATGCATTCACCTTTCCAGTTACACAGCTGATAATGTTGCCCATTAACAGTTTGCACTGCTAGTGTGTTCGTATTCGACTAAGATTGTGCTCCTTCAACATGTCATGGTGGCTCTTATCGTGGTTGCCTCGTAGCTGTGTGGAGACGTCCCTCTCAAACAGCGAAACGACCCTTCGCTCTTCCCGTGTTGCAGTCTCGGATAATGTGCACTATGACTCATTTCGCTCGCCGCTCACTCACTAGAATATCCTCACCTCATCTACTTTTCCACTCCGCCATTACCTGAGGATAGAAAATCCAATTCTTTTGGGGGGGGGTGAATAGATTTTTTATCAAATAGAATATGAGATGAATATTTCTTCCCTTCTCATACAGAAATACTCAATACGGGCTTTTAGATATGAATTTGCAACTCGCGGCGCGGAGTTGCAGGCGGTGGTGAAGTTATTGACTTTCTCGGTCTATTTAGCAGGAATAGGTGCCTTCTCTCTGCTATTATTTACACCGTTTGCTTTTGTTTTCATCCTTCTCTGCTTGACGCAGCCGTTCCTTCGGCTCCCTCTGCCATCGCCCTGCTGCTGTGCACCGGAGCAGAGATGGTGTTGGGCTGGAGGGCCCCCGCGTGTAACGGGGGAGACCCCGTGCGCGGATACTACCTGGACCAGATGGAAAAGGGCGCCAGCTCATGGAGGGAGGTCAACGTCAAACCCGCCAAAGAGAGGCTGTTTGAGGTCTGTAATGGTGGAGTGTGACGCTCGCTGCATGTCAGTCTGTCAGTCAGTCAGTCTGTCTGTCAGTCAGTCAGTCCACATGTTGCTCCAGACTGAGTCTCTACAATTGTTGAAAACATTCTTGGTGCCCGGAGGAAAATCCTCTTTTATATCTTGACAACTATTGGAAGGTTTGTCCATCTTATGCAGCCGTGGATGTTGGCACACTGCCTCCTTGTTCTTTACCGATGCCAAAAGATGATGAGTAGCTGCAGAAGAGCTACAGCGGCATTTGGTTATCCGGTATTGTCTGTTTTTTGTGTTTTTTTTGTTGTGAAACTGTCCGAAAGATTGAAAAGGAATACAAATGCATTGACCAAACATTCCCTGCAAATATGAGGACATTCCTGTCATCCCCCGCTGCACTTGCTTTGTTCTAATTAGCAACGTTTAGCATGCTATCTCGCTGAACAAAGGTTTTGAACACTAAGAGGATTATACCTGCCAAACATCAGCCCGTTAGCGATGGCACCGTAGGCATCGTAGGCATGTAAGCGTGCTGACTTCAGCATTTAGGTCACAGCGAGCAAAGTACAGTCTCGCGGGGCCGCAGCCTCCGACTGGAGACTGTTGTTTCTCTAAGTGTGTACTGCTTAGCCTTCACATCATATGCATGAAGCGGTCTAGAAAGATGTTTTACATTATGCACATGTGAACTTGCAGTATCCACAATGCACAACAGAGTATGTTCTATTCACCGGCAGTATGACGACACATAATTCATTGTTTCATGTTTTGATAATGGAGATGAAGGAGAAGGAATCATTAAAATCACAGCAGAAAGAAATATACATTTCTTGTCGGGACGATACGGGAATACTTTTAATAAAATTATAAAAATTCAGGTTACCTCTCCATTTAGTAGTTGGCTCAAGGTGATGGAAATGCTGGCTAAAGCTCCCTCATCCACATAGGCTTTGTCACTAGGCAACAAGCAGTGTCCATGGAGACCTGGAGCAAAGTTAAATCTTTAACCTGTCTGGAGGAGATTACAGGTGCTCCGTAATCAGACATTGTTCTAATGTGGTCCATGTGAGCGACTGTTTTTAGCTCCTGGGTAGAACAAAGACGGAGCCAATTAGAACATAAAATGACTGTATGGGAGGATTATCCCTGCACATTGTGGAGAGGGCAGTATTGAGGATTGGAGATCCATTTCTCAGAAGGAAACCTCTGGTGAGAACATGCAGCTCCCCCTTTTGGGGGGAATCAGCTATTTGAAGCCCGTCACGATGTGCGGTCTCCACTTCTCGCCGCAGCTGTAGTACGAGGTTATTCAAATCGCGCTGGTGACCTCGTGGATGCAATTAAGATCAGTCATTTGACTGTTGATTCTTTTCAAGAGGTAAACTGTGAAGAATTACTTTGCCGTGGAAGCTTCCACAATGAGATGTCCTGATGTCACTGATCCCGCTCCATTAGAACGAAAACAAGATTTGGTTTTATTTTCTCCTCCGATTGCAATTTCACCACGAACCATCCAGGAGAGATTACTTATTAAAGTCAAACACAACTAACAATCCTTCATTGCAATTGAAAGACTTAATCAACACAACTGTACGTCAAATGGATCAAGTGGAGCCAGTTTGCCATCTAGTGGATGAAAGCTGGATTCCCCTCAGCGAATTCTGGCAGAAAACCTCTGCTGTCCTTGGTGTTCACTGTATATTGGTTTGATAAGAAGGTTGCCATTCAGTCTAAATATGGTTGGAAAAGGCATTGTAGGTAAAGACATATAGCTTTTTTTTAGAGAGTGATTGCCATTACTGCACAATAAGCTGCCCCTGGTTTTGTCGATTCGTTGCCGGGAGCAGCAGCGAGTTCACAACCGTTCACTGAGGCGATAAGGGCCTTAAGGTCTCAGAGGCTGTAAATAGGAAGATCAATGAATGGATCAATAAGGCTGAATCCTTTCTCTTTTCAGGGGCTGGGCCAAAAAGATGTACAGCAGCAGTGCTAATACCTTTTAAAATGCCTGCTTGATTCTAGAGGGAGCGTTGGTCCTGTGTGATGTGCCAACTGATCCGTGTTTTCCATTTGTACTCAATATTAACCAATTTAATGTCAAGATGTCTATTATCTACAGACAAAATCCATAAATCTCTAATTAAACAAGCACTGAATAATTACATGAGTACTTTCTTTTATTCTCTCTTGGCTTTTGAGTTAAGAAAAACAAAAACATTATAAGCTCAGTTTTCGGTTTTCCGCCTAAAATCCTTTTGAATCTTAATTCTAATCTCATATATTGGCTTACATTCAATGAGAGCTGTAACATGTGGTTAAAACTATAATATAGATACATATGTTCTTATTTCAATGCATTTTGAAGTAAGCTTGACTAATCCTACCACAAGAGACGAGAAGAGATGATTTTGCCTCTTGTTCATCGGCAGGTTTGCAACCTAACCAGTGGACACCTTTACCAGTTCCGTGTGTTTGCCGCAAACATGGCCGGAGTTGGCGAGCCATCTGAGGCCAGTGAAGCTTTCCTGTGTGAGAAGTGGACCATGCCAGAGCCAGGTGAGGACAAAATGCCACTTCACCTTCACGAAGGATATAAGAGATCTCTGCACACCTGAATGTGTGACCGGTGGAGGGCCCACACGTGGAAACCTTCCTGCACACTATGTTCCAGCTGGTATGATTATTTAAGACACATAAAATAGTCTTCTTTTAATACTTTTTATACCTTTTAACTTTAATTTGCACACCCACACACAGGCTCAATGTTACTCTGGTATGCGGCGGTTCATCGTTGTGGCTCCACTCCTTTCAGCTTCTTGGGACATTAATACTGAAAATTGAGAGAGAGACTCCCTCACACACGCCACTTATAAAGCTGAGCTCATTAATCTTTGTAAATGGGCTTTCCTCTGTGTCGTTAATAATTCAAAAGTCATTAAGCAAATTAACTACTAAGTGTCAGTGGGGGTAGATTAAAGAAAGTCACTGTACTCATTTACACATTTTGTATGGTCACCATATATTAAGCTTCCTTGCCCCAAAGCAGAGACCTTGATATGCCGCATGTCTCCTCTCCCTCAGGTTGTCCCTACGATGTGCAGTTCAGGGAGGTGGGAAACGGCTCCCTGGTGCTGCTATGGGCGCCTCCGATGTACGAGGGACGGAGCCCCGTCACTGGCTATTTCCTGGAAATCAGCCAGGGCGACCAATCGGACAACTGGACCGCTTTGAATGAAGGGCCAATCTGTGACACACATTACAAGGTGAGAGAAGCTGTGAAAATGTTGACAAGTTCCGAGACAGACATGCATATTTAGGGTTCATCCATTATCTGATCGGGAAAACTATTGCCGTATTAAATAAAGTCGCCAATAACAAAGTTATTAGCCATCCCTATATTGTGTTCCTCATGTGTGGGACCAAACATTTAAATAGTCATTATAAAATTATGCCAACGAGCTGTAAATCTTTGATTTGTGTTTCTTGCGACGTCCAGGTGTCTGGTCTTCAGACGGGTCAGACCTATCGTCTCCGTGTGCTGGCTGTCAATGAGGCTGGGGTGGGCCGGGCCTCTCTGCCCACTGAGCCCGTCACGGCTGAGTCCCGACCAGGTCTGACAGCACAGATACAGGAATAAAACATTGAAATACAAAACTTACAAAATCACTTCCATGCCCTGTTTTCTGGCGGTTTCTGGACCTAAGAAATGTGATGATAGGAAAAGCCTTGACACACCTAGGGTCTGCCATAGGGTCTGAAATTGGGTCGGCCCAAAAAAGGGTCTGATATGGGGTCTGCCATAGGCTCTGAAAAAGGGTGTGATAAAGGGTCTGCCAAAGGATCTGATATTGGTCGGTCTGATGGGTCTGATATTCGCTCTGAAAATAGGTCTGATTTAGGGTCAGTCTGATTTAGGGTCTGATATAGGGTCTGATATAGGGTCTGATTTAGGGTCAGGGTGATATAGGTCTGATTTAGGGTCAGTCTGATTTAGGGTCAGTCTGATATAGGATCTGATGCAGGTTCTGATAGGGGTCAGTCTGATATAGGGTCTGATAGGGGTCAGTCTGATATAGGGTCTGATTTAGGGTCAGTCTGATTTAGGGTCTGATATAGGGTCTGATATAGGGTCTGATTTAGGGTCAGGGTGATATAGGTCTGATTTAGGGTCAGTCTGATTTAGGGTCAGTCTGATATAGGATCTGATGCAGGTTCTGATAGGGGTCAGTCTGATATAGGGTCTGATTTAGGGTCAGTCTGATATAGGGTCTGATATGGGGTCTGATTTAGGGTCAGTCTGATTTCGGGTCTGATATAGGGTCTGATAAAGCCACACTAATCAACTATTTCACCTTCAGGTGCCAAAAACATTGAGATTGGAGTGGACAACGATGGTTTTATATTTCTGGGCTACGAGGCTGATGAGACGGACGACGAGAGCAAGTTTCTATGGAATAAGAACTACACAGAGCCCATCGATGCCAAGAGGGCTCAGGCAGAGACAAAGAAGGACGGGTATGGCTTGAGATTACATTGATATTAGGTTTTGACCAGGCAACTTCAATTTGCTTTGTGGAGCCAATTGTTTCAAAGCTTTTCACAGTGAAATTCCCACTCAAGGCAAATGTCCGTTAATTATATCTTCTCTAAGCTTAAAGGAAGTCTATCCGCCAACCATTGCACTCATTGATGTCCTGCAAAACAATGACTAACTTTGGGATTACATTGGTGGGGTAGAAGGCACTATGAAGTGTGGTGGCTGACAGACTAAAGCAGCACCTTCATTCCTCAGGTCAGTCCTTACCTTCACAGACCCCTCTGAGGAGGATCTGGGTCTCTACACCGTCGAGTTGAGCGACAGCCCAAACCACTCATCCAGCTACGACTTCACTGCCGAAGGTAAACTGACAGCCAGAAGGTCAGAAAACTGTCTCGTCTAATTCACAACTTCGCCTCAGGCGCAACCAGGACTCTCCTGCGTTCATGAATAGCAGGGCTTTTGATTTTATGCGTTGTCAAGCTGTTCCGTCAAGCAAATCATTATGCACCTCGCGACCTGTTCCAGAAGGTCACCCGTCCAACTAATCTCATGTTCTCAATCAGCTCTCAGCTTGAATTTAGAGCCATTGTTCCTTGACAATAAGAAGAATTGTTAGTCCTGTTCAAAGTTGAATTAACCTTCGGCTAACATTTTACTTCTCTGCAGACCTCGGACGACTCAAAGAACTCAGCTGGCAAGTGAGAAATCCATGTATGTACCAAAGACATTGCGCCCTGTGTGTTCAGCTGATATATCAAAAAAAATGTTGAAAAAGTTATTATCAACATTAAATGTGAAATACTTAAAGTATGTATTGGAGCGCTTGTTATTTTGAGCCAAAATGATTGAATTGAATGATCGTCTAAACTCACTCGTCCCTGAATGCTCTGCCTTTGTTATTTTGTAGTGATAGATCTGAAGTCAGGCTGGCAGGTGGAGGTTTCGGATCAAGGCGACGTACGTCTTTGGCTCCAGACCGAGAGTCTGAGCGACGCCGCTGAGCTCCGTCTCATCTTCAATGACCGAGAAATCACCGGCACGCCGGTGAGAACCGCCTCGGTACTGCAGCTCAGGGTTGGACCATTTGTTATCCATCCATTGCCTGCAATCACGCATCCTATTCAGGGTTGCTGTCATTACACAGTTATGAAAACTTCATGGATGGAATGATTCACGCGGCGCGTTTTAGGATTTTATGTCCTGCAAAGGAGACTAATTGTTCTGAGCACATGGCAGCGTACTTTACTTGTCGGCCTGCTGCTAATCAAGTTGACAAATGCATGTTGGCCAGATTTGGATTTGATGGAGAAATCTGTTGGGCCCATCAGGTCTCACCAAACCATAATTTGCGCAAACAATGTCACCAGTGCATGAGGGGAAGGTTTTTTAGTCATTGATTTTAGTGTTTAGAGGCTAACTAGCAAATGCTCAATAGTATGTGACCCTCTTGAGCGCCCCTGACCCACAGATTGGGAACCATTCCTGGACTAAACTACCTAACTGTGTAAAGTACCTCATTTATCTACATTAGCAGCTACTTCTTCTGAAAAGAAAAGAAAATTCAGGGTCATGTGATTGATGCCTTTTTCTCTTGCACTTCAATTACAATGCGCTAAAAGTCTTTCTTTTGTTTGTTTTTTCAATGACGCTACTACAATATACTGGTTACTCCTGCTTTAAAATGTGTTTCACATATCTCAAAAATTACCTCCACATTCATTTAGGTTGATAAAACGTCTCGGTAAAGAGAACAATGACTGAATGTGAACAAATCCTACTCAGCACTCAGATGTTCTACCACCAAGTTAAAAATAATTAGCTTTGCCGTCGAGGTTATTGAACCTTGTACTGACGTGGCCAATGAGGGAAAAGCAGAAACAACTCAGTGTGTTTATCGTGTTTCACAACTCTGTCAGATACATTTTGTGTGACTGTGTTTGTGCGAGTCAGGCGACTGCTTCGTATTCCTCGCATGCATTCATAGCTTCTGTTGCATTTTCATTTACTCCATTATTTCTCAGAGCTGCATATGAACAGTAGTGATTATTATCATTATTTCTGAATGACCACAGCTGACGTTTGTGAATTTGAAAGCCATTTGGCTATTTAGGGCCCTCAGGTCCCCCTTGCACCACAAATGACATCCACCTGAGGCCTATGCACCTGCAAGGAAACGCTTATCATGATGAACATTACAATCAGGAAGTAAATCACTCGTTTGTTTGTGTTTGTCTGTGTGCGAATGTGTCAGAAAAACAGGATATTTCATTTAAGCTGTGCATTTTGTCTTTCCAGTGGCCTTTCGTGTGCCAATTAACAATCCTATTCTCTCTGCCTCGCTAACCATCGACACAATAGGCCGCAAGTGGCGTGTCTACCTGCCACTCTGCTGTGGACTGTCCGTGTGCCAATGCTTGTTTGCTGTTCTGCAGCACCGTAAGATCAACTTCGACAAGGACAAAGGTCTGTTGGAGATACTGTTTGACCAGCTCTGCCGGCAGGACGAGGGCTCGTACACGGCTCAGCTGAAGGACGGCCGCGCCAAGAACCAATTCACCTTGGTCTTTGTGGATCAGAGTGAGTCTTTCACCACGATGAAAGAGGACCAGACATGTAGAGGGACAATAGAAAAGAACAGACATCTCTTCCTGACCGTGATATGAACTGTAGTGAGCAGAGACGTTCTTTTTTTTTTTTTTTATCAAGCCGCTGTTTATTTCTTCTGTTAAATTGGGTCTTTTGGCATTGCGATCTATGGCGACTGCTTACGTTTGGAGCCGTCTAAAAGTTTCAAGGAATTGCAGCATTTTTTGCTTTAGCGTTGCCCCCCCCCCCCCCTCCTCAGAGAAAGCATAGTTGTGCACAGTTACTATGAGATTATAAGTCTAAATGTTTCCCATAGACACTCAATGCTTGAGTCAAGATAACCTTTAAGTGCTGTTTTACATAACTTCACACAAAATACATAAAAAGTCTGTCTCCATAGGCCTTTATTTCCATCGGACTCTGGGAAAGTGTGAAAAGAAGTCAATTTCCCCAAATCCACCATACCACTGATCTATCTCACTAAGTAAAGCTCACATTACACATTCAGCTGCTTTTGTGAAATCTTGAAACGGTTTGGAGCCATATTTTTTATTCCTGGCAGAGGAGAGAAGCATTTTGAACATTTGTCTCGTATTGAATAAATAACATTAACAGAAATAATTGAATGCAATATGAAAAACAACATTAGGGAAATAATAAAGGAAGCTAAAGGTCTGCATTCATGGTGCATTTATTTCTAGACATCTGACCTTTTAATGACCTGCTTCCTTTAACGACAACCAGAGGAGCTGATTTGTGCCACAATTACTTCTGAAAAGAATGACTAAATGATCCTATAATTATCTTCTCTTGTGTTGCTTTGTGAACGATGTCGGTCAGTACTTGACGACCTGTTTTCAAATCATACAATTATTTTGCCTCAGTTTAAATCCATTTTTAGAAAACTGTTTTCCACTCGGCCTGAAAACTGACATTGTTTGTGTCTCGTCAGCGTTTCGTCAGACGTTGGCCCTGGCGGATAAAAAACGACGTGACCATCAAAGGAAATCTGGTGAGAACAGGAAAAAAAAGCACTAACAGATAAATAATGAATAAATAAATAATAAGAGTCGCCGCACGGACAGAAAGGAAGCTCTCTTTGCTGCTGAGCTCTGTGGATGTGATAAGCTGGAGCGCTTGTGTGCAGAGGCCGATGCCCCACTGCACCCTCGTGCAAACAGACAGCTCAAAGCGCTCTGGCGTTCAAAGTACTCGTGGCTCAGAGCCCGCCTTGCACATTTTGTCCATTACGTGCAGAACAGTTCAGTGCAAAGCAGCTATTAAAGCGGGCTGGTTAATTACTGCACGCTGTTATGAATGACCTCACCCTGTTCATTTTTGGAAGCTGTCACTATCATTAATTGCCATGAATTGCCCTGTAATGAGGCGTTTATGTTTCCGTGGTTGCTTTGAATAAGTTATTGTCTAGTGCTCACTGTTTTCTACCAGGGGAATAATGTGCTGTGCTCTCTCCTCTCCCAAGGACCTTATTTCCAGGAATACTTGGCGTGGACCATAAGTGAAGATTGCGAACTCATTATAAAGTGCAAGGTGCTTTGTTTTTGCTTAATGAATGTGCTGTAAATACAATATTTAGCCTAAGTGCTGCTAGCCAGGAAATGTTTAACCCTTCAAACAAAAATGTATGTTGTTACATTTGCTTTGAAGGTCGCTAAGCTGCAACATCATTAAGTACAAGACAATTTTCTGCGTTGGATTCATGCGTTGCAAAAAGGACTTTTATTTCTCAACACATAGGTGACAAATACAAACAAGGACACGTCACTCAAGTGGTTGAAAGACGGCGCGGCGGTGAGCCGCTTCGTCTATGACCAGTCATCTGGGGTCAGCACACTCACCATCCCGCAGGTATCAAACGCCGCTCTATTTTCAGAGTACGTGTGTGTGTGTTTGTGCTTCGGAGTCTCCAGGTTAAATAAAGGATGAGTTAAAGTGTTTGGTTGTTCTCCAGAGTCATCAATAATTCATCAGAGGACCTATGAATGAGAGCGCGTCTCCCCACAGGTTACAGAGAAGGACGCGGGTTCCTTCCGGTGCGAGGTGTCCGACGGGAGGGGGGAGGACGTCAGCACTTTGGAGTTGCTCGGTGACGGTGAGACGTCGTTCCCCGTTTGCTCACGTGTGCTGTTTCAATTTAGCATCAATAATAGAAGTGAGGCGGTGAACATCTTTTTCCTCCGTGTCTCATTTCGGGTCTGCAGCATTTAGCTCCCCACCACTAATCTTGGGTTTAGTGTTTATTGAATTCCAATATCAACATAAAAGAGCGTCTGAGGGCTTCATTGTCCTTTTCATTTACAGAGTATGACAAGCTTCTGCAGCAGCTGGGTGAACGGTCGGGTGAGTTGCTCACAGTTGGAGTCTCTACGTTTGTGGAATGTGCCAATGAATTTGCTTCACATCTGCTTTGTTTGTGATGGGGAGGAAACGACTGAAAGCCGTGTTACTAATTGGTTGTTGTGTGTGTGTTGCATTCGAAATATGCAACATGAAATGGGCGAGGACACGGAAAGGGATACGCAGACTGTCTCTCTCTCCCTCTCTGCAGCATTGTCTGCCAGCCCGTTGAAGGTTCAGAGCACCGCTGTGGGTCTCATGCTCTACTGTTCCCTCAAATACTACATGAGCTTCCTGAAGACCAGCTGGCTCTTCAAGTGAGTCCGCGCGCGAAGCACCTGTCTGACCTCTCCGCCCTGCCGATGACGAAGTGTTCCAAAAAATACCCGTGATAAATAGAAATGTTAAAGATCCTTGTGTGCACAAACACCTGCACAGAAAAACCAATGAGAAGTAGCTTAAAGTGGGGTTTGTCTGATGAACCATCTGTAGCAGTGTGGCCACAGAAGGAGCTTCACGGACCAGAGGTAACCCATAAAATAATTAAGAAAGCGAGCGGGAAGCTGTTCCACTGGACTGTTGGACTTTGTTCTCAACCGTCCTGTCGTGCACGTGTGTTTCTGTGACTCGATCCTGTGATTAGATTTAATACATTGTGAATCATTTTAAAATGATTGTGAAAAGGCTGAGGGGGGAATGTTTTTGCTGGAAGGCCTCAAGCAACACCTGCTGGAGGCTTGAAGGACTGCCTTAAAAACAGAACAAACAGGTTTGATTGACAGGTTTCTTATTCTGGAATAATGATTATATAATAATAACTTTTGTATGATTATAGTCTAAATTTTAACATGTCACTTTAGCTTCAACGTGTATGTTTTTTTTAGAAACTTTTACCATCAATTGCTTTCATCCAACTCAAAAAGATGTGAAAAGAAGAAAAAATCCACTTCTAAATCTAAGCTCGCCGCTTTGTTCCAGGGGACACGCGTGATTATCTCCATGATATGTTTTTGTTGAGCATATTTTTTGGGGAACTGTCTTTGCTTCCTTCCGTGCAGAGAGAAGAGGATCGATCAGGAAACCAGGACGAAGCCCGGCAGCAATACGGAGAAAGTCTGGATTGAGATCTGCAACCCAACCGAAAATGACAAAGGCAAATACATCTTGAAGATGTTCGATGGGAAAGAGACGCGCGAGCGGCACCTGGACCTGTCTGGACAAGGTGGGTGGAAATGGCCGGTCTAGACTGAGAACATTTTCCAGAGCAGACAAGCTAAACGACAATCTCGATCACCATTATTTTCCACAGCGTTTGCCGACGCCCTGCTGGAGCACCAGCGGCTGAAGTAAGTGCTGCGCTACGAGCAGTGGGTGACGTTTTCCAGCGCAGCAAACACTGAGCATGCTCATCAAGCTATTAGTTCGCAAAAACACCTCAGGACAGATTATGGTTGCCATGACGCTGTGCCACGTCATAGTTGGTTTGACTCCTTGTGTTTGTCCCTCAGGCAAGAGGCCATCGCTGAGAAGAGTGAGTCACGCCTCCTGTGTGAATACAGAGATATTTCAGCAGGGCATTATTGTCGCTTTTGTTTTTCGTTTCAGATCGGGCCAGAGTGACAAAGGGCCTTCCTGACGTGGTGGCCATCATGGAAGGGAAGGTAGGACGTCGTCAGGGAAACGGCACCACATTACATCATTTTGTGTGGCAACAGGCCGAACAGTCCCATCGCTCATTTCCTGTTTTCTTCACTGCTCCTCGTCCTCCCTTCAAGTCTTTGTGTCTGACGTGCTTCGTCGACGGCGAACCCGCCCCGGAGGTCACCTGGCTTCGGAACGACAAGGAGATCGCTAAACACACCCAGTTCGACATCACCAAGGAGCCCAGGTGCAGCACCATCACCATCAACAACGTCACCATGGCCGACTCTGGAAAATACAGCATCTCCGTGCGCAACCAGTTTGGCGCTGAAACGGTGGACGTGACCGTCAGCGTTTACAAGCACGGAGAGGAGCCGCCGGCGTGCGCTGTGGAGATGGGGTTTTATGCCTAAAGTTTATCATGTGTTATTATTTAACCACCTATACTGCAAAATGTGTATACGATTTCAATTCTAAACAGTGTAGTGACATCAAAATCTCAGGTTTTCCCACAGGACAGACATGCAAAACAGTCCTAAGTGGTCAAATTCAACATTAACCAATTAATATGTAATCAAATTTATACACTCAGAGGATTCATCGCTGTACACTTACATGTCCTGTGATTATAAGCGAGTGGATGTCAGCACACATTGGCTGAAACATTATCTTGCATTAGCTTCTCTACTTGTTCTCCTGTCACATTATATTTAAGGTTGTCATAAACCGTGATAATAAAAGTGAATTGTTTTAAGGGTTCACTAAGAATCTAAATCCTACTGGTCTGTAGAGCCGTCGGTAAATCGGGTTTGTCATTTGTGTTCTGTGTGAATAAATTCATTTCAAGTGATTATCTTTTATTTCCATCTATTTATTGATCAATTTCCCTCTTACGGTTCTTAATCAGAATACAAGCTTATTTTTTGGTTATGTGTTAAAGAAAGCTGCAGACATGTATTTTCTTTATGTAGTTTTGTACCAGCAGAGATCAAGTCTCGTCAAAAGCAAACAGTCCGTAGTGTCGTTAACCCACAGGGCGTTGCTCAGTTACTCACGTTAGAGGTTAAACGACACAACAAGGAAAGGTTGCACACACGCATTCTATTCGTCATGAAATAAAATACATGGAAATCCATCTTATGGTTTATTAAATGAAATGTTTTCTAATTGTAATGCTGCACGTTATCCTCCTCAAACTCCATTCAGTCTGTAAATGAAAAGTGTGCAAATGATTCAATTTTTTTATTCCGAAATGCCTAAAAAAGTTATTACATATTTCTTATCAGTGAGTCTTTTTTATCACACTTGACACAAACGACCATGTACACTAATCTTTGGTGGAAGCCAACGTTTGTCCCGACAGGAGTAAGTGAACTCCAGGTTGTTCAAACAGCGGGGATTTCTCCGGAGGGGGTCAGTTACTCATTGGACGCCTGCTTTCCTGTATAAGAAGGTGCAGCGTGACAGTCGCATCCTCCACAGTGTGTCGAGCTTCACGCAGCTGTCTCAGCCTCCAGCCCGCCTCGTCAAAGTAGAACCCACGTCTTCTAGAGAACATGGACTTCAATGGAACATGGCAGGTCTACTCCCAGGAGAACTACGAGGAGTTCCTCAGGGTCATGGGTGAGAAAACAAAACCAGTCACTCTGTTTTTTGTTTCACAGTACAAATACATCCACTATATTTGGAAGCCTTTGATGCAATTGCATCATTCTGAGGTTAAATATAACCAAACCGCTGACGCTTGCACATTTCACTGTGCATGTATTGACGAAAGAAATGTACGCTTTGCTTGCCAGAACTTCCAGAAGACGTCATCAAGATGGCCAAGGGCATCAAGCCCATTACTGAGATCAAGCAGAAGGGTAACGACTTTGTTGTCACCTCCAAGACACCTGGGAAGACTGTGACCAACACCTTTACCGTCGGAAAGGAGGCCGACATCACCACCATGGACGGCAAGAAGCTCAAGGTTTGTTCTACCGTGGATTTCTACGTCACAACACTGACTTTTCTGTGCCCTATTTCTTATCCAATTTGATGTCCAAAATGATCTCCTACTAGTTCAGGTGAGCCTGTTTTGGAGGTGTTTATTGTGTGAATTGTGTCCCTCCTCTGACCTGCAGTGCATTGTCAATCTGGAGGGGGGCAAACTGGTCTGCAACACCGGCAAGTTCTCCCACATCCAAGAGCTCAAGGGAGGAGAGATGGTTGAGGTGTGGCATATCGTACACAAACTCACTCATTGTTTAAAACTTAATGTATGGTGATGTCATATGTGATGTAATGCATCATGGGCACACATTTAATGTGCTTCTCTTTGCTCTGTCCTCTTTCAGACCTTGACCATGGGCTCAACAACTCTTATCAGGAAGAGCAAAAAGATGTAAACTTGGCAGAGAATAAACCAATTTTCTATTTTCTATATAATAAAAAAAGTGAAATAATAAGTGTGTTGTGTGTTATTTGCGTGTGACAGACTGCAGTCATAACATGCGTGCTATGGTGACGTAATAAGACGCGTTGGACATGTCAGGTTGGGATCTGTCTGTTTGTGCTCGTGTGTGAGCGCGCATGTGCCATCGTGGCCGTATATTTGTGCGCATGCGCACCGCAGACTCGGGGCCACACCGTCTGCTGCTGTAAAGCGAACGAGTTTGGGCAAAAGAAAATTGCTGTAGTAAACAAATTTACTGGTCTTTTTTTTTTTAGAGAATTATAGCAACCGGCCGTTAAAATGGCGAGGTACCTGAGGCCGCCTAATACGTCTCTCTTCGTGAGAAACATCGCCGACGACTCCAGGTATGTTGTCAGTTGAGCTAACATGATGCTAAGTTAGTTAGCAACATCAACAAAATGGCTAACTGGTTTCAAACCAGGGGTGGCTAAAACGTGCGCTAGTTGTGTTTCAACCGAATATTGTTCGGTAAAATAAATACCCCCCCCCCCCCCCGCGTCTGGCTCGCTAACACCTAGCTAGCGGCCGGCAAGCTAACGTTAACACTAAGCTAGGGGGGCGGGTGTGTTGTTGCATTGTTGCAGTTTACGTTAACGTCAACGTCACCCACTGTCCCCAAAAGGCGAACCGGGAATCTAACGTTGGAGTGCAGCACCGGTCGGAACGCGTTAACGTTACGTAACGTGAATGGTGACGAGCAGCAGTTTCATTCGTAAACGTCGCCGCAGGGGTGCAGCGCTCCTGTAAGTGACTTCCTGCAGCAGAGAGGCGTTACTGCCGATAGCAGGACACGCTAACAACATGCTAACAACATGCTAATGTTAACGCACGTTGGCATGTGTTCTCCCAGTCACATAAAAAAATTGATGAGACACAAATTTCAACTCACCATTTCGGATTTAGTAACTTTTAAAAAAAATTAGGAAACTGAAATGATACAATGTAAAGTCCAACCAGATCACAACATGTATACTAGTTTACTAGTACTGCATAGTGTACTAAGGACACTAACTCAAAAGTCCATCTAGATCAAACATTAACTATATATTTAATTTAGTTTTGAGATAAAATCATATTGCCCTGTTTTGCACAGTTTTCAGTCACTTTTCCGCAGATTAAAAATTGTACTGGAACTTTTAAGGAATGCGCTTCTATTATTTGGTGCTGCCTCCAAAATAGTTGGGTTGCTAAATGCAAAATACTTAAATGGCTAATGGAGAGATTCAACTAGAACACGTCTAACATGATCGCACTTTCATACGTATTCTGTAACATTATCAGTGACTTGGAGATGTTATGTTTCTGACCCCTGTGACCTCTGTTTTATGGATAATTTATGCAACGCCGAGCTTTGCGACCTTGACTGGCTACTACACATTTTGAATGAGAAAACTTCCTTTTGAAGTGGAAGTCATTTTATTTGTCTGCAAATGCGTTTTACCGTATGCTACGCTGGCACCAGCTCGTGTGTGTTTCTTACTCTCTGAGCTGCAGCTAAATTCATATGACAGCCAAATGTGCTTATTTCATGACACTTTAGGCCAGAGGATTTACGACGTGAGTTTGGTCGTTATGGGCCTATAGTAGACGTCTACATTCCACTTGACTTCTATACACGGCGGGCCAGAGGATTTGCTTACATTCAATATCCTTTATTCTTTTAATTTGGAAATGGTGTCTCAACAGGGGGATTGTAAAGCATTTAATCTGTATGATTGCTATTGATTGAATGACACCTGATTACAATGGCAGTGTGTATGTGTCTGTGTTTTCTTTCTCATATTTTAATGTAATTTTATATTCTGATCATTATTTTTTTTCTATTAATTAAATGTATTCAGATTCAAACTTATTCCTAACCAATATTTCTTCTGTTGTTGCCTTAGAATGGTAAAGATACAGTTCTGGAGATCCCACACCAAAGAAAGTTGAAAGGCGGTTATAGAGTAGATTCAAGCACAAGAGACACCCAGGCGACAAGCAATAGTGGAATTTGGAAAATAAAGAGAGCAAAAGCACGAAGATACAAAGAGGAAAAAAAGAGAGCGCCCAGGCTTCCATTTGTCAACCAAAGGGAGGAAAAGCAAAGTGTTTATTGGGCAAAGACAAGCAGGAAACCTCAAGTTCTTCTGCCAAGACAATAAAGATCACGCTGCAGGTTAAAGGTAACAAGCCAAATGTTTTGTATCCTACCTAATCTGATCACCGTCAATACTTGTCTTGTCTTTACAGTTTGCGATCACATATGGGGCCAATGATTTCAGTCGCTAAGTTGTTAAATGATCTCAGTCCAGAGCTGTGTTTCATAGACTGGATCTGTCAACCTGTGTTGCAGCAGCAGCATTTTTTTTTTTTTTTTTTAATTGTTGTGCATGATTGCAACCGTCTCTGTTCCTGCTTTCCAAATGTCAAACTAAAAGGCCTTAACAGTAAAGCACGTTTGAAGATGTGCGCGATGCGGAGGACGCTCTACACAACCTGGACCATAAATGGGTTTGCGGGCGTCAGATCGAGATCCAGTTCGCCCAAGGGGACCGAAAGAGTACGTAAAGCATTCGTTCCTTTCTCATCTACCTGCTGCGGCGCCTCAGTCGGCATCATCTTACGGCCTGTGTGTATGTACGTATATATATTTCCATTCAGCTCCTAACCAGATGAAGACCAAGGAGCACCATTCCCCTCGCAGTTCCTCCCGTCACGACGACGAGCGGGACGGCCGCCGAAGACGCTCCAGGAGCCGCAGCCACGAGCGCCGCAGGTCACGCAGCCCCTCCTACGAGCGCCGGCCACGGCGCTCCGAAAGCCCCAGAGAGTGAGTTGTTCAGCTCGCCGTAACTTCAACGGCTCGAATGTTTTCTCAAACCTCAGTATATAAAAAGCTGGAATCAAAAATTCTGGGAACTTTTTTTTTTTGTGTGTGTGTGGAACAAACCAGTTTGGTCATTAAAGGAAGAAGCCAAACCATTACTAGTTACAATGGCACGTTATAGGAGGCTCCACCCACTCTGTTAAAAGTCCAGGCTACGCCTTGAAAAACTGGTTTGTGTCTCTGTTCCATCCACAGATCTCGGTCCTACAGTCGACACAGACGGAGCAGAAGCCACGAAAACGAGAAGTAGTCAAAGTTCCCCTCTTGTAATGTGTTCGATTCACTAATTAAGAACCAGCGGCTCTTTGCACGCCAACGCCTCGATGCACAACCAGCGCCACTGATACGTGACGTTTGTCCCAGCAGGTACAGAGGTCCTCCTCGGGACCACCACAGGGCCCACCGCGAGCCGCCCCCCCGCAGCCACTCCCCGTCTCGCTCCCCATCACCCTCCTCCAGACCCCCGCCCAAAGGTAAAAAGAGCCAGTCCAGGTCCCACACCCCGGGGGAGGAGTACCAGCCCAACCCGAGTCCCCAGAAGCAGCCCGTGGGACGATCCCCATCCCGCTCCTTCTCCAGATCCCCGTCCCGCTCCCGCTCTCGCTCCAGGTCCTGGGCCGGACGGAAGTCCGGGGGCCACTGAGCGGCTCGGAGATCTGACCCCGGAGATTCCCCAACGAGTGTTACTGTGTCGTGTTTGCATTTGTTTATCCGTTGCCAAAGGGTTAGAGGGGCGGCGAGAGCCGAGGTATTTTTTTATTTCGTTTCATAGGGATTTGTGGAAGCAGTTGATACCCGGGAAGTAGTTTTGGGGGGATTTGTGGAACATCAGCGGCTGCAGGAGGTAAAATGTTGGTTTGGCGTTGCCCGTACTATTTTTGTACTTTCATTCATGTAAATGAACACCAGTCTGTTTGGCTTTATTTGTTGAAACGAAACATGAATTGTGAAAAGTGACGTTTTATTTCAGCCCATACTCATCAGTATTTACCAAGTACGCTGTAATTAGTATCAAGCAGTTGCTCCCTGATGTTGTCCAGTATGCAATGTGACAATGTTTGACATTGAACTGTATTCATTTGTTTTTTTGTTCAGTGGGTGAAAAAGTTGAATAGTTCAAGTATTCCTTAGTATTATTGTCCTAGTTTGCTTTTAAAATAAATATTTTTTTTTAAGCTTGCGTGGTGGCAGAATATGATAAGTGTTCATAACTAAACTTCATACGTGTAGGCACCAGTGAGAAGACACAGACAACAGTATAGGGGGGAGGGAAAGGGATTTATTCTTTTTTTTTTTGGTTGAGTGCTTTAACACTGTCTTTTAAACTAATTGATACCAATTAAACAGGGCATTTTCTCTTCATAGTCGGTGACATTTCTTCAGGGGGACAAATTAACAGCCAATTGATAACATGTTTCTAATTTAGAACAAGGAGACCTCCATGCACAACTCGATCAGGGGCAAGAAAGAAAACATTTACATGAACAACCAATAGTAAGAACTTAACGGCATCGGGCAGGTTCAGTCGTCGGCTGGCGGAAGAACAGCGGAGAACTGAAGCTGGTTCTGATGAAAAACATTGATCAACACGTGGTGAAGCCACCAAATGGAAACAGTCGGTTTCAGCATGGATTTCAACTTAGGCACAAACAGGTCAACTCCAGATGAAACACTCACATAATGTAAGCACATTCCGATCTCGAGTTTATACATGGGCAAGTCTCCTTCAGGGCCTAATTAATGTTTTGCAGTTTGACTTAATTTGCACTTAGCATATTTCACCCTACACTGCATAATACAAAACAATAAAAAACATGTGCAAGATCTCTGGAAAGATAACAGTGCAGGGGTGTTGAGAAATGCTTATTTGCAGCTTTTTTCTTTTTTTAACAAAAATAATCTTCAGTATTGAAGTCAAGACATTGAAGTCAAGACACGTCCTTAGCATGTCTTATACATTCAGTGTTGTTACTAAAAATACTTTTGTCAGCCAGGCCTCAAACGCCGCCTGCCAATGTACATATGCTACAAGTACTTTATACACTTCATTATTTACATGGCTCTTGAACACATTAACAAGCTCCCATACTTTGTTTTGTCATCTTTACGCTGGCAATAAACAGCTCCAATTCTGCAAGGGGAAAGCAAACAGAGCCTCAACAGAGAATTGAGTCCAAGAAAGAAAAATATCCGTAGTGAGATCGTCAATTGCGCCGCCATCATCTCAATAGCATCCTGGCCTGTAACTGATTAAAAACTAGTCTGATTGCAGTGCAAGAGGGTAACCAAGAGGCAGAGTGTCTGTTGATTATGGGATGGTCAACTACTGAAGCCTATTTTGTAAACATAAACACCAACCTCCTGCCTCACTTCGAGTCCTTTGGGCCACTTCACTTCAGATACCCTCCCCCGCCGTGCCTCGCGTACGAATGCATGCAGCCAAGACGGGGCCAGGTCACGTGACTCAACCAAGCCTGGCCCCTCTTCCGCGTGTCCGAGCTGCAGCGCTGTCCTGAGGAGGCCGAGGAGCAATAACAGTGCTCATTGGAAAAGACAGTTCGAAGTGACTTTCAGGACCGTCACTCGTTCACCGCGCAGACTTCAAAAGGTTTAACAACCTGCCGCCCACATAGACGATGGGCCAAAGGGGGGGAAGGGGGGCATACAGCTAAAACATTGCTTTGGTTACACAGCACTTATTTCTTTCAACCACGATCATAAAAGGACTTGTACAAAATAATGCTATGATAGAGTTATGGGCCTCGGACGAGCCCGACTCCTATAGTGCATGTGCGCACAGCGCAATAAAAAAAGTACAGGAGTAGACGGTCCAAGGCCCGTGTGCCATGGTCTCTTTTTACCCTTAAGTCTGAGGTTATACTTTTGACCTGTACAGCATATTACCTCCGGTAAGAAAGCTTCTTTTTCCCTGCAGAATTGCAGTCTGAGTGTCCTTTCCACCCCAAACAAGAATTGTTATACGCAAAAGAGAAGGAGGGTGGGGCCGAGTCATGAACGGAAAATGCTACAAGAAGAGTTTGCTTTAGCACCGGAAGCTTTAGCTTTAGATGTGCCCCTAAAAGGCTCATCATAAGAGTCAAATAAATCAAACGGCATGTCTGTCCACAGAAACGGACCGTAATAGTGAGGGGGATTTAACTGACCTATACTATAACCGTTGTTTGGGGGGGAACTAGCACACTCAATCTGCTCGACAGCCAACATTAAAAAGAACAAAACAAAAAAACAGAAGTAGAAGGGATATCCAGTTTGTCATCAAGTCACAGAAAGTGACTCCACTAAAAGGCATTACCGACCAGCAAGGCTCCAAGGCTGTAATATCTAGAAACGTAGGCTTAAAATGTTTGTGTCAAATTAACATTTCACCGCAAACTCTGCTGCAAATGCCTCCGAACACTGAGGTCAATCTTTAAAAAAAGGGACTAAAAGTATTACAGCGCTGAGGTGTTCCTGGTGGGTGGGGCCCTCAACAGAGTCCTAGTTCGTTCATACGTGGGCTTCTGATGTAAGTGGGGAGGGGGGTTGTGTGTGTGTGTGTGTGTGTGGGGGGGGGGTCCCTCTCAGGCCTGCACTTTGAGGAGGCTCTTGAGCTGGAAGGCCATCATCTCCCGGTGGTCACAGGGCCCCATGGGGAAGGACACCCAGTGGCTGGGGGGCTTAGGCAACACGCTGGGGGAGGGTGGCTCGCTGAACTTTGGCCCGGCGTAGCTCGGACTCCCCTGCGTGGCCAGCAGCGTGTTCAGGTGAGACACCGCGCCCTCCCAGTTGTGATCATAGTTGGTGGCAAAGCGGACCGAGGCGCCCTTCTCTGCGGACGCGGCCTGCCGCGCCTCCTGCGACCTGTGGTAGGCTGCGACTTTGTCGTTGCGGCGGTGGCCGAGGTGATGGAGGCCGCCGGCCCCTCCCGCGGACGCCGCCGCCGCGCCGTTCTGGTCGCGGCCCCGCTGCTTCGCCCGGCCCAGCTGGTTCTTCTTGGGCAAAGGGCGCTCGGGGAGGGAAACTGGAATGTTGTATCTCTCGCCGCCTCCCATTCTGCACTACCGTGTCACCTGAGGTCGGTGGAGACATGAAGCGTTAATGAAAGAAGAAAAATGACAACATCCGCTGTGATCCAGGCTCGGGTGTGATGCCCAAACCGTCCACATGGCGGAGGATTACGTGCAGACACGCCAGACAGCCTGGTCGGAGGCGCCCCTCCCCCCGCACCCAACCGAGAGAAAAACAACCCCCCCCCCTCCTGCTGCTCCTGCTCACCTCTTTGTGGTCGGAAAGTTGCTGCACCAGAGATCCGTCTTCAAACGTTCACCTCCGATCGGGCCCCAGGTCCTCGAAGTAGTTCTCTGTCTACTTCTGGCTGCACTTCTTCTGTGTCCAGCGAGGTCCGAAGTGTTCATGTGCCGATGAGCGTTGTTTTCCCGGAGAGCCGAGCTGAACATCAATTCACCGCCGCACACGATGCGCCAAGAGGACCTTTCAAAATAAAACATGTAAAAAAGACAAATAACGTTAATTTGAAGCGAAGTGAGAGATGTGTGATTTTATTTTAGCGTCGACGCTCTTCCGGGTTTTTTTCTATCAGCGGATCATTGCGGTGATTTTTTTTTTTTTATGTATAAAAGTAGAAATAAAAGCTACTTGTCGTTTTCTTTAGACAAACACTGTAAGTAGGAGCCAAACTGCGACACGCCAGCCCACTTTCTGTTTGTGCGCCTCTAGCTGTCGCTTTGTTCCGTCGGCGTCACTTTATCGATTATCGATTTTTTAAAAACGATAACCTCGATAGACGTGACTTTTCTTTAACAACCCCGACTAGCAGGTGGATATTTCGGCGGCTTTTACAGCCTCGACAGCGCTCGTTCTGAAGCAAAAACCATAACAAAGAAACGGAGCGACTAAATATGGCGACGGGGGGGGGGGAAACAACGGCTTCTCTTACCGACTTCCTCGGGTTCGGTTGTTGAAGAGCCCTTCGTCCCAAGAAAATTATGCGATACGCCTTGCGGTGACCTCTCCCTCTCGGGCGGACTTTGCGAGGAAGCACAGCGAGCTATATTTCCTTACAATTCCCCGTCACACTCGAAGCCTAGGTGGTGTTCACAGCCGTTTCTCTCTCTCTCTCCCGACTCCCGTCTCTATTGCAACAAAATGGAACCCGCAGCGGCGATATGTAGCTCGTGCTGGCCCCGGATCCGACCAATCGCGTGGCGAGGGCGAAGCGAGCGGCCAATCAGCGAGGAGACAAACAGACGCATCCACGCCTGTTGCCGGACGGGTGACGTCAGTCGCTGACAGCTCTGCTTCCCTTTGTTGGGTCTCGGGTATTTCCTGACTGAAGTCGAGGAAAACAACGACGGGAAAAGCACATTTTTAAGCAACGTAACCGCTCCGCTTTCACGTTATCTTACGTAATAAATAACTCCCCCCGCCTGTTACCCACGATGCCATAGTGAAGTTTTGGGGAGGGGCAACAATGTGTACTCGTATTATGCAACGTTAACGCATCGTTCAAATGACAAGATGAGCCCGTTCAGAGTTTAGATTTAAAGTCAGCTTCGTACTTTCTCTGGATTTGTTTTTCCACGGTCCCCATAGCCGAGGGTTAACTGCCGTGCAGGGAAACAGCTGCAACAGGCTGTAATGGTTGGTTTGCCCCGAGCTGCCCATCCCCCCACGTCTGCGTCCTCTGCAGAAGGAAAACAACCTTGGCTGTTTTCACTGAAACGAATCCACGTCGAGGCATAAGAGCACACGGCCGCTGTAGAAAGGAACATCCATCCCGACCCACGTCAAAGATTATTCTGCAAAGGCTTCCCTTTGAACGAACACGTTCAACCGTTGTGCAATAATCCAGCGTGGGCTTGGCAAAGGCCTAACTTTGAGTTTTTACCACCGTGCACGAGGCGCAGGGTCCACACGTCCCGCTGTAACACGTCCAGCAGCGTGCGAGCCTCCGATGGGAACAATGAACGGATGTGTGTGGGGGTTGCAAAAAAAAAAGATTTGTGAGCCTAACTTGAAGACTTGAGAGCGTACGAGGCCGTACCCGTCTGCCCGCTGATGTGTTATTGCTTTCTTATCATTGTTTATAGCTTAAACTAAGGCCTGCAGCTCCCTGGTGTTACTTGTATTGCCACCCAGCATTCCACGGGTCCAAGTCCGAATAATACGAAACGGCTGGCGTGATTGATTGACACATGTGTCCCCGGTCAAGCGTCAAAACAGTTGCTCAACACATTTGTTGTCAGCCAGTGCGAATACAGATGCAGGCCTTTTGGAGGAGACGTGACCCCAGCCGAGAGGCGACCGCGTGTGCAAAGTGGGACCTGTTGCGTCCCGCAGATCACACGGGAGGACATTCGCATTAAAGCGCCCGTAAAGGCAGCATGAACACGCCCTGGTAGCGCGAACGCGTCATACACGTAGTGATTGTGTGAAACCCACACACCCACGCACAGTGACGCGCCAAAGCAGAACCAGTTTCACACCAATCATATCCGAGAAATGTGTGTCACACCAGCAGCACAAATGTTCAAGGGAAATTTTCTTTGTGGCCAAGTTGTTGTTTTTTTTAAATGTCTTTTTCCGGTCGGCACAGAAACGCAACATCTGCCTATGAAGCACACACGACATGTATCTACATCTATGTCTCTACAACATAGAGATGCAAAAATAAAAACTTTAGATTGGATTGGATTAGCGAAAACAAATACCAGAGCCGATACACATCTAAACCACGTATGCTGAAAATAAGATAAAAATACACAAAGGACGGCATTGAGAGTTGTGGTGAGGTTGTACTGTCGTGTGTTTATTTGCGGCTCCACCCTCCTTCAGCTGACCGTCCCGCTGTGGAGAATCGGGCATTTGGCCCAAATCACAGTGAAAGGTTTCTTCAATCCACCCCAACATTTTATTTTGCAGCTGCTCAGATGTCAGATTTATTCCAAGTCAAGAGCTAAAACCTTACACGCTGGGTGTTTTATTACTTCCACTATTTAAAGAATGTGTTTCCTTTAAATTTCCACATGACAGAGCTTTTAGACGTTTGTGTTGAGTAATTAGAAGGTGAAGTGTTCTGTAATTTATGGAAAGTGCCATTTGATATTGTCCTGTAAATGTGTTTAATGTTAAAGGAATGAAAGAACTGCTCCTTTAAATATCTGTTCTTGCAGGAAACATAATTCAGAAGCCAACTAAAACCGTATCTGAAAAATCTCAACAATTAAACAGTAATAGGAACAACAAAAAAGGAAAAGAACTGCAGTGGAAATATTTAAATCTTTTTTTTAATTAATTTCCAAATCTAAACATTTTCATTCACATAATATAGTTCAAAATGAACCAAATTAGTTTAGTTTGAGCCGTTTTCTTGCGTTTTTCACGTCTTTCAGCCGAACAATCAGGCGTCCTGGAAATAAGATAATAAAGAAGTCACTGGACTAAATCTTACTGGATTGAACCTGAATCATTCTCCAACAGATAAAAAGGACCCTGACGTCCAAAAGACTTTCTAAAAAGAGAGCGGGTATAGCAGGATGATATAATCACACTGATAATTCAGGCTTTCTTCTGTCCTGAGGTCTGCACCTGGCCGGAAAACGGCCGAGAAGAAATCTTATTGAAGCTGTGCCGTCTGCTGCTAATCACATTTCCGGCCTTCTGGCCTGCTGAATTTATCAGTTCAGAGGAGGAGAGGACACAGTGTACCAGACATAACCGCCGGATTATCAATCATAATTCACTGCTGTCTATATATGAAAAATGCAGCAGAAATGTAACTCTTAATGACCTATTTATTTGTCTCTTCTGTTGTGAGTCCCAGTTTCTGATTCACTTAACACACATTTCTCTAATCGGATGCAAATTAATTTCACAACGCCTCGGGTTTGTTATCTGATTTGATTGTTAATGAGCTACCAATTTACTTTATCTTCACCGGAGGGGTGTTAAGCAAATTTAAACATCCTTAATAGGTCTGTGGAGTGCCCGTCGAGTTGACATTTTGTGGCTATGCAGAATGATGAAGATGAAAAAAGTGAGCAACATGTCATTCTGCCCACCAGCTCGCCGCTGCTCAGCGCTGCCCCCTGTTGCACTGCAGGCGAGACGACACCCAGACCCACACTGAAGTCCCTGAGCATCAGTCACCTTCGTGCAAAAGACCCAATGAAGGCGGGTTGTCACACCTCAGCACTCACTGTGGATCTAAACAAGAAGCAAACAGCTGAAGCATTCGAATTCCTGCAGAATCCCTCTTTATTTTGTCACCAAGAACACGGCTGCATTACGTCGGCTTTTCCAATGCGCGCGCTCAATAAAACACCGCAGACAAAAATGAAATCTTGCTTTGGTCAAAGGGTGAGACGGTTTCCTGTTTTTTAGTATCAACGTGTCTTTAACACCTGCCTAAGTGCTTTGCCCCCCTCCCCCCCTGGGTACATCATGACCCTCTCCGATGGTAGACATCCTCCATCGCTGCAGTTGTTTTTTATTACTGTATGAATGTTTCATCTTGTGGATTTAACCTCTATTACACCAAATCAAACATTGCAAATTGGAAGTTTCATCTGAGACCCCAGCTGTCCTCCCCGTCCATTGTTTGGGCTCTTTCCATTTGGTTCTCTCTCTCTCTCTCTCTCTCTCTCTCTCTCTCTCTCTCTCTCTCTCTCTCTCCCTCTCTCTCTCTCTCTCGCCCTCGTGTCATCACAGCCTGCCTCCTTATCTTCTGCACTCAGTCATGCACTTTGCCATCAGTCAGGTTTGTGGGTCTGTCGCATCATGCTGCTGTTGTGGTGCTGCTGAGGGACCTTATTCAAATCGCCTGAATTAGGAAATAAGCAGAAAACTCCATGCAAGGTAAGCTCGTCAAAGGTTGTTTCGTTACAGGTTCAAAACCCGGTGACGTTAAGCAATAAGAAATAATCCGCTAGGTGAATTTTAACTGGTGAGTTGATGATATCTCTGTGAAATGAAATGAAATTAAGAACAATGTGTGTGCGTTTATTGTCCATTATTCATTATGTGTAGTTATGCAGCATTTCTGCTACTTTAGTTGATTTAACAAAGCTTCCTTTTGTCTGCTGCAAAACTAGACGTTTCCTGTGAAAGAAGAGCTGGTTATATTTTGAAATAGTGTGGCACGTTGCAACAGTGACTGTTAACACATATTCTCAGCGGGCATATCGCCATTGATGCGACTAAAATGGACGCCTGCACGTTTTCTTATATTGTAAATGCCGTTTTCTGCACTCGGCCGCTGCTCGTTCTATGGACGAGACAATCGTTTGCATAAGAACGATGGTTCTTGACAGTCAAAACACGGCAGTCGCTCAATCCAGGTTCAACGCGAGGCCGAAAAGAGCCCGAGGTGGTGTAATATCCACAAGTGCTTGCACATTTGACACAAAGTGGAGTTGAGAAATATTGTCCCTTAAGTCTACAAAGGCCTCTCTGGGAAGCAATCTTCCTCCCTCGCACACAACTTCAATGCTTTATGAGGGCGGCGCCAAATTTACAATGAAAAACCCCAAGAACGGTTACAGAGAATAGAACTTTATTCTAGACAACGGGATGAAGCCACAGTGGCCTGACTGGGTTAAAGTGTTCCTACTTGTTTAGAATAACATGCACAGCGTCATGTAAAACCGCGTTCCTTGATCCATTTGAAGGTTTCTTTTTGAGTCTTTGCTTGCTGTCACTTTCATTCACGTGCTTTGCCTCTAAAATATTTTCTGTGTAATTTAGGGTAAGCAGTCACAGGTGATCACTCCCTGTTCATCACAGCATCATTTACTTGATCAAATCCTCTCGCATGCATACGCTTCCCACACTATCAATCTATTGATTGCACACAGTTGATGCATTTAACGGCGGATTGTTCGTCTGGCGGTGACCTTCACCGACCGATTTACTTTTCCGTTACAATACAATCCCCCGTGATTCCAGAAGGGGGCCGTCCTCATCCCGTTAGTTACGATAACAGGCCAAGAACAGAGGTTTGTGATTGTATTAATCTCCGTAGATAACTGAATGCACTCAGTAAAATCCCTGCTAAAGTGATTGTGGAAAATATGGATTAAATTGCTCATTTCACAAAATCTAAATAAATCACATAGACACTCTGAACCTAATCCCGCGTTTTCCCCTTACTTGGTGCCAATCATCAATCTACATGGTTTTAGAAGAGTGAGCTGCCTGGTTTTGGGGATATTATTCACAGTTCAAATCATAATAAGATTATCTAGACCAAAGAAAATAGATTTGAAAATCTCAACAGCGGTGCTTCTTTCCCCAAATCATGACCCGTTTACACACGATAGCCACGTAAAATGTGACAACAATATCGAACAACAGACAACAATAGCTCAATTGCGCTACAGAATGAAATTCGCCCGATGGATTTTGGGGGTCAACGGCCCCTTTAAAATACCGACGACGTCTAGCGGGGGCAGGTTTGTCGAGGTTTCACTGTGCGAACCTTGGTCAAAGTAAGATGCGTCATAGCGTGCAGATATGTGCATGGAAGCTGTCGTCATGCTGTCAAGCGACAGCTGCTGGAAGGGATGCGATCGCATTCAACACACCAGCAACACACTGGTTGTATCCAATGCACATTATGGACAAAGGTGAAATCAATATGTTCATTATTCCTCTGGTTTATGGTCTGCGATTTAAACCCTGGATCCTTAGGACCATCTCTTCAATATCAGCAGCGGCAGATAGTGTAATGGTCTTTGTCTATTTACCCTGACCTCTAAGTGACTCTCTGTCTTCACTCACCGATGTCAATCTGCCCTTTAAGCACTGAGTTCAATATTGACAAAGAAAAAAAACCAACATGTCAATTTTTACTTTGTTTCCCTATAGGAGGTCTAACACTTCATGTAAATAAGGTTTGTTATCAATAAATGAATGACACAATAATAACGTGTATCAATGTGTCGTACACATCTGCTGACGTTCTCTTAATTTCATGTCTTGCAGTTTACTTTCATTTTCAAACATTATTTGTTATGTCTCAAGTTCATTGATGAAAACCAGTGTTTTTATTTGTTTTAGACGTTTAGATAAGGCTGAAAAATGTTACTTTTGAAGTATTTCCTGCTGTACATCAACAGATATTTTAACAAAGAATGAATATTTTTTTTATTAGAACTGGCCCTGCAATAACAGTTGAAATGGAGCAATGGGAGGTTCAAACAGAAGCCAAAGAGAACACCTCGTCACTGATTGGTATGTTGTCTCAATATATAATATATATGAATAAATTCTTTAGATACCGACGTGGTAAAATGTAAACTGTGAGTTTTTCAGCAAACCTAATGGTACGGGTGCATGCACGATGGCGGTTGTAGTTTCAGTACGCTTGCCCAATAGAATCTATCCAAATGTGTGACTTTCTCACAGACAACAGTTCCTGTGAGAATCTGGAGTGCTACATGGTTCTCACCTGGGCGGAGCAGACGGCCATCGGCTCGATCTGTTTCCTGGCGGGTCCCATCACCTTCCTGGAGAATGCCCTGGTGTTGGGAGTGATCGCCGCCACAGCCTCCCTGCGGCAGCGGCCCACATACCTCTTCATCGCCAGCCTCGCTCTGGCCGACGTCTTCGCCAGCTGCTTCTTCACCACCAGCTTCCTGGACTTTCACCTCTTTCGCCGCAGCGACGGCCCCACTGCCTACCTCTTCAAACTGGGCGGTGTCACCATGGCCTTCACCAGCTCGGTGGGGAGTTTGCTGCTGACCGCGCTGGACCGCTACCTCTGCATCCAGCAGGCCTCCAGCTACAAGCTGCTGCTGACCCGCCGGAGAGCCGTGCTCGGCCTGCTGATGCTCTGGACCGCCACCATACTCGTGTCCTTCTTGCCGCTGATTGGCTGGAGGTGTCCTACAGGGCTGGCTCCACCCTGCTCGCGCCTGTTTCCCTACATCAACCAGGGCTACCTGGCCTTCTGGACCAGCTTCGCGCTGGTGCTTCTGGCTCTCATTCTGTGTGCTTACGCCCTGATCCTGTGGAAGGCACACAGCCACGAGTTGACTATGACCGGCCTCCAGGGAGCAGCGGGGACAGGCCAGGCCCGCATGAGGATCGACATCCGCCTGGCCCGTACCTTTGGCCTGATCCTGATCATACTGGTGAGCTGCTGGCTTCCTGCGCTCTCCTTCATGTTGGCCGACGTCTCCGTGGTCCTGACTCGCACCCAACAGAGGGCGTTCGCCTTCTGCAGCACGCTCTGCCTGGTCAACTCTGCAGTCAACCCGCTGCTGTACGCCCTGCGCTGTCGGGAGCTAAGGGTCGCTCTCCTGCAGCTGGTACAAAGGCTGTGCGTCATTGGAAGGTGTAGAAAGTCTACAGAGGGTTTAGCCGCTGGGTTACCCTCCACGGGAGACAACAACTGTACCGCCATCACTGAGGACGGGACGCCCGGGAACAGAACATAACGCCGGGACCTGAACTGAACAATCAGCAGCCGGACATCAGCAAGTTAGAGGAAATGAAGGAGTAGTTTTCCTGATTGGGGCGTTTTGGGCACTGAATGAAGAATCAAATGTGAGCAGGATTCATTGCCATCAAATTATCAGTGCTGCTATGTATATTAAAGATATTGTGTTCAAGGGTGTGAAACAACAACTCCTGAATATTGTGAGAAGACCTATTAGTGTATTCAACAGGTCAGAAAGCCTATCAAATATGGGAAACATGCCAGGTAATTTGTTTAACTTGTAGTCATGAGATACACATGAAATACAGCTTGTAGAAATCGTTAACATTTCAAAATACAATTAGAACCATTTTAGTATCAGATTCCTGTGGAAATAAAGCTTATCACCTCCGGGCATTGGTTTCAGGTCAGACAAAGGGTTTATTGTATGTTGGACTGGAATCGAGATGATGTCACGTGGCCGTTTGACCTTTAACCTTTGACCTCTCCGTCTCAAACGTCGGCGCTTTAACCCTCTAGCGCCCGCGCGAGCTGAAGGGCGGACTCGAATCCGGGGCTCACCGTGTGCCGGACAGGTGGCTGCGTTTGCTGTTATGCGTGTTTAATCTGCAGAATTCGGCCCCGGGGCGCGCGGGGACAGAGGACGCCGTGGTCGGCCTATCCCCTGCGCACATGAATGCCAGGACTCCACAAAAGCTCCATGTACGGGAGGATTTCACACAACGTCCGCGCACGTGAATCCAAGCAGCGCCGGCGAGGTAAATGGAGCACGTGCCAGGAGGGAAAACCAGCACAAACCCTAGAACACTCTTTACTCTCTTTGTGACAACTGGCAGCTGCAGCAAAGCACACAACTGTATGACATTGCACTTAAAAGTCACAGGCGCACACAGTAGACTGAACAAAAACCACTGTAACAAGTCCTTAAAGATGGCTCTTGGCTCATTGAATGTTTATTTAACTCTTCATCATCTCTCAGTGGCTAAAGTCAGCAGCATTCTTGTGTTTGTAATGATTTGTAAGTGTTCCCGTCCTCGTATGAATCTCCTACGCGGGTCTTTGCTATTGCGCCAGAGGTGACTGACTGGATACTCCGAGTCTGCTGTGCCAGAAACTCCTTTTTTTTACAGGAAGTGGGAACAAAATAAGAACACAGCATTTTTTTTTGACATACTTTTCCCCCAAATCAAGAGTGGGGATAATCACAGGTCGTATACATTACATTTGTAGTTTATATGTAGTAATATCTTTTGTAAAAACTGTTTTAGAGATGTGCGATAGGAGTTCCTATGTGCTACTTTGAGGTTACATTTGTATTATTCTGTATAGGCCTACCCCATGGATATGAGTGATGATATACACCAAATATTAGAAACCCCTGTCTCCATACAATAAAAATAATGTTCCTCTGAAAAGGGTTTTCCAACCACTATTCAAAATCATTTGTGTTATTTGATGTGCATGGAGATTATTGCACATGAAACTGGCTGTCACACTGAGATTCACATCCAGAGACTGCAGTGTATAAATTGATGAAAGATTCAGTCCTCAAAAAATGAGAATGCAGTGGTTGTGTGATCGCTGGTTGTTGTAGTGATAGAAAAGGTGGGAAATGGAGCTCATAAAACAAACCCAAATGAGAAGAGAAAGCCATCTGTAATCTTCCTATACGAATGTTTTACCGACCGAGAGCTGTGAATGTACAACGCGAAGCCGGACAGAAAATAAATGAATAATGCCGGTAGCCTTCTGAAGGAGTGAAATCACAGTTAATTTTTAATATTCTTGATTTACCCAACGTCCACCACCAGACGTCTCGTGAACCTTCAATTTGAGTTCAACGGAAACTAGAGCCGTCAACAACTGCAGGGATGGTTAGCAAGACATCCTGGCGCGAAGAGCGTTAAAGACAATTTAGTTTGCTCGTAATTGAGCTGTGTATTACTAGTGCAGTTGAAAGATACGTCTGGTTAAAAATACGAACTCAAATCAGTGGAAATGACAATACAATATGTCGCAGATACTTGACACCCCTCTCTTTTCCTCAATGGTACGGTCCGCCATTGTGACGTTTTAAAAATTCAGCAGGCAGGGTCGGCAGTTGGCTCGCTGCTCAGAGAAGAGAATCCGTTGTTGTGGAGAGGAAGAAAGGCTCGAGAAACCCGAGCAACGTTTAACGTTCAAACCACGAGCGTCAGCCCCTCGGTTCTGCGGGTCGTGTGTTTTTTTTTTCTTCTCGACTTACTTTTCCAGTTTTATATAGCTAGCATGGCCTGTGGGGCAACATTAAAGCGGTCGATGGAGTTTGAGGCCCTCCTCAGTCCCCAGTCTCCCAAGCGTAGAAGGTGCAATCCACTACCGGGGACTTCTGGCACTCCGTCCCCGCAAAGATGCAACCTCCGTCCCCCGGTCGACAGCCCCGCGCACTCGATGTCTCCCCCGGCTATGGGAGGCGAACACAGGCTCACACCAGGTAAAGAATGCGACGAGGTTATACGTTTCTTTCTGCGTTTCAGGGTGGGTGTCATGGGGGAGGGGGTTTGGGTGGAGTGGACTGGAAGGGATAGCTAGCTAGCGTCAATTGGGACAATCTGAATGGGGGTTGGAGGCTAACGCTAGCTTAGCTTAGCGAAGCTAACGCCAGGAAGCGTCGCGTTTTCGTCAAGTTCGATCTTTTTTTGTTGTTCTAAATTATAATACGTTGGTATATTTTCAGGAATCGGGGTGGTTTTGAGTTGTGTGTATTCTTGTCCGCTCGTCGTGCTGCGGGCTGAACGAGTTTACGTCGGCTAACGCTGAGTAGCCCGAGAGAAGACGTTAGCTTTAAAGTTCTTCGCGTAGCTGACGTTAATTCAAACGGCGTTACCGTTTCCAGCATGGGACCAGTTGAACGTGGCCGGCCGCACCACCGAAGCTGTACTGTGTGCTATCGTGGCTATTTAATCGGTTTTTAATATTTACACGTGACCTTTATTATTTGAAAACGGCCAGGATTTAAACAAAAGGACCCGGCTTGTACAATAACAATTGGGGGACCATCGAGCCTGTTGGCTCTCCGGGGAAGACAAATGGCATCCCAGCAGCAGGCACGCCGTGGCGGGCTGTTAATTAGGAGCTGCTGGGGTAATGTTCCTGGGCTTTACTGCCACAATTGTCTGGCATTGAGGTGTGGGGTTGGGGCGGGAGGGGGGGTCCCATTATGCACCACAGCCATTTCTATTCCTCTTCAGGCCTGCAGGACATTGTTCATTTCCTTTTATGTCCGCCATCTACTCTCCCTTTGACTTGGGAAGCTGCGCCGTGCGCGTCGGTACACAGCAGATAATTACCTAGATGTGTGCACTGCGATCCGCTGGGGGCTTTCTGCACTGAGGCCTAATCCCGACGCCTTTTGAATGTTAATTTGAAGACAAAAAAAACAACAACCCGTTGACTGACGTCATTGAGTTTATTTTACCACTTCATTGCTGTGGAATGAGAGTATTACAAGATGGAGACGGCTGTGCTGTGCGTCTGTAGACTGTCATCTGTGTGTCTCTCAGGCGTTTCCTCCATCCCGGCCTATTTCAAATGATACATTACTTGTGGTGCTATTTAGCCCTCCTGTTGCGATTAACTGCCTCCCATCTTGCCATCCAGCAGTGGAAGTGAATGAATCCGATGCATTCCGGATAACTGGTTTTAATTGTTGACGTTTTTCATGTAGTGATCCAAGGATTCGTGTTTACTGAGCGGCTGTGTTTAGCCACTTAACCCGTAACAAGGGGATTACATCGTTCTTCTTTTTTTTCCCTTCAATGCCATGGATTAAGTTCTTCACATAAATAATGACGGGTGGGCAAATCTCATTCCGCTGTAGTTGTTTGCATCTTTGTTGGTGTCAGCTGATGATGTTCCTGTTCGATTTACCATAGAGGTGAATTTTAAACTGAGAATGAAACCGATGTTTGAGCGTTTAGTTTTAAACATGAAACCAACAAGGGCACAGCCCAATTTTTCACAATGTTGCTGCTTTGATTATTTAGTCATCGGGCTTCGGTTGTTCCTGTTTTCTTTGCACGTCTAAAGGAGAGCAAAAAAAGAGGCTTCCTGGTCCGAAGCGTTGTAAGATGAAGCTGGCGGGCGGTGCAGGGAGGTTTTGCTGAGTGCACCGACACGCCCAGATGTGAATGATGGAGATGGAGTTGGCTTCACGGCTGGCTTCGTGTGAAAACGCCTCTGGTGAGCTGCCTTGCTGTCATGCTGGTAAGCAGAAGATGGGTGTTCGAGGGGTGTTTGGTTTCTGAGAAGGCAGAGCGGTTCCTTCCAGATATCTGGTGGCGAAGACGCACTTTGGTTCCTCTGTTATTGCTCACGTATGCAATCTGACTTGCTTATTACGGTTGCCCTTTAGAGGAGTATTCCGCGTGGTATGTTTGTGTAAATGAATCACATCTGCTCTTTTCCCTGTTGTGACGTTGCTTATTTCGCCCTGAACCCCATGCAGCATACAGTGGTGTGTTCCAGTTCTTTCATAGTTTGTCCGCCTGGCTGTGTTGCAGACCCGCAGCTGCAAGGGTGAAGTAATGTACTGTAGATGTGGCTGCTGCAGACGTGATCTCCACAGGTATTCTGCTCGCCTTCGCCCCGCAGAAGGCCCCTTGCGTCTCAAGCGTGCGCCTGTGCCGCAGTTTGCCAAGTGAAAGCCGTTTTGTTTTCATCGAAAGGTCAGCTGTCATCCCTCCCAGTCGTCTTTACCCACTCCTGCTTTCCAGCTATTCAGGTTTGCTCGTGGTGCGTGTGTGGATCCGTCCCGGTCGAGGTATTCTCAGGTAATAATGCAGCTCGGATCGCTCCCTCCGTTCTCCCGTCTCATTCTCGTGCTTTGCTGACATGACAGCAAACTTGCTCTGTGCAGACGTCCGAGTACCAGCAATTAATTGCGACCTCGCTGAACAGTCCAGACTTGAACAAATGATTGTTTTTAACCATTAGTGCTCACTTAAATTCTCCGCTGCATCCCAAGCTAATACCCGCCAGTCGGGACATTCAAAGCCCCCCCCCCCTACTCCCACAGTTGTGTGGCAATGGAGGGTGAAAGGAAATGAGTCAGCTTTGTTTTCTCTCCCCCCACCACGTCCAATCTATCTGGCCGATCTCGTGTTGTATTCACCGTGCGGCCTAAGCCTTTTAGCCAGCCTTTCTCCCCCCGCCCGTGCTCCCTTGGCTCCCGGAAGTTTCTGTGATTGATTGCTTGGCCTGGCGGTCACAGGGTCACTGTTGCCGAGCAACACCCACCATCCCGCTACTGGTCGTTGGCAGAGCTGGAAGTGACGGGCAGCAGAAGGTTTTCACTTTTCAGAACATGACGCGGCTTTTGAGCCGGCTGAAGTGGCAACATTGCTCCGTCGCCTTCTCCACCCAAGATAAATGAGGCCCGGGGCTCCAGATAGAGGTGTAGAGGCGCGGCATGCACACACCTCCCCCTCCTGTGTGACTTAAGTGAGATAAAGTCGCGCCGAAACATTTGCTTATCGGCTCTATTTGAGGACATGCTGTTTTTACTCCTTTTTCCCGTGACTTTTTTTGAACTCGAAGCTTATAAGTTGACGCGTGTGCTGGCTGTGACCCGTGTGAAGCTGTCAAGTCTCAACGTATTTGAGATGATTTAGGGCGAGCCGCTTTAATGAACCGTAGCATCTTTCCAGATGTGTACCTGTGTTACTTTTACTTTTGTTTTAACTCTGTAGCACTGATGCAGGTTTCACTGTAGATCACTACGGCAACAATGACCCTTTGTTATTTAGTAGTTATTTGGATTGCAAGAAACAACCAGACTTATGCAGCACCTTTCATGACTCACATGCTGAATGCTTGATGCTGATCTGGTTTCATTCCGTTCGGCGTGCCATGCACTCACAGGCGATACGGCAGTGTGACGAATACAACAAAGTGTGTGTAAACAAGACTTTAATACCGGTTAGCTGTGTCATGTTGTCGCTGTTTTCCTGCCTGTAGTTTAAATGATTGTGACCACGCTGGCAGTCTTTAAAATCATTCTTATTTACGTTCCTGAATGCACAACGATCGGCTGAGACCTGTGTCGTTCTTACGTTGCAGAACTCTGAAGTATGATGATTTTCATCTGAGGGGACAGTGTTCAAACCGAAGGCTGCAAGCATCGGTGCACACGCAGAGCTGTTCTCCCTCCTTGTATCGCACAGAGCTGCTCGCACAAATCGCTTCGATTTGGTCCGTCCACCCAACCCGGGGCCTCCATCACGCCACTAAAAGCTCCTCAGAAGAAGGAGGCTTCTACTGTGTTGCAGCTCACTGTAGAGCGCTGATTTGTGTTGAGGCCTTAACGTAAGCCTTCTCCCCCGCTGTGGTGAAGCAGATGTCATAAATGACTTTTGGGAGAGAAGTGAAGTTGATAGTCACAAGATCAGTGTGTTTTTAGTGTGTCTCTAATACAAGTCCATAACGCCTCTACTTCCTGTTGATGATTGTATGTTTTGGAGCTAATCTTAGGTGAGAGACAAAACAGGAAGTGGGCATAGCTTTAGTCTATCAACAGCCCTGTGGGGGTTCACGCCTTCCTGTAATGGTCCATATTAACGCTGGAGTACATTCAACAGCGTGTGATTGTGGTGGAAGCAGAATTGAAAAAAACATAAAAATGCGGATTCATTCACTTTTCTTTTTTTCTGTAATGAACAACTACTGCTAGTGGAGGGATTCAGAATTCCCTTTTCACATTCAAAATGGAGAATTTAAATGACACATTCTGTATTTGTAGACCTGTGACTTGCCTGCAAAGCCGCTTGTGGGCATTTGATCACAAACCTGTGAGTAACGACGAGTGAATTTGTTGCTTCCAGAAGCCCGTCCGCAGCGTCCCTCGTAACGGGCAAAGCGTTGAGTGTGTGTGTGAGCAGCCTTCCTGCTTTGGGGCGTCCTCTGTCCTGGTCTAACCCGTCTGTCCTTGTGTCTGTTCTACCCCTACAGAGCAGATCTTCCAGAACCTCCGTCAGGAGTACAGCCGGATCCAGAGGCGGCGGCAGCTGGAGGGGGCCTTCAACCAGACCGAGGCCTGTAGCTCCAGTGACTCCCCCAGCCCCAGTTCCTCCATCAACGCTCCCAGCTCCCCCCCAGGTAAAGAGAATTTAGGCTTTGACCACACGCATACACGCAGGCTTTACGTGGTAATGGGTGCAGCTATGGGAGTATTGGTGGCACTTGGTGGGTGTTTTCAGTACCAATACTGTACTTTTGCCACACGGGTGATTTAAATAACATGTCTGCTTTGTTTTGTTCTGCTTAGCAAGTCCGTGAAGTGACAGCAGAAAGACCCACCTAGAAAAAGGGACAACCGCTTTAGGCCTAATCTTTGTAACCGTTAGGAACGATACGGTCTAAAGAGGCAGAACAATCACAAGGGGCGGAGGAATTGTGATTCCAGATGTGAGTTTGTGAAAGATTTATAGTTGTTTGTGCCAAATCCAGCCCACTGGTGAAATGGAGACGCCCCTCTCGTCTGCTCTCTCTCTCAGAATACCATTCTGCTTTATGCATGTTTCAGATGGAACTTCAAATACACTGTACTTCCAGCCTCAATCATATCCACAAAATCATGTAGATGGAATAGTTAACTAGGAGCTCAAAACTAAATATGAATGTTCATAAATCCACATCTGTCTATGAATTGACGTCCAAGTTGCTTCAAAATGTCCCAACAGGTCGTTATTTACTGAATCAAACGTCGCCACCTCGGCACGTGAAATGCAGCTCGACTGATGGATCGACTTTCTCGGCCGCGTTGAGCCGTCACGGGACAGAACTCGACACAAGTGGACGTTTGTCTCTCTGCGCTTCCCTTCGGGGACACTTTAGTGCCGCAGCAGTCGCGTTGCACTTTTCTGGCATTTGGGGTGCAAGATGTAATCCAGGCCTCCACCGTTTTCTTTCACTCATCGCTCTGCAGGGTCGTAGATCACGGCGACCACGCGGTCACCAAACCCGGCCCCATGCCGTCTCTGAGACGGCCATTAGAGCGCCATCCTCGCCCGGCCGTCCTCTTCTGGAATTTACCAACTTGTTTTAGTCTGAGCGGCTCAAAGCCCACTGACAGACATTAGGGGACGGGGGCGGGGCATGTTAGTGCTGCATGACCCCGTTGGCTGACAGAGGTGAGGGACGACAGACCGCAAAGAAAAGCTGTAAATCTGCACCTGGTAGAGGACTCGTTTCTGGAGAGGACATTTCTGTCTCACTGAGTGAATTTGACTTTTCTTTTTTCTTTTTTTCTTTTTTAAATGGCCGGTTCTGATCTTGTTTTCTCAGGTGCCTCGAGGAAGGACCAGCCCTCGTTTACGCTGAAGCAGGTGAGCTACCTGTGTGAGCGGCTGCTTAAAGACCACGAGGAGAAGATCCGGGAGGAGTACGAACAGATTCTCAACACAAAACTCGCAGGTGAGAAACGTCGGCCTTTTCTGTGGAGGACAACAAACCGCCAGCATTCACCTTTCACGTGCACAGCGCTCGTCATGGCTCGCTGTGTGAGAAACATCCCGCCCACTTCCTAGTGCGTGTGTGTGCGTGTTATCACAGCTGGTGTCCATGGCTCCCCCAAACAGAGTTTATACATAAATACACAGGCTGTAACCGGGAAATGAGAGGAATTGGAATAAAGAGGAGAGGATTTTGCAGCCGGGGGCCGTACGCTGTGGTTGAATCTCCTGATCGCGTTCTCACCTGGTTCTTCCCTTCTTTCCAGAGCAATATGAATCTTTTGTGAAATTCACACAAGACCAGATCATGCGAAGATACGGAGCCCGGCCGGCTAGTTGTAAGTATCCCGCCTGCTCCGTTGCCTCCTCCGTCACAGCGCACGTTTCCTTGTTTAATCTGTGCTGGGATTGAAACGGGTGGAGCGGATTATCGTCTCTGACCTCCACCTCTGTCGTTTCAGATGTCTCTTGAACTCACCGCGATGAGATCCCAACCTCCTCTCACTAGACGGCGGCTCTTCTACAGCGCCCCCCCTCCACCTTCTTCTCCCAGTTAATTTTCATATTATTTCCCTGCCCTGCCCCCTCCCCGTGTTAAGCTGTTTGGGTGTCATGGTTTGTCCCCTTTTTAATCCACGTGTCGTTTTCTTACTTCAAAGCTGTTGCTGCTGGCCAAAAGTTACAAGAATATGAAAGATAAACTTCAACGCCCACTTTTTCTTTTGTTCATATGCGCTTTGTGCAAATCCTTACTGAAGCAGATCTGTGTCAAATCTCCAAAGCGTTTTGGCTCATGTGATCATTCTGTATAATCTTCCAGCAGCTGTAGTTAATGGCTCCTGCTTCTGACATCCCGCCCCCCCCACACACACCCTTCTTGCCTTTTCCTGCCACCCCCACCCCCCCTCACAACTCTTTACCTAAAGTTTTTTGTCCCTTTTAAAAAAAAAAAATAAATAAAAAGTTCTGTGATTTAAAGCCTGTGGTGTTTTCTTGGAGCCAGGCGGTGTCGCACCAAAGTAGAATAAAGAAATCCAGGATAACTGAAAAGGCGCCGCTTGACTCGATGTGATCCGCTTGTCGCGGCTTAATCGGTTGCACGTTTGCCGGGATGAGAAGTGAAGCTCCGGTCAATCCAGGTGTTTCACAGCTGGGATAAGTGCACGTTCACGGCTTTCTTAAGGAGACCACGGTATCGACCCGATTTACTGATGCGAAAACGGCGTGCGCAGCATATTTTTAACCACGGTTCGCTCTTGCTTCAGTTGCTTGACCCTTTTCCCAAGAGTTTCCTTTGCCATTGTGAAAACGTTTCCAGTCAATTCTTCCTTTGCGTCGACTGCTTGACTTCAGGCCTTTGATCCTTGTTCTTGCTGCCACGCTGGTTATCAACTGTCAAGTTTCGTGTGTTTTTCCTAATTAACCACGGCTCTGCCCAAACTTGAAAAGAGCTTTCTCTCCGGTGGGCACAAAGGACAACTCGAGAGAAAGCTCTTTTCAAGTTTGGGCAGAGGCAAGGAAATGGCAAAGGAAACTCTTGGGAAGATGGTCAAGCAACTGAAGCAAGAGCGAACCTTAGCTAAATCTGCTTTCACTAAGTAAAGCAAAGCATGAACAAACAAATCATACTGTCCTACCAGCTGCGTCTCTGGGAGATTAGGAGCCGTGGCCACAGTGTCCTTTGCGTCCACCGGAGAGAAAGCTCTTTTCAAGTTTGGGCAGAGCCGTGGTTAATCAGGAAAAACACACGAAACTTGACACCCGCTGAGCAGCGACTAATTATGGGAAATGAGGTGACTCAAATATGCAGAAAAGAATTCAGCAGCTGTAATTAAGCAGAAAACGCCTGGCAGACGATCGTGGACCGACTGAATGCAGAAGGATTTAAAAATATCTACTTACCAGGAAAGTTGAACTGTTTTAATTGCTTTTAATTTTTTTTATTGCCGTCTATGTGCTGGTTTTACTGTAAAGTGTTTGAGTATGCTACAATGTAAAGTACTATATAAATAAAATATAGTTATTCACCAACACCAGGCTTCACCCCCAACTGAGGAATTGGCCCTTGTTTTGAACCAAGGCAGGCCGCTGATGGAGGGATTCAGGGTGGGGCAGATACTGACCTGCAGAAACTGCCCTCTTCATACATTCTACATCAAACACAATCACCCATTTATACGGAATATGTGGAAATCCTCTTTGATGCGACACATTCTTCTGAGACCAGGGAAGGTAATAAAGATGTGCGTCCAGGACTTCAGCACCACACACACACACACTTCTGACAGTACGGCAAATCGTGCCTTTTATTTACAGGTTTGACTTCTAAAAACATGCCGCTTGCAAAAAAGCACAGTGCCCTACAGAGCATGTGTGGGATGGTGAGATGCTTCACGCAGGTCTGATCTGTCCCCAAACATCCTCTCATGTCTGAAACCACGTCGCCGTGTCAGGGCTTCTTCATCCAACACGTGGTTCAGAAATGGGCATCATGGTGCAGGAAGAAACACCGGTGAACGGGACTTTTATTATCGGACTCCTCACGTTTACAATTGATCACTGCGCAGTTTCGCCCACCGAGCTGATGACAGCAATAGTGACAAGTAATGCATGTTAATGGAAATGAATCCGAACGCATTCAGAGGACAACGGAACAACTGTTAAACACGTTTGTTTGGGATCAGAGCGGCGGCTGATTTAACACACGAGACTCCGGGATTAATCTTCGCCTGGCTGCAAAGCATAAATCACCGTGGTTACGTGGATGGGTTCAATTCAACCTGCTTTCGTGCAACCAAGTCCAAGCTAAATGCATCCAGCATAACGTGAATATCCCGGCTTAATCCCTTATCCTGGTTTCGTGCAATAGCCCCCATGATGTGTCTTCAGTGGTGGGGGTCGTTCTCAGCAGACGAGTTTTCCCTGTTGAATTTTTTGCCGACCACCTAATTGATTCAAAAGTTATATCGAGATAAACTTGTTTCTAAATCATTGCAAATGTATTTTAGAAGGGCTGTCAACATTAACGCGTTAATCTATGCGATGGATGTGGCCAAGATTAATGCAAGAAAATATTTTTACGCAATTTTGTTTACTTCATGTGTGCCGGAAGTAAACAAAATTGATCCCCGGAAACGAAACCGTGAAGAACTGTGCAGTGGCAACTCAAGTCTAATGTCATCACAGTCACAGCTTTAAAAAGGGTTTAGTATTAAGCCTCCCTTTTCCAATATTACAATACAAGAGGAACATTTTCCACCTAATTACTCCTGTTTATAATCCACCACCATCATCTAAAAAACGGATTCTCTTCTATAACAACCACCGATCCTTTGTTTGGTTTCACACGATATACACGGTGCTCAAGGACCTCCAGTCGCACACGTGCACATCGCTGTAGACCTTTGGAAATAGTATCACTGTGCTGAAGTAGCTTTACAATTCTGTCCTGTTGAAATTAAATGTGTTTAGTTATAGTTTCCTTTTATAGTCAACGTGAAAAAGTTGATTTATAAAGTACATTTAAACTGAATGCTGTTATAATACTCCTACTTCTTTGAATTCAGAATGCTGGAACACACTTTGTTGGCAGCCAAGTGCTGCTAGACTAAGGTTTTTAAGAGGAAAGTTAAGTCGCAAATGTGGACAGATAACCAGCAGTTTGGAGGACCTTGAAAAATCCAATCTGGATGAAGAAGACTTACCAATATAAAAGTGTTTTTGACGAGTTCGTAAAGTATGGCTACAAGATCATTGGTTCATTTGAAGAGTATGATTAGTTCATTTGTAGATTCATTTTCATCCATCCATCCATCCATTGTCAAACCGCTTATCCTGCACACAGGGTCGCGGGGGGGCTGGAGTCCATCTCAGCCAACTTCGGGCGATAGACAGGGTACACCCTGGATTGGTCGCCAGCCAATCGCAGGGCTACACAGAGACACACAACCATTCACACTCACATTCACACATCTACGGGCAATTTAAAGTCCCCAATTAACCTGATCCCCAGAGCATGTCTTTGGACTGTGGGAGGAAGCCGGAGAACCCGGAGAGAACCCACGCAGACACGGGGAGAACATGCAGACTCCACACAGAAAGGCCACTGGGCGGAATCGAACCCAAGACCTTCTTGCTGTGAGGCGACAGTGCTAACCACCACGCCACCGTGCCGCCGCTAGATTCATTTTCATGTTTTTATTTAATTCGTTTATATTCTATTTTTGCTTTACTTATGTAAAAACAGTTTCCTGACAATCTACGTCTCGTTCTATTCTTTTGCCAACCTCAGCTTTAGTGATCAGGCAAATATGTATGTTTTCATGTGTAACTGAATTTCAGTTCCAATAGAACTTTTCATTCAAAAGAAATAACCTTAAAAATGGTATTTTTACAACAATAAACTCTGACATCTAGTGGTCGTATTGTGGCAGCAGGGCAATTTTCTGAATAGTGGCAATAGGAAAAATAGGCAAACAAACAGAATATTCATGCAGAGGAATTCCTCCATGTGCCAGCTGTATTCATTTCATTTTAATTTGTAAAGCCCAAAAAGGCAAATTACAAAGTTGCCTCAGAGGGCTTTACAGTCTGTACACATGCGACATGGTCTGGCCCGAAACCCTCACATCGGCACAGCAAAAACTCCCCAAACAATGAAAACCCTTCGTTCAACATGTTCCACTTGGTGGAAATCTGCCTCCAAAATGATTACATCTTTGTAGTTTATTAAAAATACATGCAAATACATGCAAAATACAATTAAAAATACATGCATTCTAAAGTTATTAGTCTTTTAAAGAAAAAAGAAATTGCGATTAATCTAGATTAAGATGAATTAGTGATTAAAAAAAAATATATACATAGATAGCTCTAATATACAGTATATAAATATCCCTAATATTATATATATATATATATATATATATATATATATATGTATATGTGTATATATATATATATATGTATATGTGTATATATATATATATGTATATGTGTATATATATATATATATATATATATATATGTATATGTGTATACATATATATATATATAGGCATATATATACATGTCATATGTATATATATATATATATGTCAGAATATAATAACTACCATGAATATTATTCTATTACCCTAGAATTGTGATTAATCGCAATTAATACATTTCAAAAATGAATCTATTGACTGCCCTTTTTTTCAGAATAAAATACTGTATATTTTTTGATTTCAGTAATTGGCCAGATATTATTCATAAAGTATATGGGTCGTTTATGGGCAATCCAAGACAAATTGTATATATAGACAAACACACCCACAGGTCAAGAAATAACAGAAGGAAAACCCATCAATGGTAATAAGTTGTCGTGAAGACTAACTGGATGTTCACTCAAAGGGGTTCAAGCCTAAAGGTTCCTGGTTATAGCTGCTTTTTAATATAGAACATAAAAGTTGTGTATGTCAGAACGGTCAATGACATGGTTGACCAGCGATTTCGCGGTGATTAATACGTCCTGTTACATGACCTGCTGATGACACTGGAAAGAGAAAATGTTTTATTAAATAGGAGGATGCTCCTTTGTCGTTGCTGGTGAACTCTGCTGCCACCTTGTGGTTCCTGTGCGTCACTGCAGCGTTTCTTTTACACTTCACCCGCACTGCGCTTTACTCAACCGGGAGTTGTGTTACATTTGAATATAGGACCCCGTAACAGCTGTTATTGCCTCTTCTTTCTTCCTTTTTGCCGTGCTGTGCAGGAGGGGAGGTGGGCGGAAAGGGGGAGGCGGTCTGGATAATGGGTCTGTGACGTCACCGAGCTCAGGTGTGGCGCGGGGGAAGCAGGTATATCGGCCGTTGTCGTCGCAGGCTGCCGGGGCTTCGCGGTCTTTCTGTGGCTGAGCTGAAGGGTCCACGAGGAGCTCGTTCTGGACGCAGGAAGGAAGCTTCTCTCGGGAAGAAGCAATGGAAGCTCTATAATTATCTCAAAGTGGCTTTTCTTTCTTTTTCTTTTCTTCTTGGAGTCCCACCGCGACGGTCGGGCTGAAGAGGAGGAAGAGGAAGAGGAGGAAGAGGAGAGCGAACCAACGCCTTAAACCCGCGCTACGTTAAATGAACGAGTGTCTGCGGCTGATAGATTTGAGCTCCGTGGAATCGATATTTGTGCGCGTGCGGCCGCCTGGAGACAGCTGCTCTCTTCCTGATAAATATTTAGGTGAGTAAAAGTTGAGTCGAATTCGAACCAAATGATAGGGAACGTAACATCATCATCATCATCATCATCATCATCATCAACAACAACAACAACAACAACAATAATGCATTAAGTTGTCCGCTGTATAGTTTTTGGTCATCTACAAAACCCGAGTATGGACACGACGGTGAGCGGAAACGCTCAATAAATTACAGTAAATTTAAGTAATGTTAACTTTATTATCGACCAGCTTCTGCCCACTGTCAACATTTTACTCGGCCCAGACGTTAAAAGAGGAATTAATAATATTTCAGGTTTTAGTGCAAAACTTTAGGGTCATTCATTCAGAGTATTTTGTACTAGACTGTTTACATCGCAGTACTCGTCTCCGTGGTCTGAACTGCGCATGTGCGTGTTACAATACAAGTACACACCTGTAGATGCATTTCACGTTGTCAGTGGAGGTTCAACAAGTATTTACTTATTTCATCTCCCAAAGAGAGAACATGTCATTTCCGCGGTGTAACGTTAAGATTATCAGTAACGCGATAAGACATTTTTATTTTATTTATGGTGATTCTTTGACACTTTAAATCTTCAGGGAAGTGAACGTGTGTAATATAGATACAAGCCTCTCACAATAACTGTACTTCTCAGTATTATTAATCGCAAATTAATTATCGGATGCTGCCGTTTCAACCCGACCACAACCATCTCCTCCTGGGTGTAGATCTGCAGCGGTGATGGAGGACCTGGACCTGGAGCAGCAGGAGCCCTTCCCCGTGGACCGGAACGGGCGCCGCCTAGGCGACGCGGCCGACCAGCCCGACGGCGGCCGGCCGGCGGGTTGCTGCGAGAGGTTCCAGCTGTCCGTCTCCAAATGGATGCTCCCGGAGGACCACCGCGAAAAGTACCTGGAACGGGCCAACTGCTGCCCGCCGCCCATCTTCATCGTCCTCATCAGTATCGCCGAGGTAGCCGTAGGAGACCGGAGCGATCCGCGTGGATTCCGTGGTCTTTGGTCATGCATGAGTGGACACATCTGCTGTGAATGTGTGTGGTGGATGTAGCAGATGAAGAAGTCGTATCTGTGGCGGGATATCGGGGAAAACGATTGACCCTTGGATCGAAATGGTACAGCAGCGTTTGGACCAAATACCTCAATATCAATAGCGTCAATATAGTTTTATAGTTTACTATTGTTGTTTCACCAAAATGACGTTTATGATCAATGCTGATAAAGAGTCTGGTAGGTTCAGAAAATTAAATAATATTTACTACACGTACTCCATATTAAGATATCCAAAATATAAAGTATTTTCATAACAACATCCATAAATGAGCGTATGTTGTTTTCCTGACTGATGAAGTGAAGTCACGTGTGACGTTAAAACACCACCCGATCCCCACTGGTGGGATTCACAGATGCTTTTCCCCGACGTGCAAACAGAAAGCCACTGTGGCCTTTTCAGATTGAAGTAAATACAGTGTGGAATGTGGAGGATCAGTGGGGGATTTGTTGAAATTACATGGCGGGAGAGGGAGAGGGAGGGGGGGGGGGGGTGTGCCTCACTGTGGCCTGAAATCTATGCATAGCATTTAACATTGATCCCGCTACCTTTTTAAAAGTCAGACCGTTGTAAATCTCCTTCTCGGAGACTTGACTCGTGTGTGTGTGTGTGTGTGTTTTTCGGCTCTCGGCCAGCTGGCGGTGTTCATCTACTACGCGGTGTGGAAGCCTCAGAAGCAGTGGGTGACCCTGGACGAAGGCATCTGGAAAAGCCCCCTGACGTACAAGCCCGAGGTGCGGCAGGAAGCGTGGCGCTTCATCTCCTACATGTTTGTCCACGCCGGGTAAGTTGCGGGCCGGCCCGTTTTTAAAATACTTTTAACTACACCGAGGAAGCTCGGGGGAAGGGACACGGACACCTGACGGTGTCGCGGCCATGGAGCCGATCGTCTCTTTGTTTTGACTTTGGAACCGCTTCTAAAGGCCGTTACAAAGGCCAGAAAGCAGAGGTGTCCAAACACGGCCGGAGTCCTGTGACGTGGCAAGCAAAGGAAAATCATGTGAACATAAGCAACAGGAAAAAACAAAACCCAAACCCTGAAGCACAAAGGACGAGTGGATAAGAGGAAGAGTGATCACAGACATCAAACAGGATCCTGAGACAAGAAGCAAGAAACGCAACGAGCCGCCCAGTTGCACAAGAGGACACGTTCCTTCATTACAACACACACACACACACTACTCTCCAGTGTACAACACGTCGTTTTAATGCCCTCATATTGGCCCTAATTGCATTTGTTAAAACATAAAGGGCCCAACTGTTTCTAGAGTTTTGGACTCTGGAGAAGCAGCTTTGTAAAAATGTAATTTCATTTAAAGTAAACTTTCTTCTCTTCTCCGCCCGTCTCTAGGGTGCAGCACATCTTTGGAAACCTGGTGATGCAGCTGCTGGTGGGCATCCCGCTGGAACTGGTCCACAAAGGATTCGAAGTGGGAATGGTTTACATGGCGGGCGTCCTGGCAGGTCAGCCGTTTTTTTTCAACTGCATTTCATATTTTATATTCGTCGTGGGCAGTTACTGGAGCAGCTCCAGCGAGCCGGACTCCATCTGCGTTTTCCCCCTCGGGACATCTGGAAGTTGTTTCTTCCTGTTTGTGTTGGCGGGCTTCCTGTCAGAAGTGCCACTGATTTTTTTTCTTTTCTTTTTTTTGCTCGCGGATGCTTCCCGTCTCCCCTCAGGCTCGTTGTGCAGCTCCATCTTTGATCCCCTCAGTGCTCTGGTGGGAGCTTCTGGGGGAGTTTATGCCCTCATCGGGGGGTATTTTATGAACGCAGTGGTGGTAAGTTGGACGTCAGCATTTCACCCTGCAGTTTTTGAATTATATTTGAACCTAAACCTTTGCAAGGACCAGACGACCAGTTTGGTCTGTACAGAATTTAAACCTCGTTTAAAATGTCCTGCGGTCGTCCAAAACATCGTGACATCATAGCGTGTGAACAGGACCAGCTCACTCAAAGCTTCCAAACAAATGTCATATGTATTTCACAGAATTTCCGAGAGATGATTCCTGTTCTCGGAGTATTTCGTATCCTCGCTATCGTGATATTCGGTACGTTCTCCTGCGTTTTTTTTCCCACCGGGTTTTGTTATTAGTTCAAACCGCTGTCGTCGCACTTTAAAGGTCTTACATTTGATACCGTTTTCTTTCTCCAGTTGCCACAGATTTTGGATTTGCCTTCTACAGGAGGTTTCTGTCAGAAGACGCCGGTTTGAAGGTATGACAGTGGATGGGGATCAGGTCAGATCAGCTGACTTCCCCCCCCCCCCCTGAAAACCAACACACTGATGACCTTTGTCCTTTTAACTCCGTAGCTTCACTTTTCAGCAAATCAACTGTTTATCTATCCACTTCCTTATTCCTTCCTCCATGTTCTCATCTCCGTCCCCCCGCCGGGGGGTCGTTGTTTTGGCGGTTAAACTGCTTCTGGATCTTTCGGGCGTGAGGTCGGATTGACAGGCGCCTGTGTTCATCACTGCATCCCGTTCTCCCCCCCAGGTGTCCTTTGTGGCGCACTTCGGAGGGATCGTGGCGGGGATGACCGTCGGCTACGTCTTCTTTAGCGCCTACAACCAGAAGCTGCTCAAAGACCCCCGCTTCTGGCTGTGCATAGTCGGGTATCTGCTGTTCCTGATCTTTGCCGTGGTTTTCAATATCGTCCTGAGCCCAGCGCCGTAGGAACGCCGGCTCCGTCTCTCACAGCGTAACACCGAAGGCCTTGATGTCACTCACTCAGGAAGCCGTACTTCACTTGTGAAGTGCACAGGGTATTTTTTTCTACTATCATATTGTGTATTTTTAGAGCTGAACTTGTGAGTTCAAGGCCACCGGTGCCTCATGCTGTTCATGTGTTACATGCAGAAGGACTATTTTAATTTACAACTGGATTAAATCTTATCTGTAACTTTTTAATGGGTTGTGTTTTATTTGAGTGTTTTGTATGTTTTTACACCTTTTGAGTATCAAAATACTGCTCTAATTTAATGCCATTTTTTCAAACTGTTAAATGGAAGAACTTTTAATCTTTAATATTTTCTGTTGATGGTAAAGCACTCCTATGAGAGTATTCATTAAACGTAGTAAAATAAGAAAGAGATTAAAGGAAGCGTCGTGCTGCGGCTGAATGTCACCTTATTGTTCCAGCCACATCCTGTTGTTGACTCATTATTGTCATTTTCTAAAAATGTTGATTAGTTTTCCCTTCATGCTGATAGCTTTTCAGCCTTGAACTCCTCTAACGTTGCCTTTTGTTTCACTGCAAACGAGTGCAATGAGTGTTCGATAATGAGCGATTCCGGAGCACGAAACTGTCCGGTTAAAAATGTGTTGGTACATTTACATTTTTATGAGTCTATAGATGAACACATTCAAATTACTGGCCTGGGAATGACAACAGGCGCAGTTAATAAATCAGCAATGTTCATTTGGTGAACTTTGACCTACCGAAGCCTCCAACACTCAACACATGTTTTGCATCTCAATGCCTCTTTTTAAAATGTCTTTAATGTTTTGTTTAAACATAATTTTTGCCATATTGAATCTGGACTTTGGCAACGGAGGATGAGTCATTGTGATGATTTAGCAAGTGAAGGCCACATTTCCAATGATGGTCCGATCGGTGCCCAGGAAGCACGTGACCCGGCGTGTGCAGCAGTCTGCTGTCTGATGCAGCCGGGTCGCCGCCATGGGGGAGGCGAGGGGAGGGTGGGGGCCTGATAGTACCTGAATGTGGCCCTCTGTATGGAAACTTTTTTTAGTTTCCAAACACAACACATCAATATAACTTAGTGCATCAATATTCAATTATAGGCTTGTGGGACTTCACCCCGAAAACGATGGGAAAGTGTATGTTGTTGTTCCGTGTAGTGCAGCACTCAGAAAATCAGTAGTCTGGACAACAACATCGGGATTTCAGCTCTTGTATATTTAATGAAATACTTGCTGGTCAGCTGTCCTGCTGTGGAGCGTCTGCATTTCTTATTGAGAATGTGAAGCTACGTTACTGTTTCTCAGTCGACAACGGAGGCCGTCGGCTTGTAAACGCCGCGTGACGTAGAGGTTAAAGTGATAATCCAATAAAGCACGTAGAGAGTTAAGAGTTGAATACTGGACTTTTGCTGATGAGAACTTGAGCAGTTTGAATCTGTTTTAAGACCCGAAAATAGTGCATAAAATGTGCATATCAGGGGAATGCCGGTGTTACTTCCATCAGAAAAAATCTCTGTACTTTAGACCTTTAGGCTGTCGACACACAGACACGACCTCCTGTGACCTCAATGTGTTTGTTCTCGACGAGTCGAATCGATCCGCTTGGCAAAGTGTTCAAACAGTTTTAGGTCAGAAGGCAAAAGTTCAGCTTCCTGAACCTTGTCAATCAAATATCCGAGCTTTGTAAAACAAACATTTCATATCAAGGGGCGTGACGCCGTAACGTGACCCGCGGCGCATTTAAAGGTGTCGGTTTAGACGTTGCTTAGACTGTTGGCAAGCACGCTCATCTTTTGGGATATAATTCTAGTAAATTGCATAAAACAAGGTGTCCGCTGCATGAGAACCTGATTGCATCTACAGAGGAATGAACTCAGACATGATGGCGAATCGATTACTTTGCTGTAGTAGAAAACTATTGATTGTACAAGCCTCGTTAGATCACTGACTGGCATCGATGATGCGGTGGTCCAAACCACAGTGTTTGCACATGGAGCAATTAGGCTTCCAACAATTGAGTGTTAACAAATCCTGAATTTGCGAAAAAACACCTATTAGGAAGCAGCTGGGTTGTTTAACTCCGTGGAGTTGAGTGTATGCAGCATTTCTGTAGGATATAAGGAAATAAAAGGGACAAACAACACGCCCGAGCTGCAGATATTGAGGTCATTATCAGGGCAACAGCCGGTTGCCGCCCACCGTTGTGAGGCCATAATCTAAATGCATCCGGGAAGCTGTTGCTATCGACTTCTCTCTGTTTCGCAGTTGGTGTTTTTTTTTTTGGAACACTGTGGGGAAAGGCGGGTCACCGATGTTCGGGTGATGCAGATGGACTCGTGTGGAGGGCGGGCGTGACCCGAGGAGACCCGGGTCACCACCGGCTGTCCGTCCACGCCGCTGCGAGCTAAATGGAACAGAGCGGCGCCCCGGTTCACATGCGTCCTGACTGAGGCACAACCGGATGGCCGAGCAGGACAGGGAACACATCCCCGGATAAACCACTCGGCTTCAAATAGATCTTTCCCAATATTTTACAAATGTGTGACATTTTTGCAATTTTTCCTCATCAGGCTTTATTTAGCTAATGTTTTGTTTCACTATTTAAGAAGTACTTTAATTTATTTTGTTACTGGGGGATCTTCTTTGTTTAGATTGTCTTAATCTGAAAAGCTACCAAATATTGTCAGAAAACTTTCTTTCTTTCTTAAAATCCAATTTGTTTCCTCAAAGGTGCACTTCTGGTCCCTTTCGTTGTTCCCTCACCTTCACCTCTTTCACTCACTACCTTCCAGTCACGATGGCGTAGTGAAGATGGGCGACTGGAACTTCCTCGGCGGGGTTTTGGAGGAGGTGCACATCCATTCCACCATGGTGGGCAAGATCTGGCTCACCATCCTCTTCATCTTCCGCATGCTGGTCCTCGGCGTGGCGGCGGAGGACGTGTGGAACGACGAGCAGGCGGACTTCGTGTGCAACACCGAGCAGCCCGGCTGCAGGAACGTGTGCTACGACCACGCGTTCCCCATCTCCCTCATCCGCTTCTGGGTGCTGCAGGTCATCTTTGTGTCCTCTCCCTCGCTGGTGTACATGGGCCACGCGCTCTACAGGCTGCGGGCGCTGGAGAAGGCCCGGCAGAAGAAGAAGGCGCTGCTGCGGAAGGAGCTGGAGCTGGTCGACGCGGAGTCGGCGGAGGCCAGGAAGAGGATCGAGCGGGAAGTGAAGCAGCTCGACCAGGGCAAGCTGAACAAAGCCCCCCTGAGGGGCTCGCTGCTGCGAACCTACGTGGCGCACGTCTTCACCCGCTCGGTTGTGGAAGTGGCCTTCATGACAGGCCAGTACGTCCTTTACGGCTTTCACCTCCACCCGCTCTTCAAGTGCGAGCGGGACCCTTGTCCCAATGCCGTGGACTGTTATGTGTCCAGACCGTCAGAGAAAAGTGTCTTCATGGTGTTCATGCAATGCATCGCGGCCATATCCCTCTTCCTGAACCTCTTGGAGCTCACGTACCTGGGCTACAAGAAGGTCATGCAGGGCATCTTGGACCTTTACCCTCACTTGCAGGACGAACCCGATGACTACTGCGCCAACAAGTGCAAAAAAGAATCTGTTGTGCAAATATGCACCAGCGTACCCCGAAGGGTGACGGTTGCCTCCGCACCCTGTGACTACAACCTCTTGTTGGAGAGGTACCCGAACCTCCTCAGACCTCCATCTTTTCTCCCTCATCGGAGCGAGCAGACCCACCAGCAGTATTTGGAGGATCCCCCGCACGGCAAAGAGGACGGAGGGAATCCAGACTCTCCAAAGAAGGCCGACTCAAACTCCAGCCCGGAGACACCGGAAGAGTCCAGCTCAGGATCCAGGGACAACCCCAGGCCGCCTTCTTCCAACGGCAAGACGCCAGTGGACAGACGGCCGGCAGACCTGCAGATCTGAACTTTTACACCGCGTTCTTGCGGCAATACACGTGACCGCTGGACGTCATTTCAACATTAAGGATTTTACACTGACTGAAAACTTTGTTTTCCATTCAGATAATGTAGCATGCTTAAGAAAAAAAAAAACCTGTAGATGAAATAATGGTACGATATCAAAGAGGTTTTGGAATAAGCCTGTACCCTATTGTGACTGACTGCACTGCTACACATTTAGAAAACCAGGTCAGCCTGAACCGGGTCAAATAGAAGTGGATGTTTTCATCGTTGTGTGACCTATAAACATTGCAAGGCTTTCAATAATAATGTCACCGCAAATGATGAGTGCATGTTGGCTAAATAAAGTTGTTCAGGCGGGCCACTGTTCCATTTTCTCCATCCATATTTAATCCGGTTTCTTTTAAGGTTGCATGTTGTGGTGGGAAGGAAACCGGTAAGAATGAACTGTCCAATAGCAATGCTTACGTTTGTAGCATAAAGCCAATGCGAACAAATATTTAGCGAGAAAATTGCAGTTAAATATGATCTTTTTAGGGCATTAGCAGGGAGATTTATTCAACTAAATTACATTAAGAGCAGCTCTATATAGATTCTAAAATGACTAAATCTGGTCATAATGTCTCTAGTCCACAATGTCTTCATTTGTCCATATTATCACTCATTTTATACTTTTTTGGACTATTGTTAATTTTGCATAAAAGTAGCAAGTAATGACCGTTCTAACGTACACAACTTTAATTGTTGTAGTACAAACATAATGAACCAATAAAATGCCCGTTTTTCAGAAATGAGTCAGTCGGTGATAAAAACGATGATTACAAGACAAGAAGTACTTTATTTATTGGTGACCAGCTCCTTGGGAAAAGTACACATGTGTCTTTGTCCCGTACCGTCAGGTGGCTCTGCACAGTGAAGAACTATGGCAGAGAAATTAAATTAGCACTTTTTTTTCACAGAGCACTGAAAAATAATGGCATTCCCCTTAAAGGAAGAACTTATTATGGTTGAAGTATTTCTTTAAAGATCTGACTTTTCCAGCCATATAGAAGGGACATTTCTCAGTAAAGCAAAGGAATAAACTAAATAAATACATGTACAGAATAAGTTACATGCTAAGAAAAAAGTAGAAAAAAGATTTACAACAACCACAAAAAAAAGCCTAAAAATAATCTCTGCCTTCACGCTGCAGCGTTATCGGAACCTGGAACCAACAAACCAAATCTCGTGACATCGATTGAGCCAAAGCGCTGCTGTGGTCAATCAGCTACGGCTCCACCTTCAGGTTCATAATGCTGCAGCTAGAGAGATGGAGGAGAGGGGGAATCTACATCAGGTGTGTTGCCTGAAATGTGGGGTGAGAAAGAAGAAAACACGACGACTCAAGATATGCGAATGCGCACTCTGCTTCGTTGTTTGGTAGATTGACTTTCCAAACCCTCTTGGCGACTTCTTGTCAAAATCGACTAGCGACCTCATCTGGTTTTATTGGAGGCTTGTGTGGTGTGTGACGTGAAAGCACGTATTGTTCTGCGGTTACTGTCCTCAGCGAGTCTCACAGAAACCTGGCGGCGCAGAAGAGACGCGTCTCGTCCAATAAAGAGAGAACGCTCTTTTAAAACGTTACTAATCACAAGAGCTACGGAATAAATGCCACCCGGAACGCATTTCATCTCCCAATAACTTTGATTTATCTCTGACTTGGAAATACTGAAGATAATTTAGACTCCGCTAAAAGCGGACCACCGTACGTCAGACGTCTCTGTCCCTCCCGGTTCGTTATGAGGTGAGTGAGTGAAAGTGTCCGTAGAACTTTTACAGTTCGGTGAAGTTGGCAAGATATTCAGATTCAGACTTCCAGGTTTAATGGACGTTAAAACACAAATGACACTTCTCTGACGTCAACAATCAGCTGCACGGAGCCTGCGCATGCACATATCTTTGAGTCATCATTCAAACCCACCCAAACAAACAAACAGCCGAAACTCACCCTTGATTTGAGGTCTTTGTTTTCGTCGGCCAGGCGCGCACACCTCTGCCTCAGGTCGTTGACCTCCTGCTGCAGAGCCTCCGTGTCGGTTGCAGGCTGACCGCCAGAATTGAGATGCTCCTTCACAAATCTGGGGAGGAGTTTGTTAAAGAATCTGCAGCAAGCGGCGGCCTCCTGTTTTAACTTCTGGATATTTCTCTGCATTAACTCATGACTGAGGGTCCACTTGCTAAAAACAAGACCAAGAGATCATTTCTGCAGCTGCCCGATGGTTCAGCTCGTGTGTGAAGAAAGATACTCCAGGGCATTGCTGGGCTTCTCAGGTTGTTCGTACAAAGACACCAGAACTGAAGAAAAAAAATGCAAACTGTCAGATACAATTGCATGAAAAGGGCTGGATATAAAATAATACGAAGCTAATAATAATAATAATAATAATACGAAGCTCAAAAAGCTGCCATTTGAGGACTTGGTTACGTTTTTATTTAGATATTCATTCCTGTCACTCCGGTACGGTCGATTGAGGATAATTTGTACAAACCCAGATGGTTTTCTGTGGTACCGTTAACATTTACTTGTTATCTCACAGGGAGAAATGAGTGCGTACCACTGGTCAGGCTGTCCACTACACCAGCTTTCTCCAGATACCTCCTGAACTGTTCCCGTTTGGTTTCTGGAGCCTGTAAGGAGACAAAAGTCAGCAATTATATGAAAACTGTCGACTGTCAGGTGTGGTTAAAAAACACTTTACACTTCATTTCTCACGGGCCGTTAATTAACTTAATTAAAAGGTCCTGTGTCAATTATTAAAAGACAAGTTTATAAACGTCACTTATAAATAGCAATTAACGTTGAACAATGACCCGAGGGAGGAAATGTTAAGATGAAAAGTTTGCGGTCAGGTTGAGGACATTAACGTGAGTTAATGTAACGTTATCACCAAAAAGGTTTAATCCCAGGTGATTCACAGGTTGCCTGATGAGCACCGTGACGCGTGGCTAAAGCTAAGCTAGCCCGTTTGAGCTCAGCTAGCTAGCCGCTAACGTTAGAGCCATTGACATTAGTCAATAAAACTGTTTCTGCTGAGCGACACTTCAAGACAAAACGAACAACCGCGCAAACACCCACCCGGTAATGCGCCATGGTTGCCGTGGTTTATAAAGTTGACTTTCTTCTCGTAGTTGTAGTTTCGCGGTCCCGCCGGACACCGCAAAGCTGGTTTGGAAGCGCAGGTAAACTCTTTAAGTTTCGTTTATGCAGCGAGTGTGGTGTGCTGAGTGCTGCGTTCAGGTGTCCCTCGTTAAACGGAGTTATATCAAACGGAGTGATTGGCTTGACTCAACCTACTTTGGCAACAGTTTTTATTTATTTAGTCCTGGCTGTACTCCTTGAGATAATAAACCCAGTTCTAACTCGCGTGTGTGTCTAACTGATTACATGCAACTACGATGAATAAAAACGTGTGTTTTTGACAGAATTGTTTTTGTTTATGTTAGTGCTTTTTAGTTTCCAAATGAGACATGGGGAAGAATTCACTCTCTATACCACGTTTGGATTTTTTTGTGTTACAAATGGTCTTCAACCAGATTTGGTGGAGCATCCCTGTCTTTCAAAAAATGAATCCTTCAACGTTGAACCATTTATTGACAGCATGAGTTCCGACATTGTAGAAATACATTGGAAGTCTTCACTAGTTGATTTCTGCCGCCATCAGCTGGTCATACTGCAGAACACCGGCAATGCCCACTTTTCTAGACGGCTCATATTTAGCAACCTACGTCAAATGTTTTCTTAATTTATCACAAATAAAAATGAATAAATTAAAAGTTAATAAAACAAACTGAAAAGACTCCAAACGCCTTTGTTAACTGAGTTCGTTTTTGTATTATTCGGGTGATAGGTCACAAAACAGGTCCGAGTACTAGTCAGGTGACAGCGAGAAACCTCAGTAGAGTGACAGGAGCTTCCGACCAATCATCTGTCTTAGACGAATTCCGGCATCAAATCAGAATCGAGGGGCGGGGACAAACCCCACTTTTTTTTTTTCAAGGGAGAGGAAATCCGAAGGAAATGTGTGGGATCACGCTCGGTGTTTCTGAGCAGCCTGGGCTTTGTTGACAAGCCAAATTCATCGTGTGACGATAGCTTGTGGCACACCGACTCATACAAACACGGGTGAGGGGCAGGTAGGGGGTGAGGGGAGGGGGGACGAGGGGGTGGGGACGCGACCGTCGTTGGGTCAAAATGTCGATTCAGTACGAGGTGGAACAGCTGGCCGACAGCTACGGGGTCGCGGACTCTTTCCCCAAAGACTTCGGCTATGGCGAAGAGGAGGCCGACATCGAGGACAGCCCGGCGCCGTCCGACAGCAAACCGAGGATCCTGCTCATGGGGCTGAGAAGAAGTGGCAAATCATCCATACAGAAGGTAGGTAGGGGGGGGGGGGGGAGAGACGTTGGACCGTTAGCCGTTTTGAGTGGCCTCACCCCGGTAAACGGGTCGTTAGCCAAACAAGCTAACGACGTGACGTGCGCTTAGCATGTCGCAAGTGACGCCGGCTGCCGAGGAGCGACCCCGCCGCGAAGGAGCAGTTAGCCTCCCGGTGTTCGCTGACGTGGGTGACGCTGTGGCGGTAAGCCTCCGCCAGGTGGACCGGTGACACCGGGCGCATCTTTTACTGGCACGCTGACGTTGAGCACGTGACTGTTTGGCGGACAACGTGTCCCGCACGCCCGATGGTCAGTCAGTCCCCACCGAGCCGTGAGGCTCACGTGACTGCGACCTCCCTCCTCCCCTCTCTCCTAAATCAGTCCCACCAGGTGCACGACCTGCTGAAGATGGGTGAGTTTTGGGGCCCCTGCGCGTGCGATGTGCACCCAGGGGCCCTCCGAGTCCAGAGCACCCAGAACTCTCTTCATGGAAAGTGTTACTGACGCAGCTCTGCCTGTGATCGAGGCCCGAGATATTCGTTAAATTAAAAGTAAAGCACGGAAGCTTTTAAAGTAAGATTTTGACACACGTGCTTCTGTCACTATTTAAGTGTTGTAACAAATGGCCACGCAGCCGGATGCTTCTGGGCCGCCTTCGCCCTGCTGGCTGTCACTCCTCCTCCATTTGAAGGCCTTTTCTTTGTTTAACGCGACAAGATCCAGCGGCTCACTCGTCTTCTTCAAGTCACATCCAGATGTGGTTGAATAATCGCTGAGATGCACATTTTATTATTCATGTTCATATTCGAGGGAGGGGGGAAGAATCGGTCGCGTGACTCGCCGGGAGCCTGTCCCGCAGATATGAGCCCAAAGGAACACGTGCAAAGAACTGCTATGTCACAATCCACGCTGTCAAGACTCAGATTAATGTTCCCCTGTAAGCCTCCGCGGCCCAACATCATGTGATTCGGCTTTTCCTGCTGGTTCATTGGCCTTTGACCTCAGTGGGCCACACGCTGATCCAAAGAGCGCACCTTCAGGGCTGGATTTGAATTGTCCTAACTGAGTGAAATTACCCGGAAGTAGTGCAAGTTTGCCGTGATAACCGCTGTTTGACTTCTCTACTGCTAAGGAACGAAGCTTCAGCACTTCCCCACTTGGCTCCTTTAGCATAGGAACCCCACTAGAACATCCCTTTCTTTGTAGTCCATCTTCAGGGAAATTGTAGGTAGGTAATTCTCTGACCGTTTGCATCCGGCTCAGGACCACTCTGCTTCACACAGCTGCAGTCTTCGGGTCGGCTGTTTGACAGCAGTCGGAGTGCTGCGTCAGAGTGAGTGTGCCGCGTTGAGCCCTCATGCTCCATGTGACGGCCGGCTGATGTCTTGTGGTTTGAGTCACAGCGGAAGCAAAATACAATCCCGTACTGATCATTTCTCCCATGAAGTCACGGTAGTTGGTTCGAAGCCGTCTTACGAGATACAAAGTATTGTTGGGCAATAGTTTAAAGCGCATCGCTGCCTGTGACTCAAAGTGTGCACATGAAGTTATGTTCTATGTGACTTGGATGTATAGTTACTATTTGTCGTCATTTTCTAGGCGGATTACATTAAATCATTTGTATCGTCGCAGCCCTTCAACACGTTCGACATTAAATCAATAAACTAAAGTGAAGCAGAAAAAACTAGTTCTGCACTGTTTAAAAATATCGATTTTATTCATCTGTACAGACGAAGCCAAATGACCATCTGCCCCAGACACTATGATAGTGAGGAGGGTACTTCTAACTTTTCCAGTGATATTTAAATTCCATACAAAATCCCCAGGAACCGTCGTCTGCTTTCACTCTTCTTAAACATCCGCACCTGTAATTTCAGGTGGTGTTCCACAAAATGTCTCCCAATGAGACTTTGTTCCTGGAGAGCACCAACAAGATCTACAAGGACGACATCTCCAGCAGCTCCTTTGTCAACTTCCAGATCTGGGACTTCCCGGGTCAAGTAGACTTCTTCGACCCCACCTTCGACTACGAGATGATCTTCAGAGGAACCGGGGCTTTGATATTTGTCATCGACGCTCAGGTGGGAAACAAATGAAAGAAAAAGGCTGTTAACGTTGTAAACATAGTGTTTTACCTGGTGAAGGGATCGTTTCTAAACATGTATATTAGTGGAACCCTTTCGCTGCGTTAACGAAGATGTGCGCGCTGCATACATGTGGTCCTCTTTTAGGACGACTACGTGGAGGCCCTGGGCAGGCTTCACCTCACCGTGTCTCGGGCCTACCGGATCAATCCAGAGATCAACTTCGAGGTGTTCATCCACAAAGTGGACGGCCTCTCAGACGACCACAAGATCGAAACCCAGAGAGACATCCATCAGAGGGCCAACGACGACCTGGCAGACGCCAACTTAGAGAAGCTGCATCTCAGGTAGCTCGTTGGTGTTTTACCTCTGCATCGTTTTATCAGGAGGAACGAGACGACAACGTGTATGTCATCAAATGTTTGACTGGAGTCATTTCATTTCCTTCTCTCTCGCTCCTGTTATCTGTGAATGTTTAGTTTTAGTTTTGTTATCAGTTCTCATTGCTGCATGGCTATAAAAAATCATGCAAATAGGCCCTTTTCTTTCTGCCAGTCACACCCAGGTGCCATCATTACTCAACTATGATAACCAGTCATTTAAGATAAGTGGAACAAATCTCCTGTTACCGATAATAAGATGCAAATACACCTCAGCTTTTTGGCACTTTTGACATCAGGTTGTCCTACCGGTATTACTGTTCCCTTTTAAAATAGAGCCTTGGAAACACACACACTGAAATCTAATAAACATTCTGGTTCAGAGCCAAACGGCTACTCGCAGCAATTAGGGATGCATGTTTGAGGAACGTGGATTTTCTTTCCCACCTCAGTCGGCGCCTGTAGTTCAGCATCCGAGGACGCATGTGACTTGTCCTTTAAGCCGCGTAGGGTTTTTAAAAGCAGCATGTGTGACTGTGTGAAAAGTCCCCCGTGTGACGCCGTAGCTGAGAGGAGAAGATGATGATTGTTTGTTCTGTGGTTTCAGTCGTGTGGACGTAGAGCAGCTTCTGAGTGTTACTGTGAGATTCCTCTTTGACCTGCTAATGAAGAAACAATGACTCAGACACGTCGCCACGGGCTGAGAGCAATCGATGCGAGGCTTTTTCAATAGCCGAGAAGCCATGATGGTTTTGTTTGTTGATTATTTCCTTTCTGAATTTGAGGATCTCCTTGAGCATTGAGATAAAATAATTATTAATAAGTCGATAAAACTTCAGTATTTCACCATCTATAACAAAACCGACACGTCTTCATTCCAAAGCCAAAGGGATACATTGATTGGCAGAATAATGGAATAATCAATAAACTCCTGAATATGCTGAGCGTGATGGTTTGTTTCAGCCCAAACACACCAGATGTGACTGTAATCATCGGCTGCGGCCTTTGACCTGAGATACTGCGAGGCCTCCCACCCGGCCGATGTTTGGTGTGGACACACGGCGCTGTGTGTTTTATTGGGGGGGGGGGGGTGTTTATCGTGGAGAAATCGCCCAGCAGAGAAGCGTTTCGTTGATTTTATGCCGCTCTGCTTTGTGTCTTCCTCTCAGTCCGACCTCTTGGTCGCCTGAACGCATGAAGAATTCAAGTGTTGCAAACATTTGTTTTCTTCTCGTGTTTTTCTGTCTATGGTGTTTTAGTTTTTTTTTGTTTACCTGCTGTCATGTGTGTCACATGTTAAGGAAGTGAGACGGGTTAACTGCAAACTCCACTTCCCCTTTTTTTTTTTCCTTCCTGTCACTCAGCTTTTACTTGACGAGTATTTATGACCACTCCATCTTCGAGGCCTTCAGCAAAGTGGTGCAGAAGCTCATCCCTCAGCTCCCCACCCTGGAGAACCTGCTGAACATCTTCATCTCGGTAGGTAAAACGCCTCGTGAGGCGGTGTGACGCTCTGCTTCACGCAAGCAGAGAAGTTCCTCCATCGACCACGATGATGTCGTCTCGTTTTCTGCACACGTTCTCACTAACGTGTTCTGCTACGATTCAAGTTGTATTTAAACAAGTAAAAGCCTGTATTCATTTGCTATAAGAAGGGAACAGTTATCTTTTTTGTGTCTTTATCGAGTGGATTATATAAATGACATTCGCATCTGCGCTTTAAAATGATTGTACCCGTGTATTTACATTTCAATATGTGCGTTGATCAGTACGGGATAAAATATGCACCACGCGGGTCTGTTTGTGTCTGATTGAAATCAAATAGCGCATGATGGTACTTCATCACACCGATGCAACATCAATAAAGGGAAACTGTGACCTGAATACTGTACACCAAGAAATATGAATAGGTTCCTTTTTTAATATCTAGAGCTGGAACCATTGATCAGCACTTTTTTAGCTTTACGGTATTATTTATTCAGTTCAAATAAACCTTTTTTTTTTGTGCATTGTTGGATCGACTAGCTTGACCTTTGCTCCTGAATATTATTGTCTCTCATTTGAATACGAAAAACTTTTGTTAGTGGTTGCTCTTGTAAAATGAGTGTCCTCCTCTCCTTCAACCGTACTTTATCATTTCCTCCACTGCTTCCTTCATCTCGCGTTCCCCCGGGTCAGAACTCTGGGATCGAGAAGGCCTTCCTGTTCGACGTGGTCAGTAAGATCTACATCGCCACGGACAGCTCCCCTGTGGACATGCAGTCCTACGAGCTGTGCTGTGACATGATCGACGTGGTCATCGACGTCTCCTGCATCTACGGGTCAGTGCCGCTTCAACGGGTTTACTCATTGGTTCACAGCTTTGAGGAGGGAGGGGCTAAATGGGTGTGTGTGTGTGTGGAGAGACTGTATAGGATAAACTCTCCAGTCTATTGTTCCATATAAATAACAGGAGGAAAATGAGGTACACTTATGTTAATGTTTTAAGGAGTTCACCAGCGTTTACTCGCCTGATTTAATATGTGTCTACGAGCGAGACATTAACGTCCCACTCCCCCCCCCCCGAACGCCGTGTCCTCCTCAGCCTGAGGGAGGACGGCAGCGGCAGCGCCTACGACAAGGAGTCCATGGCCATCATCAAGTTGAACAACACGACCGTGCTGTACCTGAAAGAGGTCACCAAGTTCCTGGCGCTCGTCTGCATCCTACGAGAAGAGAGCTTTGAGCGCAAAGGTAAACCGTCCTTCAGAAGTCGACGTCGGTCTTATTTTGGTGACCAGCAAGCTGATTTAATCATCAAAGGTGTCGTATTGGGTTACATTATTCCCATTTTTTTCATAAGACCTTCTTGGATGTAACACAATAGTTCATTGGGGAAAAACGTTAATCTGAAATGTATTTAGTTTCTGGGAGGATCTCTTGTACTTATCATGGTCTCTCATTTACATCCCTAAAAACACGAGAGAATCATGACTTTTCACAGACTCTTGCTGCAGACAGTCCCAAGTACAACTCTCACTCTCTCATCTATACCACACGTGTGCCTCTGTTCCTCCTCAGGATTAATAGACTACAATTTCCACTGTTTCCGGAAGGCCATCCACGAGGTGTTTGAGGTGGGTGTTTCCACGCAGCGTTCCGTTGGCCCCCAGGCGGTGGGCTCGCCCTGCACCAAGGCCGTCGCACTAAACGGCACGCCGCGCAACACCGTCTGAAACGCACGACGACGATGACGACAAGGAGAGAGAGAGATAGATAGAGAGAGAGAGAAAAAAAAAAAAGAAAGATGGTAAAGGGAAGGAAGAATATGCCGAGCGCCTGCAGAGGAGAGACTGCGCCACCAGCACCCAAAGTACTGAGACGGGGAGACTGCACAGCCCTCTGCATCGGTTCCAGCTGGATGCAAAGGCAACGCGCTAAACCTGCACCTGCACCACAGCAGGTTCAGGATGTTTATTTTTTTTTTCCTCCAGCGGTCGAAGGCCGCCGTTTATAAGCTGCTGGTCCCTCTTCGTGAACACAAACCAGGTCGGTTTCTGCAGGAACACGAGCCCGACCACGTCTGCTGACTTGCAGAGAAATCCATACACGAGAACCGCTAACGTCACATGTTCAGACACGGCCTTACGTAGATGAAGCTTGTCCTCAGCGCGAGCCTCCTCTCAGCACCACCCACCTCACGCTACCTGAATGCTGCCCGAAGCTCGCTGTTTGGTTTCACTTGTGAAGGGAAAACAAGCTTTTGTGAGCAGCCCGAAAAGGGATTGTGTTGTCCATCTAACTTTTTTTTGTGTGTGTGTGTGTGTGTGTGTCTCGCTTAATGAAAGGGTTTATTTAGATCCTGGACTGGGACCTTTTCCCTCCTCCTCCATAATCGCAGCTTAGCATAATTATGCTCTCCTCAGTGAAAGTAACTTTACTGTGTGCGCTCCACGGAAAATCTCATGTTTAATTGAGTTTGTAGGAAAAAGGAAATAGTTTTGATTCTTAACACAAGCACCGGGGGGGGGGGAGGGTTGACTAGCCTAAGAAAGCAGCAGGGCTTCACACTCCGTCTGTCCGACGCATTTTGGGGCGATGAAGGTGATTTGAACCGGTTGGAAGGTGCACGTTTCTCCACCTACAGGCCTGTGTTGTGTATTTAGTTTGGCTCCGTTCATTCCAAGCATGCGTCCGTCACGCGTTGCCAGCTGGTGTCCTTCTCATCCGCCACGCCGCTTGTTGCTTTCAAAGGGGGGGGGGGAGTGGAAATGAAGCTTAACCAAGACGCGTCCACCAGGACGGGAAAAAGACCAAACTCTACACTGAGACCCAACGTGTTGATGCCTGTGTGTTTATTTCAGGCTGCTTCTAGAGGACAGGAACCGGATTTAATGCACCCGCTGAGTAAAAGGCCGGATAAACGTTGGCGTTCCAGACACGAGGGCGCGTTTGGCCGATTTTACTCGGCAAAGTTCTTTCGATGACTCTTCACCTCGTCGTTACCGGTCAGCAGAAAATAAACACTTGCACATCAGAACTGTGATGGATGATTGATTTACTGTATCGTGATGACATACCATGTGAAATAAATGAACATTTTAATTTTAGATACTGCTCACTATCTGGATGTTTTAAACCTTCTCTGAGGCAAACACAAGATGGCGCTGTAGGATTACGACGTGGTTCCCCCACAGAACGATGATACGTTGTGCTTCCTTGGCAGAGTCACAGTTTGAGTTGACAGGCATCCGCCTGTTGGATCAGGACTCTAAATGTCAAAGGTCATTCAGCTGTGATGGAACATGATGGATCACATACAATTCAACAAGATGCCTCCTGGGTATTTTCTATACAATATTAAATCTTTTGTCGAAGTGCTTTAAAATATGGAATTCACTATCTAATCGTCAGCGAGTTAAATAAGCCTCATCGCTACTGTGACGAGCCGCTGTGTGGGGAGGAGGCCGGACAGCTGAACACACTTTAGATGCGATAAAACACTAACCGCTTCTTTTTTTAATATATATTTTTTTATTTTTATCCAGTCCATTAAGCCGGTAATTTCTTAAAAATCTCCCGCATTAATCCTGGCCATGGTTTCCCCGCGGCTCCTTAAGCTCTCCTCCAACCTTTCCCGCCTTGCTTTGATGCTCACTCAAATAGGCGCTAATTTGAGATAAATTATGCATCTGCATGTAGACTTCCCATGCCGGGGAATATAAAGTGTGACACCCTGAAAGACGGGGAATTAGAGCAAAGTGTGATAACTTGACGGCCTAATGGCAGACGGGTTAGACCTGTCAGCCTGGCGGTTTGTTGATCTGCGAGTCGCTTTGTGTTGGGAGGCCAGAGGTCGTGTTTATGATGTTTCCAAGGTCATTTGGACTCGTCTGGACCGGTAAAGAGCCTTCAATGGAGTGAAGCTACTGAAATCATCCCTCCCCAAAACTGCTGCCTAACAGCCCTTCTCTGCCTTTGCCAATCCTGCTAAACGCATCACCACACCCCCGTTTAACCCTTTAATGTTGATTAAATGACAAATGTTTCTGCACAGCAGAAGTAAAAGAGCAGATGCATACATTTTGTTTATGTCAACAGGAGGACACTACATAGTATATTTTATATAAATGAAGCCTGCTAAATTTAATTAACACAGCCAAGCATTTGCAGCAACACAAAAATGAACTAGAAGTCAAATGAGAGGAAAGGCAGTCGCAGAAGTGCTAATGACAACTTTAATGGTTTCAATCGTTGAGTCCCATAATCTCTTGACTAAACAAAGCTGTAGATCAAATGTGTCTTCAGCTGGACGCCTGTATCCCGATCATCTCGCTCAAAATAACAGCAGCTCCTACTGAATTAATAGTGATTCAACAACACAAACCTCCAACGTGAGCTGTGAACGTCACCACTCGGCCCTGTGGAGCCACTTAGCGACGCAGTGGCTTCGCCCGGCCTCTGGGTGGGGCTGTTGTCCGCCCTTACAGCTGGTCCGCCTGCTCCACACCAAGGGGGGGGGGGGGGGACGGGGGCCCCACGCAGGGACCCCCGTCCCTCACAGGCGAAAGGAGGGAGGCCGAGGACGAGCTGAGGAGGCGACGGACCCCCATGATGTACAACTTCATTTGGGCGGCGTCCCAGCCGCTGAAATTGCTTTGTTTTATCAAATGCAACATTCCCCCCCCCCCCCGCCCCCTCTCCCAATAAGTCAGCGTAACCAATAATGAAATAAAGCCAGCTGAACATACTTTTTGCCTGTGATGTCACGCTCACTTCCGCCCTTCATCTTAGATGTCTTAGTATCAGCACTACAATGATATTGCCATTAGGTTCTTAATAAAACTCAGTCAGCCGTGTTTTATCTCTCATCTTTACATTTTATTAGCCGTGCTTATGAGAGACGAGGCGGGAAATGATGAGACTAAGTGAGACGTCTCCAATGGCTGACGGATGTAACGCGGGCTCCATTTGTCTTCGGCGGCGGGGTGGGGTGGTGGTGGGGGGGGGACGACGTGTCGTGGACACGGATCCCAGCAGCACGTCGGCTTTCTGCTTCTGCTGCTGCTTCTGGGCAGAAAAGTACCCGATGCAGCGACGTGATGCAGCAGGAACGTACCTTGATCATAAGTCTGCTGCTGTGATCTTCACAAAGTAACTTTTTCATCTGGGCCCAAAAGGTAAAAAAATGGCTTGTGGGCTGTTGTTGTTATCGGCTGCACAACGTGCACAACATCAGTTCGCTGGTTCACTTTTGTTGTTAGAAACATAAATAGTGGGACATTTAGTGGTGCACCTCGAGTTTCTGATGTTTTTGTTAAAAATCTAATTTCCATTGGGGACTAAGGGAGGTTTCTGTGGCACAATTCTTTTTTACTAATCTCCCATTAAAAAAACAGATTTTTTTTTTTCCAGATGAATTAAAGTCTTTTAGAGTTGATTGGATTCGTTAATTGTGAGAAGTAACAGCCAACTACACATGTTTGATTTAACACATTTCTCAGAAGAAATGCCGTAGATTCCTTTGTTCCGAATGATTTACAATTCATTTTCAGGTTCGATCGACAGTGAAAATAACTGCGGAGTCTATTTGGTGGATTCATTTGCAACATTTAAATACCTAATTTGGGAAAACACTTTGATAGTAGTGGATTTCAATCGATATTGAGGTTTTCCAAAAAGTTAATACCATTTTTCAAATATTTTATTTTTTTATTTTTTATATTGTGATTAGACCGATACACAAATTCACACCTTTCTAGTTTCCCCAAACTACCTGACTGCTTCTGATCCGGAGGGGGGGGGGATTTGGTGGACGGGGGACGGGCGTCTCCTGCGGTTCTCTCGGCCGGGCAGCAGAGCGTGCAGCGAGAGAGAGAGAGAGAGAGGCCAGCGGGCCGGCAGACAGCTAATGGGGACCAGCAGTGAGCTTGGGGGCCGGGAGGAGGGTCCGGGGGGGGGGGGGGCGGGGGGGTCCGGGGCCGACAAAAGGAGCAGCGACAGATGCCATTATCTCAGCCTCATGCAGATACAATGGAGCCGGACGACACGGGGCCCCCGACACTGACGGACGTGCAGCATCTCGTGTGTGTCTGCGTGTGTGCGTGTGTGTGCGTGTGCGCGGAGGGCCCGCGTGGGCTCAGCGAGCGAACACGTGTGCGTGCACCGTGAGGTTAATGGAACACGATGGAGGGGAAGTGGATTATCGCGGCGACCGCGATTCCGTCCGTAACACTCGTCTGAGCTCCTCTGCGCCCCCCACGCACGCACGCATGCATGCATGCGTGTACGTATATATATGCGCTGCATGCAATTTGGCGGGTGTCTTGGAGTAGAGCCTACATGACCCAGCCTTTTTCACTTCATAAGAGAAGGATAGTCCCCCATCCCCCTTCACTAGAATTCAGGGGCCGCGGAGAAAACGCGCCCCACATCGGTAGAAAATTTCCACGGGCCTTTCTCTTTGTGGCCATAAAAAAAGCAGCTCCTCTCTCCCCCCAAAGTATTTTCGGTGCATTGAGAGATCCAAGAAACTTACCAGGGCGGGTGGAGGGGGGGTTGTGTTGATGCGTTTAGCAGGATTGGCAAAGGCAGAGAAGGGCTGTTAGGCAGCAGTTTTGGGGAGGAATAAGACGCGTGGGCCTTAGCCAGCGCGGTGCGGTGACACGGGACAGCTTTATTGACTGTGGCGGCGGGCGCTGACACTGGATCGCCGTCCCCCCCCCCCCCCCCTCCCCCCCCTGCAGTCATTTACCAGACTGAGCGAATGCAGGGATCAGAGTTTTTTTTTGGAGGGGGCTTAGAGAACGAGAGAGAGAGAAAAGGCGGAACAAAGTGAGAAGCAGAGGATTGGCACGAGAGGTGAAGAGAGAGAGAGAGAGACACACACACAGACACACACACACTGCTCTGTGGACGCCCTGCTGAGTGTCTGACACTGCTGCTGCCAGGCTAATCAGGCTACTCTCTCTCATTAGCGATGGAGAACAAACGAGACGGTTGTGTGACGACGCTTTTGTTTCTTGCCGTCGTATCTGTTGTCGAGTGTTAAGTCCGAGTTTTCGTGGCGCTGGTAACAGGTCAGTGTCGGACCTCTAATGCCCCCCACACACATGACACAAGCAGCAATATGTTTATCTTCTCCTTGGTGCTGGTGAAAATTCTGCTTTCTTTCCTAATGAGCTTACTAACACACACACACACACACACACACACACACAAGTGCTTCAATACGGATGTTAAGAGATTGACAAAATAAAGTAGGCTAATATAATCCTCACTTGCGCAGAAAGGTTGCCTGTCGCAGAGAAGAGAGTCCAATGGTGTTAATTGGACACGGGCAAATTTAAATAAAACTTTCTTTAATTACTCCACGCCGGCTCGGAGGGAGGCCTGTAGTTTGCTGTCAACACCAACTAAGGGAACTAGGAGGAAGGAAAATGATGATTGAAGAGGTGCAGGTCACGGGTAAACAAATGATAAGATGAGACAGAGAAAACACAGCTGATGCCGAATCACGGCGAAAAAATCCGGCCGCGATAAATTCAAATTTGTCGTGACGCGGGGACACAGGAAACAGCGAGGACCGAGCTGTCCTCCGCCTGGTTTCTGTCACCCAATTCAGTTAAGCGTCGGCCATCAGGTGGTCGCTTCATTTCTGCTCCCATCCAACCACCCAGTGACCCGTTCTTCTCCACTCATTTCGTTCCCTGGCTCCTCCCCTGCCACAAACTGAGACGTGTGTAGTTTTTTTTTTTGTTGCTCAAATAACATATTGACGCTTTAATTCCATGAATGGAGGAGGGCGAGGTGTAGGGGGGCGGGGGGGTCGACAACCGAGTCAATAACACCGAAAAGGAGACGGTTCTTCACAAAGGAAATTGGAGAAAAGGAAAATCCTCGCCGTAACCCGTTTGTGATATTTCCGCAATAAGCCCTTCACAACACTGTGGGTCACGCAGACTTTATTAGCCTTCCCATTGACGTTTGGCTTTTTTTTTTTTATGGGTTCTCTTTACAGCCCGGGCGTGTCCTTCAGCCATCTGAGCTTCATTTCTCTCGATGTGTTGTTCCTGAAGGGGGCTCCTAAGGCGCGACGAACACTGAAGCT